TTGTTGGATCTGTGGGTACGGTAATGCCTCTTTCTACCTCAGGCTACGGTTTGTCAAAGGCCGGTCTCAACTATGCTTTCAGACAATTGCAGCAAGAGCTGTCGCCAGAGGGATACAGTTTTGCCCTAGTCCACCCTGGTTTGGTTGGAAGTGACATGGGTAACGAGTTCGTAGAGGGCTTGGACCCTGATGTTCGTGAGCAATTCCTCAACACTCTGCCACTTATCACCCCAGATCAGTCCGCCTCTGCTATCAATAAAAATGTCCTGCAAGAACTTAAGTCCAAGAACTTCGGCAAGTTCTTGAGTTACGACGGCTCAGAACTTGTTTGGTAGATGTAAATGTCGGACGTCAGCAGCGCATTGCAGCACGATACTCAATCTATGCCTATATACTTTTTATACAATAAGAGATTTCAATTGTGGATTAACCTTCGATCACTATTGATTGTTGTAGAGTACTCAGATACAGAATACCCGTTAAAGCGAGTCAGCGCCGTCAGTAGCTGGCTAACCATCCTACAAGCTTAAATTCTCGCAGCCTTTCTGGATCCCATTGGTCGATCATTCACCGTGTACACTTTCGTCTTACTGACGTTTTCTCGTATCATTCTGTACTACACTGACACTAAATTGGTGCTTACCATTATGCAACACGATGCTCTTCGAACAGTACCACATCTCCGCCAGTCGATAGTACTAGCATTTCCCGTGTCTTCAGTCAAACCCAGTGCTCGTACCTCGAGGGCATTGGTCCTGCTGGTATTCAGATTGCTGGATTCGATCTGCATCTCACGTGGTCGCCTGGGAGAGGATCTATTTGCCCACGTGCCACTTGAGCGACACTATTGTACATAGTGATCACCACGCCTACTCTCGGGCACTCCGAGGGTCGCGCATTCGCCAAACGGTACACTCTATAGTACCATGATATTTCCTATGCTAGGACGGTACTATTCAGGCTCGAAATACTCACTTTCACTCGAGAAAATCTCGCCAATAGGAGAAACTCCTAAAAGTCTCAATTTCTCAACATTTTGGCCGTCTTTTGGATCGCTTGTCTTCTACAGCCGACCGTAAGGACTCAAAGACACTAATTGGTGTATCAGAACGCTTCTTTCACCTCTCTTTTATTCTCCCAAGGCAAGATCGCCAGAGCCTGTCATCCATTCGCGGCCGGGTAACACACGTAATTAATTTGATGTCATCGCAGGTGCTGGAAGCAAACTATGCATAGAACATATATTTGTGTATATATATATTTATTCAATTTAGGGTCAAATAGTTCGTCCCTTCACTCCACATCTTTGCGTCTCACCAGCGAGTTGAATAAAAGCCAGCAAGCTCACTAATTGTGAGTGTTCTCGTGTGGAACTGAATAACTAGGGTATCATATAGTATAGTAGATTAGTAGGGGGAAAATGTCCGAGAAATATAGCAGGCCTGCGCAGCCACCCCCATCCTACGCACCCAACAATGGGCAGGGGCAGGCCACAGATCCACATGGACAGCAAGAACAGCAACCCCAGCAGCAAGATTACCAGTTTCGACAGGACCAGTACTATAACCTCAGCTCCAAGTCAGACGGGGCGCCAATAGGCTCGTTTGAAGAAAGTTTCCCCACGGATAACGACAATAAGTTTCGGCTCAATGACTGGCCGTTCACGATTTTCTTTCTCGCCACCGTCTGTGGGTTTGTCGCAATCGCGGCGATCACTCTGAGGTCGTGGGCCAACACGTATGCGGCCACCGGTTCGGGGATATACAACGGCCAAAACACCGGCACATTGAACACGAACTCCGCCATTTTGCTGGTTTTCTCGTGCGTGATCGCCTTGGTCTTTTCACTACTGGGTCTCGTCCTCATGCGGGCGTCTCCCAAGTGGTTTATCTACTGTGGCATGATATTCAATATTCTTTCGGGGCTTGGTACTGCCATTGCCTACCTTGCCATGCGGTACTGGTCTGCAGGTATCATATTCCTGATTTTTACTTTGATTACCGCTTGGTGCTATTGGGGCATGCGCTCGCGGATTCCCTTGAGTGTGGCGATTTTAAAAACCGTTGTGGACGTGATGAAAAAACACCCTCAGACCTACTTGATTTCATTTTTTGGGTCGATTGTTGCAAGCGCTTTTGGAGTATTGTTCTCCGCTGTTATAGTCGCAACCTACATCAAATACGATCCTAAAAGCGGCAATGCAGGCTGTAACACAGGTGGAGGATCGTGTTCAAATTCTAAACTTATCGGCATCCTTGTTTTAGTATTTTTTTGTGGATTTTACATCTCTGAGGTCATCAGAAATGTTATTCATTGCACAGTCTCGGGTATATACGGGTGCTGGTACTACATGTCCAAATCGGACCAAGGAATGCCTCGTTGGCCAGCATTTGGGTCGCTAAAGAGAGCACTTACCGTGTCGTTCGGCTCAATCTGTTTTGGGTCCTTGATTGTATCTTTGATAGAAACTGCAAAGCAGGTGTTCAGGTTATTGAGGAACGGCCAAGTTACTAACATTTCGGATAGCCAGTGGGCACAATGTGCCTTCATTATCATTGATTGGATCATTGGATTTTTAGAATGGCTAGCCCGTTATTTCAACCACTATGCGTACTGTTTCATTGCCTTGTACGGTAAACCTTACTTGAGAGCAGCCAAAGAAACCTGGTACATGCTAAGAGAAAAGGGCATGGATGCTCTAATCAACGATAATTTAATTAACATCGCTCTGGGGTTCTTTTCTCTTGTGGCGAGTTACCTGGCCGCTTTGTTTGCGTACTTATATTTGAGGTTCACTTCACCTAGTTACAACTCAGGTCACGGATTTAATGTTCCACTAATGGCCTTTTCGTTTGTGATTGCGCTTCAGATCTGCAGTATAACTAACGAAACTATAAGATCCGGTACTGCCACCTTTTTTGTGGCTCTGGGCAATGACCCAGAGGTTTTCCGTGTCTCTTATCCGCAAAGATTTGATGAAATCTTTAGGGCCTACCCAGATGTTCTAAAGAAACTGAGTCATCAGCACGTATAACGGCAGCATCAGCAGGACACTAACAATTAATTATTTGCCGTTAGGCACTTTTATACTCCCACTACTTTGTAAATCTATGCTCAAACGAAATCTCACCATTGGCTGAGAACGTCAACGTTGTGCCATCATCTTTGCCCATATAACTGTGAATCGGAGATTATGCAAATTATTATGAATGCAACCTAGGTGAAATGTTTTTTCTCCTATACCAGCTGACAAAATCTTTCAAACCATTCCTTACTCGCCTCATGTCTTTTTGTGGCAACCCATTTCCAACAATGGTCAAGAGGTTTGCGCGTTCTTTATCGGTAACTTGACCGATACCATTCATAGCATTACTGAGCCATTCTAGCACAACTGTGGTATTGCCGCCAGAACATTTCAAGCACAGTTTCAAGCACTTCATTACGCAGCCAATCGCATCCGGGTGAGAGTCGTTGCTAAACGTTGTAACTAACCCCAGCATAATCGCGTAAACCAGTTGGGATCCTTGTGACCGAATAACATCACGCAGAACCATTTCTTTCCATTCCTCGGGAACGATATCCAATGCCGCAGTTGATATTGGAGGCGTTTCAAAACCCCACGACAACACGTCATCCAAAAACCGTATGATTGTAATGTAGGCATCGTAATTCGGTAGCTTGGTCACGAATGTAAGTCCTAAAGTAACAACGGGTCCTAGCAATGCTTCAGATGTCAGGAATCTGTCTGGAAAAAACATCACCACATCGGTCATCATTAGGAAGAAGTCCTGTATTGATTCTTGGTACTCTTCCAGATTCGAATCAGTCAATTTACTAAAGGTACCCATGAATGTGACGCATTGTGCACAAGCAAATTGCCAAACTGCCTCTTTGGTATGTGGGTCAACTGGGAACGACTCATCATCACCAAAAACTGCAATGAGAGACCCAGAGCACCACAGGTAGACGCCAAACCCAGTTTTGGCGTAACCCTCCGTTAGAAAATTAGCAACTGAAGGTAAAATAGAACCAATGAATGTGTGAAAATTTAAAAAGACCTTACGAACCCATTTCATCGCAATTTCTGCTATAGCATAGTTAGTCATAGCCTTTTCATTCACCAGTAATCCATGTAAGGCATCCCAAATAGCACATATGTAGGTTTCAAGAGGCTCCTTACCCAGCTCGGGTGTTTCGAACCGTGGTCTCAGCTCCTCAAATATGGCAAAAATCAAATCAATATTATCGCAAACTTCTGCCGCAACAGAATTATTGGTTGAACCCTCTTTCCATCTGCTTATTGAAGAGGCTAGTTTTTGTAAATGCGGATTGAGGAAGTGTTCCAACGTTGGTCCTACGCGGTCGTCTGGCTGACGATTAATCACGCAGCTTAGCCCTTGGCACACCTCAAATAAGGATTGCGTCTCCACAATAGATTCGATTTTCCAGTAAAAGTCTATTAGTTGCTCAACAAAATCACTTAACAACGAGCTACAGTCCTGACAAAAGTACATCAGGGCGTGTGAGGATGCTGTTAAGATATCAACATCACCATTGGCATGTTGAAAGCCACTGAAAATATAACTGAGTTCCATCTCGAGGTATTCTGGGTGGTTTGCCGACCATTCGGTGTACCTTCCAAGTACTAAGGTGGTCGCATACCTTATTTTAGGATGCTCAGGCAAATTACACAAAATTTGAAAAAGCTGGGGTAGCATGACGTGTTCACTCTTAGAAACCTCTTGTGCCATAGTTCTCAAGGAGAACAGAGGAGCTTCTAAGTCTTGCCACTGCGTTAGCGGATCAGGCTTGTTCAGTGCGCTTATAATCTTTTCATATGGTCGACCGAGGGCCTTTGATGAACCCACGACTGCGGTACAATCTTTCAAGACACCCCCCATGTCGTAGCGGAACTCCTTGAACTTATCCTGTTCTTCGTTATTAAGAAAGTTTCCGTACGGATAACGTAGATGCGCGATGATACCATCAATTAGCTCTGTGAATATATCTTGGTAAGCGGACCTTTGATCTTTAAAACGAGGTAGCACTAACATTTGCTTTAGATTGAACCAGAATGGAAACGCATACTTGACGACGTCAAGGTCAGTATTCTTGCACGTAAGAAACAAAAGTCCTGTCACCAAAGGCTTGAATACATGGGGGTTCTTTGCAATAAAAACACACCACGCTTCACCCGCTTCTGCAAACAATCTCGTAAGGCCGTCCATGATATCTTCATACTCTTCCAGATCAGAAATGCGGTCCATGGGGCAAATGTTACTCTGCACTGCCATCAGTTGTTCATAAAGTGCTGCGATTACACTCTCGTCAGCCACGTCTCGTGTTTCCTTAACGATTGTACACAAGCATTCCACTGCCACGTCAAAAGTCTCAGTGTCGCTATCATGAGCAGAGTTCAAAACGTGAAATACAAGAGAGATGAGGCTGTTAATGCTAATTAATTGGTGTATTGGTACTTCATAAGCCCACGAGTTAATGCACCTTAGCAATTGTGACACCGTAACCATCGCTGACGGGGTGTTCAGAGTGTCTATAAGACTAACCAAGTACCCCATCACATTTTCGGCAATCTGATCTATCAACTCATGTGTTCTGGACTGAAACTCGTCTTCGCTTAGCGGCGTTGACTTGATATCGAGTGTCTCTTCGGGTAAAATCTTCAAGAATTCTACCAATTTATGGGGAAATTGATTCAAACTCTCTATGATCTCTGAAATGGGATTTCTCCATTCCAAATGCTGTATCGCTAGTCTTGCCAGGGCAATGCATAGCTGCGTGACAATCAACTTTTGAGAATGCTTGACAATAAGGTCCAAAAGAGATGTCTTGAAATCGCCTATTCCACCATCTAACTGCGCTAGATCGTACGTTACTTTATTTCTCAATGTTTGAGCCGCAAATACAAGTAACTCTAGCCCATACTGGTCCTCTCCTGCGCTCAGCAAGCTATGGCAAACTAACCAAGCTTCTGGTGCCTTTTGGAATTTTTCCAAGTACTGCAGAGCTTGTTTTTTTGTTTCACGATCTGAGATTGATGTTGTACACTGCAGTGCCGACTTCAAGTCATTGATTGTATCTGACATTGGGATAGGCTTGGCATGAATTATTGTTTGACGAGAATCGCCCCAACTGTACCAGATCCGCCATACATTTTGAAATGGAATCGTCTTAACGAAACTTTGTTTATCACCACTAACGGTAAATGTCAGGGTATAAAAAACGGTTTGGTAAACGCCCGTTTGGACTATCTGAGGGAAGTGATCTATCACTGCTTAAATACTGCTGGGCTGCTAAATCGTACACACTGTAGTATCAAGGTCGTAAATCTCAAGGTAATAAATCCCAAGGTGACACGGTAATGTCAATTTCTGGTTGAGATGTCGTTTCAACGACCTTGGGGTTAAACTTCCGGACGGGATTCAAAATATAACTAGAGCTGATGGACTCGTTTTGTTCGGTGATAGCTGGTAATGGGTGGGGTAATATAGACGCGACTTGATAAATTTATCATGTATACGAAAAGTCAGATCTAATCATGACAAACATTAGAGTAGTGTCAGAAAGGCACGAAGTGATGTTGACCACGCCAGTAAAACAATAGTGTGCCAGGTGAATAATCGACCAAAAGCGATCCACAGAAGTAGTGATTGGATGGAAATGGTACGCTGAGCGCTTCCGGCCATTCAAAACCCCAGCCATTTATTGTTAGGTAGGGTTGTTGGGTTAGATAAGCCTTATTCCACACACATTATTCCTGCAAAAGTTTGTGTAAGTACCGGCGACATGTGCCAGATATAAACGAATATTGTAAGCCATGGAGAGAGAACTAAAAAGTCACTTCATACTTCTAGATCCCTAATCATAACCAGAAGATTCTTTACGATGTCTGACGACAATCGAACAACCTCTTTAGCAAGATAATTACCATTGCTAGGTTCATGCATTGGGTTACTATTGTTAATGGTAGAATCATTATCGGTATGGTGTAAACTTATATCTTGAACTAATTTTTGCTTCATACAGTATGGATGGTCCAAGTTATTCGACTAATGGTAAGCTCTCATGTGAAATACAACATGCCATAAAGAGCTTTTCGTCTCGCTACAGCGAGGGCTAGTACGCTGAGCCTTGTAGAGCGTCGCAGGTTGTGTATATCGAATGGTACCTGACCGGGCCGTGTGTAGTGCTTGTTATTAGATGCGTTATAAAATAACCTCGGCTTTATGAATTGTACAAGAATTAAGCAGCATGGGCACCGCTTTCACCGTCGATCTACCTCCATTATTTGATAGCAAATGTCTTCATCAGCTTCCAAAGTTACAGTACCACCAATCAATTGTATATTCAACTTCCTTCAGCAGCAAACGCTGGTTAATATATGGCTTTTTGAACAAGTACATATGAGAATACGAGGGAAGATCAGCGGATTTGACGAGTTCATGAATGTGGTCATCGATGATGCATTGGAAGTTCCCATTGATTTGAAAACTGGCTCTGAGCTGCCAGGGGAGGCTTTGAAGCTGGGTAGGATTTTATTGAAGGGAGACAATATCACCTTGATTACGCCAGCATCTGAATAATTGGGAAATATTAGGCAACCAGACGCAGCATGTTTGCTAGCAATGCATTTAGTAGCAAAGAGGTTTCTAAAATAATTGTACCTGTGAAGCAATTCTCTTGGGGGGGGGGGGGCGCATGGCCGCATTATCATAGGTGCATATGATCTCAGTTCACCTGCGCTGTGGCCACTTATAGAAGCAGGCATCGTCAATTTACTATATACAGGACTTTTACATGTACCATGATAAACACCTTGATAATTTTCTATAAGATAGTGTCCATGTTCGTTTTTCTTTGCTCCTGAAGAGCTTGATTCTTTCTTTCCACATCTCTAGCAAAGGTATTCATCTCACCTGAGACATAATCCTTGATTGATGGTAGTCCCACGAAGTTGCCACCGCCAAGAGACCCAAATAATGCGTCTCCGAGAGCCTTTTCGTTTTTGGTCCTTGGTCTCGCCGTTCCAACGCTGAGCTTAGTTCTGAGAGCTTCCGACGACTCGTTGGCAAAAGCTTCTTCAATTTTTTTCATGAGTTGGCCCTCCGTAACGATGAACTCGTCGGTGACATGGTACAATTTTAGCAAATTATCTAGCCTGCGCTCTTTGGCCTTTAGCTGTAAAACGTCGCGGTTCTGCTTGCGCTTCATTTGCAATATCTCCTGTTCTTCAGGAGTTCTTGGGCGAATTAGCGGACCCGATAACAGGTTGTGTAAAGTTGGAACTGTGAGGTCACTGGAGCGACTCTGGTTCAGCGTTGCTAGCTCTAGTTGCTTTTCTTCATGCAAACGAGCCTCCTTCTCTTTCAAGAGCTCTGCTTGCCTCAGCACACGCTGTTCCTCCTTCCTGAAAGAGTCTGACAAGTACGATCTACGTATTTGTGCCTTATTCTGTTTAGCCTCCTGTTGTGATGTTTTTGGAACTTTCGGCTGTTGCGGCTCTGGAACGGTAGAAGCAATGAGTTTCTCCACATCGACAAACTTAGTTTGTGGAGGAAACCTATGAGAGCCTCTGGGGTGGTCGATGTTCTTTGCAAAACCTACACCATCTGTACCTTTTGCTTTTGGAGCTTTAAGTTTTTGTAGGACATCTGTTTGCCTAACGGTAGGATTCTTCAAAATTGCACGGGCCTCTGGTAAAATACCACTTTTCATCCCATACTTTGCTGCACCTTTGCCCATTCTATCTTGCAGTAATTGGCTTAATAGGGCGAAACTATCTTGCTTGGCCGTGCGATCTTTGACCAGAACATCGAGGGAATCACGAACATAGCGTGCAAATAAAATTTGATCCACTTAAGAACATAGATCTTAATGAGATCGTTCAACACGAAAATATACAGGCTCATCATTAAAATGAGTCTCGTCAACACAACATCCTACCTCAAACTCTCCTGTATCAATGGGCAGAATGTCCAGATTGACTGCAATACCTGTAGTGGGGTCCACAAGATGAGAAAGCTGACCATTGTATAGTAATCTGGTATTAGATTTTGGCAACGCTAGTCCCGTGTGACGGTTGTAGAGTAAGAAATCTAGCTGAACCATTCCTTCAGCGTACTTTGGATGATGCGTATTGGCTGTGACGCACGCCGTAAGCTTCAGTGTTTCGCCCATTCTTATTGTAGCTTGAGGAGAAGAGATTTGCACGTGATACGGAGCATCTCGCTGCTGGCACAGTATGTCCACGGTTCGAGCGTCGACCTTATCGAGATGTTGACGAAAGCACACTTCGCCATGGGTGGCACGTACATCGTGAAATTTCCACTCGCATTTCAGGAACTGAAGGAGTATTTCGCGACACCAAAAATTTCTTCGCATAGCAACTACTTGATCTCGAGTCATTCCGCTACTGACAAACTGGCGTCCCCCTACGAGCTTCGGTATTTCTTTGGAGCTCCACGAAAAGGATGCATCCAGCTTTTCTATAGGAACAACAAATCTCTTGGTACTCTGAGCAGTTAACGTTTGTGGATTGCTAGAGAATTTATCACAGCATAAGCGCACGGTAGCACTTTCATCCCACGAATTGCGAATGTCCAACAGTAGAAGAGCACCTTTATTAAAGTTAAGCTTTTCTGTATCAGAAGCATGTAGTATGCTGTTATCACCAGCCGGAAACGGCTCAGGCAATGGAATCACCTCTAGACTGGAAACCTCCAAACTCCTTTTCAAGGTTATGTTGAAAGGTATGGTAAGTGTTTTGGTGAAGGCAAAATGGTCGTCATGGGCTGGTCTAAACCCATATTCGATAATGATATCGAAGTTCTTGAAATCAAATGGAGCCTGTGTTATATCAAGATCAACGGTTAGCTCTATACTAGAATTCGCAGCGATTTCATCAGGGATGTCACATATCTTCAAGCAGTCTTGTTTCAGCCATATTAGCTGCTTTTCCACGTCATAAAGATCGTCCGGTGGTAACTTCTTCCAGTAATCCACACTTAGGTTGGTTTCAATATTAGTTGTGTGACTAAAATGCAAGTAATTGGCAGATTGGCTAAGAGACTGGTTCCTTAAAACAATTTTAAACGTTTCTTTGGTGCCTTCTAACATCATTTGGCAATTATCGTTAAAAGTACTACCAACAAACTCCAAATCCGGTTGTTCTCGAATAACTCTGAACTCAAAGGTTCCATACTTACCCCTACCACTTTCTTCTGAACTTTCGTTTCGCATTCTTTCTGCCGTAACTATATTGAATGGCGTCGGCTCAAGGCCAAAAACTCCAATATTTAGGCGTTGGATAACATGCTTAGTGCTGACTTCTTTGCTGAAAGAGACAGGCAGGTGAATGGATGCCAAAGAATTGGGCTTTACGGTGAAAGGTAGTTCTCGTCTCACGCTACTGCTCAAAAAATCGACATACTGCTTGTCACATTCCTCAAACGAAAGATGGGTCACAATCAAATCAAACTTGAAAGGATTTTGGAAGCCTAACACCATTTCCGCCGTCTCTCCCAGTAAAAAACTAGATGCAGCTGTTGCCGATTTTGGCTTTGACGCTGTATCACGCACTCCATAGTTTCGGAAAGGATTGAAAACCTGGGAATTATGCTGGGTAATTTCTTGATCCTTACCATTACTAATGAGCTTTTTCTGCGGAACAACTTTGTGATTCTCAAGTTGGACAATATAGAGCTTCCTTAATACAAATGGGTCCCAATACGCTATATCTTTTGTAGTAGCTGAAAAGGCCAAAATATTATTTTGAAGTATCGTCTTTTGCTCATGTTGCGTGAGAGCATGAGAGTATTTTTGCAAGAGTAGCAATGAATATTCACAAACTTTCTGTCCGTCTTTAGCCTTAGAAGCCATGTTAATAGCCAGCATCAAAACATTCTTCTGGAGAATCACCCAAGAACATCTCGCAGCATCGTCGATAGATTTTTCAGGACTCCGATTAACACCATAAGCCTCAAGTAAGCATTCAACTTTGTTGTTGTGCAAATCACCGTGTATTAATAAGGACTCAGATGCGTGGCGTGGCAGTAAGCTCACAAGAAGAATCCTGGAAATAAAAGCTTGTTTTCGCTCAAAGTTCAAATCCCTGTAAATAAGTGCTAGGGAAGTGTAAACCTTTATTTGAGAGCCAAGGTCCATCTGCTTGAGCTGCAGTTCAAATAGACGATTGGTATAGTGACATATTTCCCACTTTGAAAAATAGTTTTTCAGTGAACTCCCACCCAAGTTCAATTCCGAGGCGACCGGCTGGTAGTTGGCTCCGTTTTTTAAAAGATCCTTCTCAAGTTCTGAATGAGAATGACAGTATGACATAAACCGGGCAACGCGTAATATGTGTTCACAATACACAATTTGTGGGGCGAATTCGGTATTGTGAGATAAACTTACTTCGTAATAATGCAAGACTTTTTCGCTAATGCATTTTATCAGTAGTGGCAAGGCCACATTTTGGGACTCTATAACAGCAATTTTTGAGGAAATTGAACTCATCGAGTTCCTTGGCGATTGGACACTTGCGGAAGCCATGCTGCTCCGCGGTGCACTCCCTGTTTGAGAGCTATTTGCTTCAAACTCTTTGAGAGGACAAATGGCAGAAACGAAGGGAGGTACCTGAAAGGGGACACGCAGATAAGTTAGCAAAAGCATGGAAATTGCAAGTCCCTCTAAGGCGCTACCCAGCCAAATGTGATCATGAAATTTGTGTAGTGTAGAGGCTGCTTCGGCAAAGTTTTGCATGGCGTCCATGTATCTACCAGCCAGTAACTTGAAATTGCCGAAAATCTTATATTGGCGAGCTTTGGCTTTCATTTGGTCAGAAGAGCCAGAATTGAGTCCTAACGACTTGAACGACGTACTTCGCTTTAGTGATGAGCCCGTATTGGTGTCTAGAGAATTTGATAAAATTCTCGAAGATGATGAAGAGGTTGTGGTCAATTGTGGTTGACGCATCAATGCAGTCTTTGAGATCGAAGCGCCTCCCATGGCGCCCGGAGACCGCAGCGTCACATGTTTGTACGAAGCGTAGTAAAGGCCCAGTGCTTCCAGGAAATTCCTCCCGATATCACAGATGATCGTCTCCAAGCTCGAGTTAAATGCACAATGTATGTTTTTGGAGTCGTCAACCGGTAAGTCCTCGAAATAAACAAGGTTGTGGGAAATAGAATCAGGAAATTTCTTTTGCAGCAGCTCGAGTGCCTCTTGTGGAGCCCGAAGTTCCTTGTTGACGAGCCCAATGAGTACGAATGTCTTCCTGTACAGTTCAAAATCGTGCAGAAAAAACGCTTGTTCTTCGTTACTCAGAGTTGTGTGGAAATCAAACAGAAGCCTCCCCTGAGGAAACCCCTGTGGATTGAAATTGGGATCCTCTAGTGGTGTTATATCGACCAGTCGAGCCTCAAAGCGCTCCTGAAGCTCGCCAACCTTCTCCATGAAACGGGATCGAGTCCATTCTCCTACCGGTACCACCAAAGTCCGCACTTTGGCAGGCTCAATCAGAGAAACATCCTGGGTCATTTAACAGGATACGTGATAGGCTGATTTAGTTGCTATTGAGTCGACTTGTCTCAAGAAAGGTGATCGTATCGATTTAAGCTTTTACATATTACATATTATACCTATAATAAATATTGCACTTCTATAAGGCCATTGATATATCATCGAATGGCGAAAATGACAAAATCAAAACTTTAAGACTATTTTTGAGCCGGGGTAGGGTTGAAAATAAAACTTGGAAATCCAACAGAGGCATGTTGGGAGTGCCCCAGCCGAAAACTTACGACGTGGTTATAAAAATGGCAAACCGTGCGTTAAAAGGGTTTAAAAGACGCATTCCGCAAAAAAGCAAAATTAAACACAGGTTCCGTTTCCAGAAAAGTAGTTAAATATCTGACTGTGGGGTAACCATCCATACTTTAATAGTACGCCTCGCCAACGTAGGCTTGTGTGTCGCCTTAAAGTTAACGTAAAATGCACGCATCGTTTTGAACGAGACGTGGATTAAGATTCGCTTGAATTCGAGGTTACACATTTGCCACCTTTAGAGAGCTGTGGATTGACGTAGAGTAACACGACGAAATTCAACAAGATGGCCGGCCTGTCGTTTGATAACTATCAGAGGAACCAGTTCCTCGCAGAGCGCTCTAAAACCACGCCGCAGGCTACTTCCACAGGTACTACAATTGTGGGAGTTAAGTTCAATGGAGGGGTGGTCATTGCAGCCGATACCAGATCCACAACCGGCCCAATTGTAGCCAACAAAAATTGTGCAAAACTGCATAGGATGGCCCCACGGATTTGGTGTGCGGGAGCCGGTACCGCGGCCGACACAGAAGAGGTAACAAGACTGATCGGGTCTAACCTGGAACTGCACTCTCTTTACTCTTCACGAGAGCCTCGGGTAGTTTCCGCATTGCAAATGTTGAAGCAGCATCTGTTCAAATACCAAGGCCATGTCGGCGCGTACTTGATTGTGGCTGGTGTCGATCCCACGGGTGCCCATTTGTTTTCCATACAAGCACACGGATCCACCGACGTAGGGTTCTACCAAAGTCTGGGGTCCGGATCGCTGGCAGCGATGGCGGTATTGGAGGCCAATTGGAAACAAGAATTAACTCGTGAGGAGGCAATGGATCTAGCCTCGGATGCAATCGAGGCCGGTATATGGAATGATTTGGGCTCCGGTTCCAACGTGGATCTGTGTGTGATGGAAATAGGGAAAGACGCGCAGTACCTAAGAAACCATAGAACTCCCAATGAAAGAGCAGCCAAACAAAGAAGCTACAAGTTCGCCAGGGGAACCACCGCGTTTTTGAGCGAACGCGTGCTCGATATATGTCAAGTTGAAGAGGAGACCGTAGACATCGAGTTGGAGGCTTGAAACTCACATATACTATATCATTTACACTACTTTAACACTTGATGCATTAACAAGACAGGAACAGCACTCGCCGAGTGGTTTCTGCCTTACGACTGAGGACCGAGGATTTGCTGCACCGCTTCAACAATGGCCACATGTTCCTGTGCATGCAGTCTTTGCTCGTATTGTTCCAACGTTTCTTGACCGGGCAAGATTTCCAGTTTCTTGATCACTACAGGCTTTCCCTGGTCCACCTCTTGGATGACGTAGTGCACCATACACCCGGCAGTCAGCGGTTTTTGCTCGTCCTGGCACTTTTGCCAGGCCATTTCAATGGCATGAGTAGTCCCATCAAACGCACCAGGTAGCGCTGGATGTAGATTAATGATAGGAACTTGATCTATCTCTTTCAAAAAGTCAGGACCTAGTATTAAAAGCCAGCCAGCACACACTATCAGATCTGGCTTATCCTTATTGATGACAGACGCCAGGTCAATTTCAAATTTTCGTCTCGCTTCGGTCCTGCCTGTTCTGTCTTCTTTCCCCAAAGCTTTAGTATATGTGTATAACGAATGGACATGGGTGGGAATACCGTTTTGAGCGGCTCTTTCTAGACCGTACGCTTTCTTGCTCGAAGAGACCACCTTGACTATTTCGCCAGGAAGCTCATTTCTACTCCTAGCATCTATCAGCGCTTGCAAATTTGATCCCGATCCTGATATCAACACGACTATTCTTGGTGTCATTCTGGCTCAACGAACGTCGATGGGTGATGGTTCTTGGACAGAGTCACTGAATTCATTATACTTCTTAATTAACTATGTGAAGTCACGAGCGCGCGTCAAAAATGATGTGTCCCAAGAGTTGAGTAATCTCTTGGAAATTTACTTAAAGCTGGGCGCTTAAACCCTGAGTTTGACGCTCTACCAGTTAGGAGACAGCTTCAGCTATTGAAACAGTTCCACATAGAGCTTTATTCAACAGCTCTCGCTTTGTTGCACACGCTTCAATGGAAAGCATGATTCAGCGTGGTTGAAGAATGTCGGCAAGAAACTGTAAACATGTAGAGGGGGGTCTCATGTGTTTACACAACAGGTGGGTTGCGTGCTTGAGACCAAAGCGCATATCAACAAAGCTCGGTTCCAAGTTGTTGAGTAGTTAGGATTTGTTGGTTCAATGGACTCTCTACTGGTTGTCACATTTCAAGTCATCACCTGAATGCGCTTTCAAGGCTACGTATTACTAGCTTCGGATAAATTTACAGGCAAACCATTATGAGAGCTTTGATAAATCTAGCTGGTATGGAAAAGACAATATCAATACAGCGGACCACCTAAATTTTATGAGATCACGTCGACCCATGGGTACCCGCTTAAACTTATGGCGCTGCTGAAAAGTTCGCCACAATGGTGGCCCATTAGACATGACACCCCTAGTGATAAGTACTTATAGCTGTGATTCTGTTCAGCGTCCGCAGCTTACTTCCCCACTTCGAAATATTTACGCTTCGTCTAGGTCGTGGCCTGCAGACGACTGAGAGCCTTTTGATCACAATATGTGCTATTTACTTCGAGACGTTGAAAAGACTGTCCATAGAACACTGTAATGGCGTGTGGCAACACTCAAGATCCATTTACCCTTGAAGCGGCTCAATCCCGGCCCAGCTCATCATGGCAAATGATCATGATAATCGTACGATTTGCAGGGCCTATACCCTAAGTAGCCATCAATTTTTCATGTGGACGCGCAGATGACCGAGCTTTCCTTATCGCAGTAAGGCGTCAAATCAGTGGCACCTTTCTAAACTGTTACGAGATTGGCGGGCAAGTCACGACTAATTTTCTCGTTGCTAACGGAGGGTGGTCCTCCTTGAAGAATGCCTCTACTCCCCCCCATTGAGAAATTTCGACCCTGCTCATGCTCCCGCGCCGTTTTTCCCAGATAAGAAAGGCAAAATGCTGGGAAATAAACGAGTTATGCACATCATCTGCTCTCTCCTAGATGGTGGCCCGGGTCATCGGGAAATTATTTTTTAATTTCTACTGATTAGTAGAAAATACCCGGAACCAATAGATATGAGAAGCCTGATTTGCAAGGCATCTCTTATCATGCTAAGCATGATAATGGGGTTCCCTAGGGCCATCACAAAAGCGCCAACGTACTTAACCGAAGAGCGATTCTCAATCTTCGGTACTCTGGTCTTCGTGTAACCCTAAGTCCTTCATTGATCTGAAATACCATTTCTTCACAGCCCACAATGTCTAGTGACGAAAAACGTCTGGACAAGGTAAACGTCACGGACTCTAATTCCTATGGTTCTCACGAAGAGATAGGTCAAGAAAAGGGCTTTTGGAAGCGCCTGCTCGAGGTCCTCGAAGTTCATAAGACAGCTCATCACGAAACTGTTAAAGAGACCTTCCTTTTCAACCATGACTTAAAGCCCGTAGAGGCGGAGCGTCGTGTTTGGTCATGGTTCAACTTTGTGTACTTTTGGATTGCTGATTGTTTCAACATCAACACCTGGCAAGTTGCGGCAACCGGATTGCAACTGGGACTCAGCTGGTGGGAAACGTGGCTCACAGTTTGGATTGGTTACACTATTGTGGCTGTTTTTGTGGTGCTGGTTGCAAGGATCGGGTCTGTTTATCACATATCATTCCCAATTGTAGCTAGATCCTCGTTTGGGATCTTCTTTTCACTGTGGCCCGTTTTAAACCGTGTGGTTATGGCTATTGTGTGGTATTCCGTTCAAACATGGATCGCTTATGCCCCCGTGTCTTTGATGCTCAAGAGTATTTTTGGCTACAATTTGCCAAATCGTATACCAGACCACATTAACAGCCCCAACGCCACCACTTACCAATTCATGTGCTTCTTTATTTTCTGGGTCGTCCAATTGCCATTTGTTTACGTCCATCCACATCAAATCCGTCATTTGTTTACAGTAAAGGCGTGCTTGGTTCCATTCGCAGCTTTCGGCTTTTTGATCTGGGCATTGGTGAAGTCCCACGGCCATATTGCCCTGGAATCTCTTGTGCAAGGACCCCCACTAACTTCAAGTGATCGTGGGTGGGCATGGATCCAAGGCATCTTGGCCTGTGTCGGTAATTTTGCTACACTGATTGTCAATGCACCAGATTTCTCGCGTTTTTCCAAGACCAAGAATTCTGCTACATTCTCTCAAGCATTCTCCATCCCATTTTTCTTTTCTATTACGTCCTTGATTGGTATCATTGTCACTGCTGCGGCATACAATGTCTACCAGGTCAACTACTGGTCTCCATTAGACGTTCTCGACAGGTTCTTGGGTGATGGACAGACAAAGGGTGAGCGTGCTGGTGTGTTTCTCATCTCTTTTGTTTTCGCAGTTGCGCAATTGGGTACCAACATCAGTGCAAACTCCCTGTCTGCTGGTACGGACATGACGGCACTCCTGCCCAAATTCATCAATATTAGACGTGGTGGTTTCATTTGCGCTGGTTTAGCGTTATGCATTTGCCCTTGGAATTTGATGTCCAGCTCGAGCAAGTTTACCACGGCATTGGGCGCGTATGCTATCTTCCTAAGTTGCATTAGTGCCGTCATGGTGGCCGATTACTACGTTGTCAGACGGGGCAAGTTGGACTTGCAACACTTGTACTGTGCCGACAAAGATGTCTCGATCTACATGTACGGCAACAGATTTGGCGTCAACTGGAGGGCTCTGGTTGCCTATCTTTGTGGTCTTGTTCCAAATATGCCAGGGTTTGTCGGGACCGTCGGCGACAATATCTACGTACCCATGGGTGCTATCAAGCTTTACTATTTGAACTATCTGATTGGATTCCTTGTCTCATTCCTAATCTTCATTGTCCTCAACTACTTCTTCCCAGCTCCTGGCACGCCTGTGAGCAACATTTTCAAGAAGAACGAATGGATGGAATCTTTCCAGGATGTCGAATTCTTCCGTGAAGAAAGAGATGCTTTCAACAAAGAACTACACCTTGACGTCGTTTCTTCCAGAATCGGGGAAGGCGAAGAAGACCCTGCTATGGCCTTCGTGGTTCGCAGTCGCGATACAATTTCAGGAAAAAGGGCCTAAGTGCAAAAATTGTTTTTACATGAAATTCTAAATAATATTAATACACAAAACGCATATGCTAAGTGCGTGGTACGTTCAAGTAGGCAGTAAGGTGTTATTCTGTCAGGGCTACGGGATAGCCTAATTTCGGCGTTTTTTTTTGTGCATTTTCGAGCTCCAAACCGCAAGCAAAGGCATGATTGGCAGGCGCTCAAGTAGCTCCATTTAAACTCGATGTCCAGACAATGATCTCTAGGATCTAGAAGACAAAATCATCATCGCTGCAATCACCGTTCATATTCAATCTGACACGTTCACGTTCGTAGTGACTAAGTTGGTTTTCAAGCCCTAAGTACCACTCCACTCAGCCAAAATTTTCACTAACGAAGTATATAAAGTCCCATAACACTTCCACGTCGTCTCCGGCACTTACCACATCTGAAGAGTTAGAATTCAAGCTTCAGATGCCTAAACCAATGCTTCAAGTCTCCAGGAGGAGTTTTGAGGAAGGGCTAGTGAGGGGATAGGAGTCCCCAGTAGAAGAGAAAATTGCTTAGTTTCATGAAACAGGTGGACCAGCGCGTTCAAGTACGCGATGTTATGCCAGATAAGAACATCAGCCATTATGATGACACGTTGTCGCCCCAAACGGATTTCGAAAATATGAACGATTCGACCATATTAGCCAAACACAATAGATTTCTGATCAATGGCATGTTCTATTCTGCAGAGTCGTTGCCGGGAAAATTCGAAGTCACCACGGATTTTCTGCGAACCTAACGATTTGTCTCTTCTATATTAAGCACCCCGGAAAGTATCAATTAGCAAGGCTCTAAAATGTAGAAATAGCCCATATTAGGCGTCAAACTCTTGGTATTCACCGTACTTCTACAAAGATGGGGCGCAGGATGTGTACTTCGTGATGATCAAAATTCGAGATTCCATGCTAATCATGATATTCGCAGTAATTCTGTGAAAGGATTAGAAATCGATACTATTGCTGAAAGTTAGCCTGAATACTGTAGAGGACTCGGATGGCTCCTGGGGTCGGTGGAGGAAATAATATAAACAGCTCTTGATGATAAGTTCAAATTCGACGAAGACGACTGAGATGTAGTTTACTTTGTACGTTGTCCGCTACTGCCATCTTAATGTTTCGGGACCGACGGCAGCGGCTTTCTTGTGCGATCATTTACGGTCAAATATTTACATGCGAATAGCCTATATTATTCTTTCTTGAACCTCGCGTTAATTGCACACGCGGATATTTCCACACACAGGGACATACAAGTGGACTCCATGGGCATGGCACAGCTCACTACTTTTGAACTGCTGTTTCCGCTGCCGCAAAGGTGTATACTATTAATGGTTGCGGGGCTGTGGTTGTGGCTCTTCCAAATATCGATCTTACACAGGGCCTTTCGCATTGACATATCTCAATTGGTGCTCTCGCATAATTCGTCGGAGATTTCTCCTCGCATCCCTACCACTAGGCTTATCCAAAACACGCGGCAGATTGTACAACGGATCACTAAGATTATATTACCTTGGTATGCGGCAACCTGCTTCCTACTTCACAAGTGCAACGGTGATTCTAACTATGCTACAGAAGCTTGGATTCTATGCCTACTAAACATTCAACCGCTGTGCCAGTTCATAGCTATATTTGCTATGGTGTTAGATTACTCCCCTATGGTTTTGCGGTGCTTCAAGAAAATCTTATGTTTTGGGAATATCGAGTCGAAGCCGCTGAGAAACAACTACATTCTACTCACGGATTCCTTAACCTCGTTCGGTAAGCCTCTGATTGACTTTGGGCTATATATCTCCCACTTGGTCTCTCGACCCTTCGACGAAAAATGCATTGTCGATCGTAGCTCCCATGGCCAGGTCTACCATCTGGATCTGATAATTGGCATCACCCCGGTAATGCTACGCTTATCACAGTGCTTGCGAGAATTTCAAAGATCTAAGAGCTCCGGCCAGTCGAAAAATGCTCTCTATAACGCCGTCAAATATTCGCTGAACTTACCAGTGCTTGCATGCACGGTTCACGCGCGCATGTTTCCAAACGGAAGCTCCACCAATAAGGTTTACTGGTTTATGATGGTGAGCTCGATATATGGCTTTTGGTGGGATCTAACAATGGACTGGAATCTCGGGATGTTTAATTTCAGTTCTAAGGGAATGGATCGAAACGAGTTCTTGAGGAGTCGAACCTTGTTTCCGCAGGTGGCTTACTGCATTGCTATTTGTACCGACTTTGCCATTAAATTTGCATGGCTATGGGAGCTCATGCTTGGTAGAAGCGTGTTCAAAGGGGAGGCTAACATTTTCTTTTTACAGTCACTTGAGCTTTTTAGAAGGTGGGTTTGGACTTTTGTTAAGCTTGAAGCCGAAGCAGTGAATCTCGAGGGTGTTGAGAAAATGGAGGATTGAGCTGGGAACCCGAGTATTTCATATATTCATCAGATCCAACCATCAGGCCCACCAGTAAAGTGAAATAGCCAAAAGCCAAAAGCCAAAGACCAAAATAATCGAATGTCACTTACCGTTATATAATGTACAAAATATTTACCGGGCTTCGCCCCTCTGGTGATTCAGCTACTTCTTTTTCTTCTTCTGCCACCAAACGAATCTCCATCTCTACCTCCTGCGTTTGTTGTTGTCGGCCTTCTTCTGGTTGGACCTTCTCTCCGACTTTGTCAGATATCTGAACTTCTTCTTCTTCTTGGGCTTGTCATCCATTCCCAAAAACTTAGCGTACTTGGCAGCCCGTTCTATGCTCTCATCCAACACTTTGGCCGAACGCTCCAGTTTAACATTATTGGCGGAAGCCAAAAATTCGAAATTCTCGTTAGGCTCCAGAGGCTCGATGTCCACTTCTGTGTCGTCCTCGTATACCTGATGGGATTTTTTCAAGATGGGCCTGACACCCTCTTCGGAGTCTGAAAATCCATCCCACGATCTTTCACCATCCGAGACATCTTGTCCTCTTTTCTCCTCACCTTCCTCCTCTTCATCTTGGCCATCGTCCCTTTCATTGTCTGACCCCACGTAGTCCCCAACCTCCTTCATCGTTTCCTTGAATTTGCGCATCTGTTCTTCCGCGTCCAGCTGACGCTGCTCTCGCATTTTCCGCCGCTCTTCCACCTTCATCAGCCGTGCCTGCTCCTTGTTGAACTCCTGAGCCTTCTTCTGCCTCTCCAGCTTACGTTTATGGAACCCAGTCAGGTAATCTAACCTTGAATCTTTATCGAAGTTGACCTCATCAGCCCCGAACTTTTTGGCTTGCTTTGCCACATAGTTCTTGCCTTGTGTAAGGATCTGCCGATTGGTACGAGGAGCCATCTTATGAGCCTAAACGTAGTAGTCAATGCTGGATCAAACTTATGCTTTGATTCGCGATGAGATGGGCATCCGGAAAATTTTCAGCCTGAAATATTATCTACTATATATTCAAATAGGGTCTATCAACTAGCATTGAATCGACAAACAAAAGGTAGCAACGGGGCTCCTTTAGCACTTGTTTCAATCAATTTCAGCTTATTGAACAGGATGGCCCCAGTTAGAAAAGGCTCACAGCCGAATGAAGTGGCTCAATTGGTAGCACAAATACCTCCTGTAACTCGTTTCGTTCTGGCAGCTATCGTGGTGCTCTATACGCTAGTGAGGGCCCAGATTGTGCGAGACACATGGCTTTGTTTCTGGCCGTACCACACTTTCGTTAAACTACAGGTCTGGCGGATGTTTACGGGTTGTTTTCTGGTCTTTAAGGGCAAAATGGGAACTCTGTTCACAATGTTCGAGTTGTACACGCACTCCTCTCACCTGGAGTCGTTTCATTTCCACGATAGAAACCACGCGGAGTACGTGTACCTACTATGCGTGCTGCTGGTGGGTGTAGTAGCGTCGGCCACCGCCCTGCGTATCGACTGCTCTTACACGCTTATCGACGGTATGATGGCTGCGTTGACGTGTTTGTGGAGCATCAAAAACTGGAACACCGCGTTGATGTTCTATGGTCTGTTTCCTGTTAAGGGCAAGTACAATCCGCTGCTCCAGTTGTTTTTGTCGTTCCTGTTTGACGACGAGGTGGCCACGTTTCCACTGGTCGTGATAGGGTTCTCCGTGGCGTACGCTTTCAATTGTCTGGACACGAGGTCGCTGGGGCCCCTTTACGGGTATATACGGGGCAAGCCCATGGGCTATGGCTTGGTGAACGACAGACAGTTCCGGGCTCCGCGGTGGTTCTCCAGCGCCTGGCGGGTGCTCTCAGACGGCCAGAGCCGCTCAATGCACGCGGTCTTCGACAAAACCAAAACCTATCAGGGTCAGGGCCGCAAGCTTGGTAGCAGGGACCCTTCTGATGCTGGTAGAGTCGGGGTAGACTCGGCTGGCGTGGCCGCAGCTTCTATGTCTCGCCCGAAGACTAGCCCCACAATGGCCTTTTCCTCGGGTCCGGCTTTCAGAGGAAAGGGCCAGCGTGTTGGCACCAAATAATTACTAGAATGACTGGGAAAGACCGGCTCTTGAGTCAACTGTTATTGTTCGGAGCTTGAAAGCACTGACGCTGACACCGGGCCCCGGAGTCCTTGGTCGCTATGTACGTGTGTGTCGCCGACCCGTTGGAGTTTCTATATAAAAGGGTCATCACTACAACATGGACAAGTCATGAAGCTAACAACCGGATGATCAGGCTCGAGGCATATAAAAGGAGAAACTTGTAGCTCGCGTACCGATCAAGCTCGATCTCCCAAATGAACACAGTTAGTTGAGCTAGAATTACCAAGATCCCTTGTTGCCCATCATTGGAGTTGCGTGGTTTAGCTGTTACTTGGTTAATGCGTCCTATCATAAGAACTTGTTGTGCAAGGCGGATGGTATCGACTCTGCAGAAATTCCCATTTGAAAACCTGAATGGAGAGCATTATTTAGCAAGGCACCCGAATGCGTATTATCAAAGGAAACGGGCGGGTTACCAGGGTACCACTTTCGAGAACCAGGCAAAACTACCGGCTTTGCCCGTACCAGAGCTGGAAGAGACACTGGCAAAATACATCGAAACCATAAAGCCATACTGCCAGACTAGAAGTCAGCTTGAGGAACAGAAAAGATTGTGTGCGTCTTTTGCTGCAGGTGCAGGTCCAGAATTGCAAGAACGGCTGCAAAAATTCAGCGACAAATCGAGGAACTGGCTGTCACATTTTTGGGACAATACCGCGTATCTGGACTATAACGACCCAGTCGTGCCGTATGTTTCGTATTTCTATGCCCACAGACCGCTGCCCAACTCGCACGCTAGAATACAGTCAGACCCGCTGCTTAAGGCGACTGCGATCATTCTTTCAGTATTGCGTTTTATGGAGTTGCTCAAAGATGAGTCTTTGCCTGCAGAATTAGTGAAGAATCACCCTTTCTGTATGAACGGCTTTTCGCTCATGTTCAACAACGCGCGCATTCCGGGAGGTGGCAGAGATACGAATGTCTTCTACTCGCTTCACGAGCACAATTTCATCAGTGTGGCTTTCAGAGGTAACTTCTACACTTTGTGGACCCATAATGAGGACGGGGAGGTTTTGAAGCCGCACGAAATCTGGCACCAGCTATATGCCATCAGCAATTCCGGGAATGCATATAAGCCTGAGCCAACCAGTGCCGGCATTGGGACTTTGACATCGTTGCCTCGAACTGAATGGTTCAGGGCCTACTCGGAACTACTATTAGACCCGATCTCTAAACGTTCTATGGAGACAATCCACCAGTCTTCTTTCATGCTATGCTTGGACATGGACGCCAACCCCGTCACTTGGGAGGAGAAGTCAAGATTTTCATGGCACGGAGATGGCATCAATAGGTTTTACGATAAGCCTTTGCAATTCTTCGTGGCCGAGAACGGCGTTTCGGGATTTCTTGCCGAACATTCCAAGATGGATGGGACTCCCACTCTTTTGTTAAATGATTACGTGTGTCGATTTATGGAAAATTTGGACGCAGCCAGCTTTGTCGGCGAATTGCGACAACAGGACTCGCTTCCGAAGTATAAACCCCAGTACTTGCCCTTTCTACTTACCCCTTCCATCCGGGAGCAAATAAAACAAGCGCACTCCAAATTTGTTACTGCTACGGCTGAACACGAATTGAAAGTGTGGCACTATAACCGGTACGGCAAGAACGTTATAAAGACGTTTGGATTCTCTCCCGATGCCTTTGTTCAACAGATCATCCAGCTGGCGGTCTACAAGTACCTGCATAGGCAACTGCCCACCTACGAGGCAGCCTCTACTAGGCGTTTTTTCAAAGGTCGGACTGAAACGGGAAGAGCTGTCACAGCAGAATCGGTCAAATTTGTCACCGATTGGGAAGACCCAGATGTCACTAATGCTGATAAAGTTGCCAACCTGCGTGCGTCGGCCAAAGCCCACGCGGATTATCTGAAGGCTGCTTCTGGTGGGCATGGTATTGATCGCCATTTTTTTGGGCTGAAGAGTATGTTGCGTAACGACGAGCCTGTGCCGGAGCTACTGAATGACGCCCTTTTCAAGTACTCCTCCACGTGGCTGGTATCCACCAGTCAGTTGACATCTGAGTATTTTGAAGGGTATGGTTGGTCTCAGGTTAATGACAATGGGTTCGGATTAGCATACATGCTTAACAAGGAATGGTTGCATATCAATATCGTGAACAAGCCCACAGCGAGCAATTTGAGTGTGTCGAGGCTCCATTACTATTTGACTGAGGCGGCCGATCAAATGTTCGAGCTGCTCTACAAAGAAATGAATCAAAAATCTAAATTATGAAATTTACATCGAGGGTGCCATAGGGCGTAAAAGACAGCAGTGCCTCCTCACTTGCATGACTAAATAGCTAGAAGCAGAAGATTATATGATTTTAACGATGACTGAAAATCGCCGGGCGCACCTTTGAATGCTGACAATCTTTATCAAGACATTGGCATCAAAAATGTAAAAATTGATTTCGCCCAGGATCGAACTGGGGACGTTCTGCGTGTTAAGCAGATGCCATAACCGACTAGACCACGAAACCAATGATAAGGTTTCGAATGTCAACTGTCATATTTATGGTACTCTTGTACTCATATGAGCTATGGGACTTTTATTTAGCTCAATATCCGCCTTCTATCTTCTGCCAACGTCAACACAGATTCTCAAGGCTCAACTACCGCGCCAGCTGCTGGCTCAAATCCACTTTCGAATAGTTGAGATGCCATTCGTAGAAGAGATTAACCTTAAGACGCATAGCCCTGATGTATACTTCACGAGTGTTAATGCTGCCGGACCTTCCGGCAGGAATCGTATCACCAAGACCACAACCGCTTCGGGAGCGAGAAACAACAAGCGAGTCAACTATTCACTTTCTGATCTGGAAGCTAAAATATATGCACAGAAAGGTAGCACAGATGCAGAGCCGCAAAACTCGAGTTTCATCACCACTACCAGCACTGCTCTTGAACGCTACACCCCACAGGAATTGCTGAAGTCACGCCGTAGATTTATGGAGCTCGACTCTGAGAACCCACAAGATATCAAGGATGTGGCATACCTCATGAGCAGCGTCACGGGTATCAGCAAGGACCGCATCGACGCAAGTAGCGGCTCGGGACAAGGCACCGGTTCCACATCCAACGTCAACAGGCCTGGCAGGAACAAGTTCGAACTGCCGAAAAACATGGAGCTCATGTATCGGTCCACCAAACCGCCGGCAGTCAAGAAAAAGAACACTAACCGAATAGTAGCGCTGAAAAAGACACTCGCCTCCAAGAGACCCCTCACCAGCTACCTCGATGCACTCGATCAGGTAAACCGCAGCATTGTCTTCCACAACGTATACAATAAGAAGTTCTTCAAGGTACTTCCGGTTATCACCGTCTGCTCCATTTGTGGTGGCTATAATAGCATCTCGGGATGCGTCAACTGTGGAAATAAAGTCTGTAGTCTACGGTGTTTCAACCTCCATAATGATACGAGGTGTACCAACTAGGGAAATTTTCAAAAGCACGGTCACTGAAGCCAAGAGAGGTTGCTCAGGACAGCGATGGGACTACTTCGCGGGCAATCGACTAGGTTTCCAAGTAACCCAATACGAAGGTAAGACATTCAATTGCATTGATGAAAGATGAGATGGCGTTTCTTTCGATTCCAAGAGGATAGAAGAGACCATAAGAACTCCATAGAGCAAACCTTTTTTTGTTGGCGTCCGTTTCATGCCTAGTTTTCTGTCTCTGCATACTTGAGAGACAATCATGAATTCAAGAGAACCCGGAAGGTCGCGTAACTCGGAGCAGGACCCTGAGAATCCTAGCGGTAGTGATGTTGGGGTGATGATTAAGGGCAAAGTGTATCCTTATGTGGAAAAAAACCCTTTGGATGCGATAGCACTCAACGGATTCAACTTGGGAATTGCTGTGGGTTTAGCGATGGGCCTGCTGACCTACACCTTCTTCAAGAATTTCAATGTGTACGTGCTGGCTATTTCTATCTTTCATTTCCTGGAGTTCTTCGTCACAGCGAGGTTCAATCCAGGCAAGGTCACTTCCGACTCATTCCTTTTCAACAATGGTAAAGCATATATTTTCTCGCACCTGTTTGCCATGACGGAAGCGCTCGTTCAGTGTTTGTTTTTTCCACGCTGGAAATCTAGCTTTTACTCCAAAGCTCATCTGATCATATCATTGCTAGGCTTCTTGTTGATTATAATGGGCCAATACGTTAGAACAATGGCGATGGTCACGGCAGGGAAATCATTTTCGCATCATGTCAAGCAAACCCGAAATTCTGATCATGTTTTGGTGACTACCGGAATTTACGGCTGGTTCCGCCATCCCAGCTATTTCGGATATTTTTGGTGGGCACTCGGCACTCAATTGTGGCTACTGAATCCATTGTCGTTTGTAATGTTCGCTGTTGTCTTATGGAGGTTCTTCGATGCCAGAATAGAATACGAAGAAAGATATCTTGTTGCATTCTTTGGTTTAAGCTATAAAGATTACACCACTAAAGTTGGAACCGGTATACCTTTCGTTCACAGTAATTCTAAACCATCTAGCCATCTTCGGTGATCGCATTTGCAATTTGCTTTAATTTTTAATTCTCGGTAACTGTCATTATTGTTACAACCCTGCACGGACCTATACATGTAATTATATGTAATTATTCATCTGAGGTCAGATCAATGAAATCCAGTTCATTGGAATCTGAGTTATGCAAAGTGGGAGGAGGCGGCACAGGAGTTAGCGAATCGTCTGTGAGGGGGGTTTGTGCAGAAGGTAGTGCACGACTCGCTTGACTATCAGTAGTTTTACCAGCACTCTTATTGATTGACTCACTGGATACTTGACGCTTTTGAGGTAGGACGTTAGCAAATGTCTTTTTTGGAATAAATGGTGACACAATAGGCCGCCTAGGTCGGGAATGGGAAACATCTGGTGCACTACTTATTGGAGCAGTTCTGTTGAGGGAAGGGGGAACTGGTGGTAGAGGAGGTCGGTTATCTGAACTATTCGAGGTGATAGAAGGAACCACCGGAGCAGAACCGAATGCTTGTCCTGGTGCTGGTCCTGGTGCTTGTCCTGGTGCTGGTCCTGGTGCTTGTCCTGGTGCTGGTCCTGGTGCTTGTCCTGGTGCTTGTCCTGGTGCTTGTCCTGGTGCTGGTCCTGGTGCTTGTCCTGGTGCTGGTCCTGGTGCTTGTCCTGGTGCTGGTCCTGGTGTTGGTCCCGAAGTTGCATTAGATGCCTGTGGCAATTCTGAGACGGGTAGTGCCCTGCTTAATATTGCAGGGGAACTAGATTGTTTGCTTCTAACTAGCAGATTGTTGGATAGTTGGGGAACAGAATCTCGGCGACGGGCATCTTTTGAGACATGAGCACTTTCAAGATGGCTGGGGACGTGAGATGAGTGTTGTTGCATCAATACATGATTTCCGTCACCAGCGAGTCCCAGCAAGTTTTGGGTACCACCTGAACCATAAGGCAATGGTGGTAGTGTGTGTTCGTGAAAGTTCGAAGGCCTATATGGTCCCAGAAAGTTGGGATCCAAAGAAGAATGACCACCTTGTACTGGCATGTCATTCGTCCCATGTGAGTAATTACCCAGCAGTGGGAGGCCCAATCCTCTGGAACCGTTATCCCGCAATCCAAGAGCCGGAATAAAGGTATTACTAGCTGGGCTTGGTGATGTATTTGCATCCGTGGGAGCTTCTTCATCGTTGGGGAGCACTCGTCTGCCATCACTGCCAGAGTTTAACGGCGTTCTGCTTAAAATATTTGGCACTGGGTGTTGTCGGCGAATGAACCCTGTACTTCCTGGAGCAGAATTTCCGCCAGGGGAATCTGCAGCGGGTATTACTCTATGATCCGATAAAGGCGTAGAATTTACCCGCCCAGGGTCCAAGCTACGATGGGGTTCAGGAACGCTGTCCATATAGCTTCCGTAAATGTTTCCTAAGGTGCTGTCTCGAGGTATTGAGGAATTACTAGGGCCTGAGCTATGATGACCCTCAGTCGATAGGTGCGTTGCTTTTGCTGTTATGTTTTGATCCGATGCGGACTGTAGAGGGACCGATTCATGCTGCTCGATGGGATCCCCGATTTCCTCGTCGCTGTCTAACGAGATCACCACGGGATCTGGCTGTTGCAATCTATTGCGACCTGCTGGGGTTGGTGCTTCCTCATCCTCGTTAGACGCGCTGCCAGAGCTCCGGAAGGTAGGGCCATGCTCGGACTTTACCTGCACTTTACTACTTTCTCTTGGGACAGGAGTTTCATCCTCAAATATGGGCTTCCAAGACCCATCCTTCGAAATCTCCACTTGTTCGATTTCATCGTCGCACTCTTTTATGATGTCTTCCACGAACTCGCATACAGCAAGATCTTCCACCTTAACTGTTTTTTGACAAACTGGACAATGCCAAGTCGGAATCTGCTGTTGGGATTCTATAAACCACAGCGCGTCGAAACATTGCAGGTGCTGGCAGTGGACTGATTTAGATGGATACCTCATACGGCAATAAGATATTGGGCATTGCAGAGTCATAACGGTAGATGTCGTGACCAGGTCGTCATCTTCGTCCTCACTTAAAGACTCTTTCAGATATTGTAATGTTGCTTGTGTCACTATTCTCGGATGGCGCAGAACTTCTTCCAAAATATTATGCGGCGGAATGATTTCAACGATATAGCAATACACCAAATAATCGTCCTTGGTGAACGCATAAGTCAGTTGCAAGTGATTGTCCTTGGTTCCTGATCGCAGATAAGGCGTTAGATCCGCGGGTTTCGCCGTGCCTATCTTATTTTTCAACCCGCGAACATTGTCCTTGACAACCTCATTGTTAAGACGAATGTCATTCGGGTGTGGAAATTGAATGGGAACATTACTTCGGCTTTCGATCATTGGGGTGAGAATACCACAAAACATGTAAAGTTTGAATTCCGGTCCCTTCTGCAATAGGGCCGATTCATCTTTAGTAAGAGTAAAATGATACGAACAAACCCCTCTTCCACTGTTGCTTGCAGCAAATTTGGGAGACCCATTCAGTAATCGTTTCAATCTATAAAATGGCGATTCGCCAAATTGAAGCGCTACGCGAGTCTTCGGGCTTTGGGTCACCGTTGACACCTTGGCATCCTTGGAGGAAGATCGTATGGCGCTAGGAGGCTGGTGGCCGGTTGCAACGGGGTGGTTTTGGAAAGAACCAGATTTAAGACCCTGCCATATGGCCTCATATGTCGGGAGAGCTTCGTTTAAGCGAGCTTTCTCTATTAGTAGCAGGATGGTTTTGGGACGCCAGGGATCTATTGCGCCTACCCTGCATGAATTCTTTAAGTACGCTCGCAGCCGGTCTTGAAGATCTGCTTTCCTCCCACTTAAAGACAAGCCGATGGCTCTGGAAACAGATTTCAGCTCTGTCACCTTCAGTCGTTCCATTTCTTGTATGCAAAAGTCAATTTCATGGTGAAGGCCAGCGGATGAAACGACCATTTTAGGAAACGCCCCACAAATAAATGTCAACTATTAGTGGAGTGGGGCACTAAATGCTGCGGATGCACCAATTATGCGTTGTTGGATATGGGTTGAATAATGGATAACAAACCTTGATGAGCTTCAATCACTTGAAATGACACATTGTCATTTGGAACGAGATGATTTAATCAATTGGTGGCAGATTGGTGTTGTAGTGAGACCAAGGGTTCAAGCCGGATCTCTGGTTTTAGGCCTGTTCTCTTTTCAGGGATGTACTGGAAAGCTGATTATTTGCAGGTGATCCGAATGTATTTTCTCGTCAACTCTTCAAGGTCTTTCATTTAGTTGTCGATAGGCCCATTTGGTGAGGTGGTCTCTGAAGAGGGCTTATGATGAACTCTGTTCAAGCGAGTTAGCCTCGGCAGTAGTTATTGAGCTACTGAATTATTTTTCGATTCTCAGATAGACATGGTAAAGTATGATCCAGGAACTTGACTGTAAATCGGGAGCTTCCAACGCACCTTCTAGTTGTCTTCTCGTGATTATTTGGACTATGAGGCTAATACATATGTACCGCGGCCAGTAACTGATATCTATCAACAATCTAGCGGAAATAATAATGGGGCGTGGGACTGGATAAACCATCATTTCCACCCAACAGGCCATTTGTTGGGTTTTGAGTGCTACTGTATAATTGACATGGCAGGCCAAACCATAACTATACAGTCACTGTTCCGCTGGATCCGATAGGTAGATTGTTCGCCTTGTTCTTCGTTTGCTGGTTTCCCAGTATCACTTCGTACTATACTGACACTAATTTAATAATTCCTATGATACAACTCGCTGCTATTCAAATAATACCGAATCCAATCAGCTGGTGGTTCTAACAGCTTGAAGAGGCCATATAAACTAAATTGTAATACAACACCCAGCTCCTTTCAATGCGTCAGGAGCTCCTGTTAGTTGCTATCTTGTTTCAGCCACTGGAACGCCATATACGTACAGAGCCCTTTTCGAACGTCTCTTCTCGGGGCTCCTGTTTTTGGTGCAGCGAGAACAAATCAGCCGAGCCTGCAAATTGTTCGCATAGTGCTTGGCATTCCCTCTTAGCCCAGGATTTATGCCTAACCCAAAAAACCCAAAAACCCTGTTGAGAAGTTGGAAAAAAAAGGTTAAGGCAGTCCCCTCATTGCTGCCAGTTCACAAAGACGGATGTGAGGAATTGTCATGGACTGTTCGAACGAAAGAAATGAACTAACTAATCTTTGAGAGGTCTTCTGTCATCTGTCCGGGTAACTTGTCTCTAAGTATTGGAAAATTTTGAGATATATGCTATTAATCAAAACTAAAGTGAGACTAAAATTTAAGCGTTCACATAGTTTCTATCGCAGGTAGGTGAGTTGTCCTGGGTGTTCCCGAATTAATGAATATCTTCAGAAATCTGGGACCGTCTGTAAGGCGATTTCCGGTCTTTCCGGGAGTGAATCATGTTCGCCTTTTAAGCATGGGAATGCGTGCAATGCAGTTCGAAACGAAAACGCAGGCCACACCTGTGTCAGTCCAAATGCTGAAAATTGTGCCCAACGATACAGATTTAGTGACTCTGGAGAAGCAGGATGCATTGATCAAGAGAAGGCGGAAGCTTTCCAAGGAGATCACAAGGTTGAAAAAGTTGAAGCCGGTTTCCCCTGGTCTCAGATGGTACAGAGCGCCTATCTACCCATATTTGCATAACGGCCGTCCTGTTCGCGCCTTGACCGTGGCCAAACGTTCAAATGGTGGTAGAAACCACACAGGTAGGATCACAGTGCGCCACCGTGGTGGTGGACACAAGCGAAGGATTCGGTTGGTGGATTTCACACGTTTTACGCCCGGTGAGCAAACGGTACAGAGGATAGAATACGATCCAGGCAGATCAGCCCATATTGCTCTATTGAAGCATTCTGCTACAGGCGAGCTGAGCTACATCCTCGCATGTGACGGTTTGAGAGCCGGTGACGTTGTAGAGTCGTACAGAAAAGGTGTACCCGACAATTTACTTCAGGAGATGGGTGGTAAAATTGACCCTGCCATTTTGAGTGTGCGCACTGCTCAAAGAGGTAACTGTTTACCAGTATCGATGATCCCTGTGGGTGCTATCATTCATAACGTCGGTATTACACCCGTTGGGCCAGGCAAGTTCTGTCGTGCTGCAGGAACCTACGCCCGTGTGGTAGCCAAATTGCCAGAAAAATCGAAGGCAATTATTCGTTTGCAAAGTGGGGAACAACGTTATGTCGCGCTAGAAGCGTGTGCTACAATGGGCGTTGTCTCCAATATCGATCATCAGAATCGTTCCCTGGGTAAGGCAGGTAGATCGAGATGGAGAGGTATAAGACCTACGGTTAGAGGTGTGGCGATGAATAAATGTGATCACCCTCATGGTGGTGGTAGAGGTAAATCTAAGTCCAAAAAGCTATCCGTGTCTCCATGGGGTCAACTGGCTAAAGGTTACAAAACCAGAAGAGGCAAAAATCAAAACAGAATGAAGGTCAAAGACAGACCAAGAGGGAAATCGGGCAAGGCCATGAGACAGTAGACTTCTTGCATTGGCTTAAAGAAGCGCCAAATTTCAAAGCAATAGAAGGCATTTTAATACTGTATAAATAGTAGCTCCTGTAAATATCATTACGACGACATTACGTTTCTAATCGGAATTCTTCAGTCTGAAACTCCACCTACTTAATTCTACGGCAGTTCCCACGACTAGCTTTACGTGCTCCGCCATATGCTGGAAATTTAATCTATCCAATGTGTCCATGGTGCTGTGAATGTATTTGTTTGTTCGAGAAAATTCACTCTCTATGACAAAGGCAGCTGGAAACCCGTTCCTTGTAGCGCTGCCGTGATCACTGCAAGCGTATCCGCATGTTGTCTCGATGTAAGGGATGTTGAGGTATTCGTCAATAATTCTTTCGATAAACAGTGTGAAGCCCGGGGTAGTGTAATCTGTCACAACACCCACATGTTCCTTTTGAGGATCTGGTACATAGCCTGTCATATCCTGTTGTAACATGGCGACAACCGTTTTGTTAAGCTGGGCATACTGATTGAAAACATCGAGCGAACCAAGTAGACCGCCTTCCTCAGCGGAGTAAAAGTGAAACTCTATCGTGTTGCTAGGCCAATCATTGGTCGCATTCAGATACTGTGAATAAATTCTGAGAGCTTCGATGTTTGTTACCGTGCCGGAACCATTATCATCGGCACCTGGTGCGGGCAAGACCGAGGGAAATATCAAGTTCATGGAATCCTGGTGAGAGCCAAAAACAACAACATTTTCTGGAGTCTCGGTTCCCTTGATTTGGACGATAATAGAGAACTGGGGCCAGTCCTGATGGTCTACATGAAACTGTGCTACCTTGTCGCCTAGGGGTCTTGTGACATTCTTTAGCTTGTCAGACAGCCAAGTGGCAGACTCAAGTCCCGCCTGAGATTTGTAGTATCGTGTGTAAAAACTTGTGAACTGCGCCAAGTCATTGTACATGGAAGACTCATCGATAGTCTCGATTATCTGCGAAACTTTGTCACCGTTAACCAACTTTTTTGGGTAGGAATACTGCGCCACGACAGGTTCTTCCTTGGACTTGAAGAACGGAAAGTTTGTTATATCAAAGAAGTTGACTCCCTGTCTCTTGAGCAGTAATTTTTCCCCATCCGTTACTTTCAGCGTTTGGTCTTGCGATAATTGTATAGTTCTAAGATCTTGTTCGTTAGAAAAGTACGGCAGCACTTTCGAAGTGAATGACAAGAGTGGTAGGAATTTCATATTTACCGTTCTTGTCAGTTTAGCTTTAGATTTTGATTAGTTGTCAAACTATCGTCTACCTTGAGATAATCTATACATTTTCGTTCCTGATAAGGCCCTTTGTAAATACGGAAAAAAACAGATCCTCCTTCCTCAAAAAATCACATCGTCTTCTTGCTCAGCAAGGACATCAGGTGCTTCGTGAGCTTCCTCGGTAGTTTTAGCGGCGGAACTACCTTCGTTGGACGATTTTGCTGGTAGCGTAGCCTCTTCTGCCTTAGCGTTGGCATCAATCTCCTTCTGCCGTTTCATTTGGGCGTCGAGCTCCGCCGTCTGTTGTTGTTTCTTCTCTTGGACTTTCTTCAATCTATAAAACTCCTCTCTGTCTAATTCGTCGAGTTCACTGTTGATGTAGGCGATGGTGTTCTCTGTACGAGGGATGATAACATGCTCGATGGCATTCACTCTTCTATTGGTGACCTTGATAACCTCGTCCAGAATCACAAACGCGGTCTGCAAAGATGCGAGCTCCACCAAGGTTTCGACAGCCTTGGAGTAGATCTCCTTGGCCCTTTGCACCTGCTGACCACCACGCCCTAAACCGGTCAATTTGAAATCGTTGATCTCAGAATCGATGAAGCTCTCGAACTGAGGCAGGTACACACCACTCACATTCTCCTGGCGAGCTCTAACCTTGAACCTGGCGTTGGAGACGTTTTCTTGTACCTGATATCCGATGTTTTCCCCTGTGGCATAGCTGACTTCAGCCAACGAAAAAGCCGCCGTTTGCATGACGCGCCCCATTTTTTGCTTGGCATCGTCGATGCGCTTCGTAATGTCACGGAACCTCTTTGTAAGAGCTTCCGATTTACGTTTCAAAAGCGAATGGCCTTGGTTAGCACCTTTAAGCTTGGATTTCATCATTCCCAGCGTCATACGCGTGGGAAAGACTTGCTCTCTGTTGGTGGACATTCTTCAGCTGTGAGTATGGAAATACAGTTGGCAAACCCTGCTCGCTGCGAATATAGAGCCCTTGGTAACTTCTTCGAACCCTGCCTTGGCGATAGAAATGATTATATTGTAATAAATCGCCAGGTTTAAAATCCCTTTTAAAATCTCGTTTGTAGTGATCAATAAATTTTATGAACCAAGTACCTTTGGACTCACGAATCTCATCGACCAAGGCCTACCTGAAATGGAAGAAGAGAAGCCAAAGGACTTGAGATACGTTAGCTTGGTCGGCTATCTATGAAGCCTGGCCGTCTGAGTCCGAGCGTGATGTATTCTTCGATTGCTCAGTATGTTAGCGGGAAAGAAGAGCTAGCGTTCGAGTACGAACTGCAATACAATGGTGACAACGTGGAGGTGTGGAAACGGTACATTGACTACCATAAAAGCTCCGGAAACCACTCGGCTCTTTCATGGGTCTACGAGCGCTGCTGCTATCAGTTCCCGGACTCTAAAGAAATGTGGACTGAGTACTTACAATGGCGGTTGACGCTGCTAGAGGGGGTGAACCCAGTGGTATATGCCGAGGAATTCGATAAATGCACACGCCTTTTTGAAAAGGCACTCTACCTATGTCATAGAGAAGTCCACTTGTGGGAAATGTACTTGCAACACTGCCTGGTCCAAAAAAACCTGTCCTTGATACGAAAAGTCCTCGACCATAGCCTGCGATGTGCCGCCCTCGAAAGTCATCTGAGGCTCTGGTCACCTGTGATAGCCTTCATCGAGAGCCTTCTTTTTGAAAAAGAAGCCGAGATTGACTACGATGATGAATTAGACCTCATAATTCAGCAGTCATTTCCCAATCACCAAGACCCAGGCAAGGCCGAGCCCGTGCTTCCCGATATATGGGCATCTCGTTTACTTGGACGTTACATGGAGATAGCTGAGGATCAAGAACATGTTCTTTTCCTCTTGAGCCTCACTAAAGACTATCCCACCATCGTCAAAATCTTCGGTGACCACATAGTTGCCCAAAATGCTTTTAAGCCAACTAATCATTCATTGTTCTACTTCTATAAAGGCTACCTTGAAGCCCTGGAGAAGACTGGTAGTCAACGCCAATACCTCAAGGCAATGGAGGTTTGTCTAGACAATTTCCCCGAGCAAAGATCCCACTTGGTGATTACGCTAAGCAAATACTACCTCAAGAATAAAGAATTTGCACAAGCAAGGTCAGTACTGCAAGAGTGTCTCAGCTCAACGATGACGTCGGAAGCCTTCGGTGAAATTTATGACTTTCTGGTCAAAATATTGGAATTGTACGTTTCGAACTGTATTCAGGAAGCCCAAGATGCCACAGATCCAGACAAACGATCAGCATTGGACCCAGTTATTACCTATAACATTGGCCTTCTCGAGTACTTGATGGAGGCGCACTCTTCGTTAATGAACGACCTAAAGCTTAGACAAAATATCAACAACGTTGCTACTTGGCTAGAAAGGGTTTCACTGTATGCTTCGTCCTCGGAAAAACTTGATGTGTATACCGAAGCTATTTTAAAGATAGATCCAGCACTTGTCTCTCAGTCTGGAGATTTGGGGAAACTGTGGTGCGGTCTTGCCCAACTGTACTCCGACTCAAACGAAGTAGACTCCGCCAAAGAAACACTGGATCGTGGAACGCGTGTCCCGTTCAAGTTTATGCAAGACTTAGAAATGATTTGGCTAAAGTGGGCTGAGTTTGAACTCGAACAGAGCGGTCTGGCAGACGCAATCACAATTTTGGAGACGGCACTCACAATACCTTCATCACCAGATCTGTTGATAGAGAGATATCATTCCGGAGAGGGCAATATTCCCGCAAAAGCCATAATATTCACATCGCCCCAACTTTGGTCTCTATACTTGGACCTTTTAGAGGCATCGTCTAACATCGAGAAGGTCACTGGTGCATATGAACAGCTAATTGTTTTAAAACTTGCCACGCCGCTGCAGTTCTTGAACTATGTCAAATTTCTACAAGCTCAAGAACGATGGGAAGATAGTTTTCGGGTTTACGAACGTGCCGTTTCTACATTTCCGCCAGAAACCACCTTGGATTTATGGAGTTTCTACTTGAACGATTCTCTTGTGAGCAATAGACAAGTGGAAACTATCCGTGATCTTTTCGAATCTTCGCTAAGGCTTGCTCGCGAGGGTGTGGACTGTTCGTCCTTCTTCATCCAGTACAGTGAATTTGAACAAAAGCAGGGCTTTTTCAAGAGAGCCGTTGACATCTTGGCTCGTGGTTGTTCTGAGGTTGCTGACGAAAGTTCAAACCTTAAATTATGGGGCTTATGCCTAGAGAGATGCAAGACATTACTTGGATTAGAGAGTTCTCGACCATTGTATGAAAAATGTATTCGAAGCGTCCCCAATTCCAAAGCCATGAGCTTTATCCTGGAATTTGCCAAAATGGAGGAAGTGATACCAGACATTGCAAGAGCTCGAACGGTTTTCAAATTCGGTGCACAGTTGGTCCATCCTGACGCAAATCGGGGACTGTGGGACAGTTGGAATGATTTCGAGTTAAAGCATGGAGACAAAGAGAGCTATAAGGAAATGTTGAGAACGAAACGACAGCTCATGGACACGATGAAGACTTCAACTGAAGAAATCTCCAAACAAAAAGGAAATATTGAATTCGTCTCATCGAAGCATAATGGCAAGGGTGCTGGACAAGGAACTTCTAGTTTAGAACTTCCACAATCAACCGACAATCCTGAAGAGATTTCTTTGGATATTTAGCATTTTAATAAAAACGAGAGTTAGGGAAGAATGTAGTCCAAAAAACTTGTCAAGACAAACATCAAGCAGGTGAGATCTGGACGTTCCTCTGATCCTTTACAAGGAATAACAAATTCTGGAAAGTTCCAAAAATAACGACAACTGCAGGATTCGAACCTGCGCGGGCAGAGCCCAAAAGATTTCTAATCTTACGCCTTAACCACTCGGCCAAATTGCCGTTTCGATATAAGTCTTTATATAGGTGTACACTTTAGTGTTGATTATCAGGAGCTTATATGCATGTGCGCTCCTGTGTACTATTACCGCCTTTACTCAAGGATTCATGTTTTGTAGTCGCTAGAGTACTAACTTTCAATACGAGCCACTTCTAATTTGCTTCTTTCAGTACTTATTCTCATTATCTGTTCTGATCCATAATAGCTCACTTTCAGGACTTTTTCTCCATGCCGCCTCAACAACAAGGCACATGTTGACACACGTAGTTTATTTCATCACGATATGTTGGTGGAGGCTGAAGTAGACAGATCTCTACCGTTTTATCAGTGCCTCGCGACTGTGCAATATCTTTAATTAGCCTCTTACCAATGGCCTGTCATTATTACTATTACTGTCGTTGCGTGACGACAAAACTATGTAGGGAGCACTATCAATGGTTGAGCCCACCGATTATAGAGGAGCACCCGATCAAAATATTCTAATTCATCTGTTTGTTATCTACTTGTTAAAATATTTATATATATCTGACTTCTTCGCACTTTTGCCTATCTTTTGCGATGATTTTCCAGAGACCCGTTTCGAATTAGAAAACAATAGCCGACGCTCACCATAGGAAAGATTAGTTGAATTTTCTGTAGCACCATTCAGACTTTCCGATAATTTCATAGCAAAGTGGAAATCTTCGTGCTCTTTGAACTCGCTCGGGCCCTCGAAGTTCATATTGCAAGGATCGCATCGAAGCCTTACTTTAGTTTCTTCTATTGGTACAAGCAAGCCCTGATCGCCTGCTTTGATGAAGTCATCCCCACTTCTGCGAATAACCTGAGTTCTTTGTCCGAACATGTCAACGATTGTTTTGCCTGTCTCCACAATTTCGAAGTTAGATATCATCATGTTTATATTAGTCAGAGGGTAAAATCCCTCAGAGTTTCCATGTTTGCAATCCAGCTGCTTGATTAATCTTGTTCCACGTTCCATTAGATCTTTGGCTCGAACGTGGCCGCTTACTACTAGGCTACCACCCCTACTGTGCCTTTGAAATTTTGTTGTTCGAACTGATATTGTCAAGGTCTTGGGTATAACTATCTTTTCGTATTCCTCCTCCAACTCCTTTATTCTCCCAATTAACTCACCACTGAAAACCTCCAACCAGGCTAGACAGTCCTGGTAATGCTGGCACGAATTTCCTCGCAGATTTTTATTCGACATCATGGAGCGCACCATGGGCTTGGGGCTTAGAGGAGTTCTGAATTCCCCGCGAGCTAGTTGGAATACTTTTTCGCTCATCTGCTGCAACTGATCGTCTGCTGGCCTATAAAACAGATCTTTGTCGTCAGTAATCTGTTGTGTCTTCTCCTTCAGATAGGCCCTCAACTCATCACTTGAAACTGGCCAAGAGTCCCTGATATATTTTAGCGGTTTCTCGTTCGGCAGTTCTAATAGCTGCGTTAGTCCTTTGCCGATTATACCGCCCATGCTCCAAAAGGATGTTAATTCTAAACTCTCGTTGTCCAGAAAAGCACAGATGTTATTATTTCTGATAATGGTTTGTGCATCAGGCTTCTTGAAGTTAGAAGCTAACTTGGCCATGGTCTTGGTTCGGGCAATACCGCATGATGTTGTATATCCCAAAACCTTTGAGATTTGAGATCGAATCTTATTGCAAATAATCGATCCCAAACAAAATAGAATATCATCCCAGTCTTGATAAGCATGTTCACTACTTGGATTGTAGTCATTTCCTTCGAAATAAATTGATACCTTCCCCGGGACCTGTGGTAGAAAATCATCCAAATCATACCCTCCATTTTTGAACAGGTCTCTCATCGCTCCAAAACCCTCGACTTTATCGTCAAAGAATAAACACTCAAATACATTGCGCCCGAGATCCAAAAAGACCTCGTCAACACTTCCCTTCTCTACCATATCGCACCACTCATTAAATATGTTTATCACTTTTCGACTTTCCCTTCTGTACGGGTCTAATGACACCTTGAATTTCTCTGGCGTCAACTTCTTGTCCTCTTCAGTATGCCAAGAGCCGCAGTCGTCGCGGTATTGCCAAAAGTCTTCACCTTTGCGGAAGACCGCCGTGTGTACTGGAATGAGATGGTCGCATTTTTTGAACGCATCAAAGACTGAATCCATTCGTGTTATACCATATTTCCTCGCCGCATAGGATACTGCGATTATTGAATTCCATTGAACGCAAACAACAGGCTCATCAACGCTGTAGTGGCATCTGATTTGCTCGACTTGAGCGAAAAAAGCATTGATGTCAATATGAGCGATACATGATAGCGGTGAGAGATAAGCTTTGTCCTTGGAGTTTAAATCTAAAAGATCCCTCCACTTGTAACTAGACATCTACTGGTGTCCCATACATCCACTCCAATCGTCTCTTCATGTAGATGCCTGGACACTCTGTGGGGCCGAAATTAGTCTGAATATCGCTGACTGTTTAGTAGACAGTGACCAAACCTATTGACCATATACTCCAAAACACATCTAGCTCTTAAGTCAGCTTAGTGGAACAGCTCAATGAATCAGGGGAGCATATTCAACTCCCAAGTGTGAGTCTCCAGCATTGCGTTTAAGCAAATGGTTTTTTCGAAAATTATTTATTGTTTAGGAACTTTTGCTTGACTTTGACCGACAGATGGTGAATGAATGCTCTTAAATAATGTTAATATAAATGCGATGGATGCCCAAGTTGAATTGACTGTTCATGTACTTGAAGATAAGACTGAATCCGTCCCGAACCAGAATATACGCCTTTGAATACAAGCTGCCGCCTTGGGTCTGGGTTTCTCGGTCCACAGTAGGGGCCCACTCAATGGTTAGTGGTGATAAGGGTTGGAAATGTTTTGCCAGAACGATGGCTGCAGCTGCTATCAGGCTCTGAGTGAACAGTATCTTGGCCAATTTCCACAACTGACGAATGAAAAACCCGGTAACGTAACGTAGCATTCTTCGTAGCCTGGAAAGCTTCGATGCTGGGGGACTGTCTGGGGCCTCGTTTTGCCCACCATCGAGATATCCGGTATTTCTGTGGCCGGGCTTCTGCTCATTAAGTGCAAAAAGGGTCTCGTAAATTTCTCTGCGCAGACGTAGTGACTTAGTATCTTGCAAGTCGTCCTGCAAAGCCATAATCAAACCACCATTGTCGTCGTTCTCCGGCGGGTGCGTATGAGACACTTGTGACCATAGAAATTCCAAGTCTGCCAGAAGCTCTCTTGCCGCCAACGTTCCCATTGCGTAAGATTTCATACTAGAGATAAGCAGCTGAATATATTGTTTTTTCGCTTCTGTTTGACTCATACCGGACTTTGTTTTCCAAGCATCCCATTTCTTCAGAGCCACGGTGAATTCCGGAGACCCCCCATCAGCCGTGGGCCTAGGAATAACGCTCTCCACATCTCCCTCCGTGGACTGCTTGAACAAGGCATAAAGCTCCGTTCTGACATTGGCTGGAGGCCGTGGTAGCGAATTGTAGCCTTTAAGGGAGGATAACGTATGAATTGTTGAGATAGCCTTCTCAAAGACTTGATCCACAGAGTCTGCAGACATCGGAAAGCTGACCAGGAACCTGGTCGGACAGTTGAGAATAATCCTTTAGTGAATTGACTCTTGGTTACATAAAGATCTCTTTGAGTCCACTCATAATGGTCATTACTATAATGACATTACAGTAGCTACGTTTGATGTGACTGGCCATAAAGAATCCACGACTGTGCGACCACAACTTCGCCCTGGCCGACGGGGCCTGTTGGCAAGGAACTGTTATAGACGCCTCAAGAAGTTTTCCTCTACCAATTACTATTCTACAGGCAGAGATGTTTGTCATTGAAATGGACCAATATAACCACTGCGAGAGGAATTCTGAGAACACCCCTCTGCTCGATATATCTTGGTGAGTAATTGACAGAATAAATCTTGTTTGCTATTAAATTGGAGCTCAACACGGAGTTAGAATTAGAGATTCACGGGCCAGCCCAACGTGTACTTGTCGAAACGTTCCACATTGAACAAAACCCACTGAAATCCCTGGCTGAGATCCAGAGTGTAGACAAACTGTGAAGCAAGAGTTAAGATTAGAACCAAGTTTCAGTTCAGGTTAGTAGAGGTTGTTGGGCGAAGGGAAGGAAATTGCTAATCAAAACGGTAATTCTGATATTCCCTGAAGCCACAGGCAAGATGGGAAGAGGCGGTGCAAAACAAAAACGGACCAGCACCAAAGGCAACGGAGATACATTAAAGTTTCTTTCTTTGTTTGTTAAAAAAAACCCTAGACTAGAAAATACAGAAAAATGTGTGATGTTGGAACCAGGTTTTTCTTTAATGCCCACTATTTGTTTCTTGCGACCCTAGCAAACTTAGTTTTCTGGGATCTCAATCTCACCAGCGTTGATAGCTTCGATGATGTCGTGAGGGTTCTTGTAGTTGACACGGCAGCCAACGGACTGGGCAGTACCCAAGATTTCCTTGGTGACGGAGGCCAAGTTCTTACCGAAAGACTTGTCCTTCATTTGCTTGGCGACGTCGATGATGTCTTCCAATTGCAAGTTACCGCTGTGCTTGACGTTCTTGTCCTTCTTTCTGTCTCTTGGAGGTTCCTTTAGGGCAGTGATGACCAAAGAAGAGGCAGATGGCACCACAGAGGCGGTGGCTTGTCTGTTTTGGATCTTCAACTGCACGGTGACCTTGATACCCTTGAATTCCTTGGTGGCCTTGGCGATGTCTTCACCGACCTTCTTTGGGGACAAACCCAAAGGACCGATCTTTGGAGCCAAAGCAGCGGAAGCACCAACTTCACCACCGACGGCTCTCAAGTACAAGTACTTAACTTCAGTTGGATCAAACTTTGGAGGCATCTTGTATTATTGACGATCTTCCTTGAGGGTACGGTAGAATTATCTTCAATTAACTAATCTGACAATTGTATAGAATGGAACATTTTCACCTAAATGCTTCTTTGGCACTGGTTGTTAGGATTCAGTTTCCCACGGGTGCTGAGCCCAAGCTCGCGAGGCCTGTCCGAGCATTGGACGGATCCCGCCCAGAGCTAGGCTCACCTACTACCAGTTTGCTGGACCGGTAGTGGGGTGAGTCTCCCGCTGCCAGTAGGATCCCAGCCTACAGCTAGGCGGGCGTAGAGGAATGTCCCTGCCTAGCGCGGTGCAGCCAGGCTGGAGTGCGTGGGCTTGAGTTTTTTTTTTTTGACAAAAAAATATTTCCTTCGACCCACGCAAAAATTGAAGTAATAAATCGTGTATAGCGAAAATATAGCCCAATTCCGAGAATATACCGGTGCACGGTGGCTGGAATGGCCGAAATAGAGGCGGTATAGGCTATAGTCCCTCGCCCGAGGTCGAAAACCTTCGTTCCCGACCGACCAGCCCAGTGTCTGTGTTTTGCTGGACATGCTCCCAAAAAGCTACGTCACTCTAGAGCCTTTTTGTGTGACAGATCAGAAAGATGTATGGGTGTGGAATATGAGCAGTCACAAGTAAACTGACAAACTCACGTGCTGAGAGACCACGTGGACCACATCCGAGATCGCAGACGCTGACACTGGTGCTGACGCTGACGCTGACGCCGACACTGGCGGTGGGCGAACGCTAATGTATCACTTGTCTATTTAACTTGGTATATGCGTAACATACTGCGCACGGCAGTAAACTGGATGCTGCACCGTGCCATTTTTATCATGGTTTCCGTTGATCGAGCTTTAAGAGCGGGAAGTACGAGCAGCCCCCCTGCGTGCGCGAGATACCAACAGTGTAGGCTGTGGAAAGGTCGTCGCGACGTCTATTACCCAGCTTGCTGCGCAAGGTTTTGCCGTTGATGATAAGGGCGTCTGTAGACCGCAAAAGGCCCTGGTAATATTCAAGAGCCTGCTTCTGAACCAGTTGAGTGCCGGCTCTAGCTCTAGTTTGACCAGAATCCGCCTCTATATCTTGAAATACAGATTGCAAGGAGCTCTTGACCTTGCTCAGTTCGACCTCATTGAAATCGAGCGACCGAGCTAGTTTGGTCTCGAACATCGGCTCGGTGATGACAAAATCTTGAAGGCTTTGTTGGAATGAGCCATAGGATGGGAGTTCAGGGACTCCAATAGATGCAAAAGTCTTGAAGCGAAGCTTATGAACACGCTCCGGAGAAGAGAACCTCCCGCTGCCAGGATGTTGATTATCAATCAAACCGAAGGACTTCAGGACCGCAAACTGAAACACCTGTGCTAGAGACAAGATTTTAATCACAGAGCAATCCAGAAGGCTGTACTTGATAAAATCCTTATTTTTCATTAAAACCGGCATTTGCGAGCTCATACCCGCCCGGTACGCCTCTCGTAGCTTCTCCTTCTTTTCCCCAGCTTTCAGTTTTTTGATTTTTTTGTTCAAGGCCACCATAGAGTCAATTCTAGCCTCTATGAAGTTGAGGACTCTATGCAACGTATTTTCTAGATGTTGTGCTAGGTAGTAGCTGTACCAGAACATGGAGAAAAATTCCCATGGCTTGTAAACATCTAACTCAAACCCTTTCAGGACGAAGTCTAACATGGCTCTCAATTTCATGTAGAAGACCCAGGTTGTCAAGGGCATGAATGAGCTACCATCCTCTAGCTGATCAGCAATACCTTGAGATTCGAGTTCCAGCTCGTAAGTCTCGATTTGAGCCTGTAAAGAATCCCACATCAGCAGCTGTCGATTAAAACCCTGCCTAGAGCGGCATGGATTTTGGGATGAAGTCTGGTACCATTCGAAAAGAGCGCCAGAAATCTCTTGCAGGAAGTCTTGGAATTTCTGTTTTACTCCTGACGTTTGGGGCTCATTCTTCAACAGTTTGTAAAGTTCTGTGTCACAGAAAGAAAATTCTTCTAGGTGAAGCTGTGAATACTCGTCAAAGGTATACTGAGCCAGTACCGTTTGGTCATCCCTCATCAAATTTAGTGGATAGAATGCTCGGGCCACGACATGTAGTGGTCGAACACGATTGAAAAAACGAGAGAATTGCGCTATCTCAGTTACTGTCTTGGCTTGGTCCACGGAGAGCACAAAACGTAGATCTTGCACCATATCGGCGAGTGCAGTGTATTCTTTCCCCGTCGGTAGGATGATGTCCCGTGGAGGAAACTGGTTGGACATTTTCTTCTGTATGACAGCAGAGAATGCACCTTGGTAAACCGTACCGTCTGGCAGCGGGAACTGCTCCAAATCCCGCGAGGTCTCAATCAACTTATTAAGCGTATGTTCATGATCCACTTGAGAAGTGGATCCGAAGTACGTTGGAAGTAATCCGTAAACCTCAACCAAATGCATAAGTAACATCAACAACATTTGCAGTTGGTGTGCCTGTGGATACGACTTCTCCAGCAATTTTTGGCTACGTGCAAGATGGGATTTCACGGTTGGTAGCTGAACCGTAGACAGGACGTTTAACCCCATTGCATTGCAGTTCAAATCCTCCTCCTCATACACCACGCCGGCTTTGAATAGCGTTTGCACAAATTTGACGAAATAGCAGACGGCGATCACGCAGCTAGCCAGGACCTGATCGAACAACTCGTCTCCTGTTTCTAGCTGACATGAGCTAAGGTCCGCACAAGGGTCTTCAGTGAACTGACACAGGATATGCGCCACATATCGACAACTTAGCACCGTCGTTGGTAATGTTTGAAAGTCGTTAAGCCAAAGCACAATGGTTCTACACAGACGATCCACCACAGCCGTGACAAACTCTACTTTCTGCTCCGTTGCTTCCCCGTAAACTTTAGTACAGTCAAAATTTAGCTCCTTCTCCGTCAACGCGAGTAAGCTGGAGTCTAGCTTTGGGTTGTCAATCTCCAGAGAGTGCGTCCCTTCGAAAAGATCAAAAGACGGTGCTTTTATCACACTTTCGGGAACCATTCGGCTCGCCAGCTCGCGAAATTCAGATGTAACATCTACAAGGCCCTTATCTAGCCTTAGGCGACGTAATTGAGCTTCTAGGCCCTCCATGAGAATACCGCTTTGTACTTCTTGCAACTTGTAGCGTCATATAGCCAATCCAATTTTGAGATCTTCCAATGATGCGGTACTCGAGTACATCTTCAGCGACATTTACAACGCCTGCTCCTTCTTACACTGAAACGGCAGTAACTTGGAGTACCTTTTAATCCTTTTCATTCAAAATTCAGATCGGACCTGGACTCTTAAAAGCGCATCGTAATGTCTACTGTCCATTTTTCTTTCATTTCTTTCAGTCCGCCAATTCGATTATTGTATATTCACTAGACTGAAAAATGTCTGTGTTTCTTGAGCGGCGATAAACAGCTGTTCGATTGTATCGGGGTAAACTAATACCAGTATCGTTGATAAAGGCATCACACCTCTTGCCGCTTCTAATACCTAATGGAAAGACTACGGCTGGGCTCTCGCATATATGCGAAAGGTGGGACAGTATGGGTTCAAAAGGCATGCTATTCGTCCCGAACCTGTAGTCCATTGGCAAGATACGACGAGCTTGTCGATAAGGAACGACTGAGAGATGATCCGCATCAAAGGCGTGTCATAAAGTCACTGAGTGGTTTGCATGCCGACTTGGTTAATTACAGGCCTCCTGAAGTACGTGATCCCAGTGCCTTAAGCCAGGTGGGCTGGAGATCTAGCTACTTGGGCAAGCTATTGTTTTCACAGAAATACTCGACGGAGGGTATTCCCAAGGGCCTCTATCTGTACGGCGACGTGGGGTGCGGGAAGACCATGCTTATGGATCTATTCTACTCAACCATCCCGCCACACCTCTCCAAGCGTAGGATGCACTTCCACCAATTCATACAGTATGTTCACAAAAGATCGCACGAACTCGTGCACGAACTTAATTTGGATGCTTTGGGGTCTGCCAAGCATAAGGACATCGACTCTATCCCATTTCTGGCGACCGAAATCGCTCGAAAATCCCGCGTTCTATGTTTTGACGAATTTCAGGTTACAGACGTTGCTGACGCTATGATGCTTAGGAGACTTATAACAGCACTACTCTCCACCAGGTACGGGGTCGTGCTGTTTGCTACAAGCAACCGCAAACCGGATGATCTGTACATCAATGGTATCCAGCGTGAGTCTTTTATTCCTTGCATAGAGCTCTTGAAGGCACGAACGCAGGTGGTGAACTTGGACTCCAAAACCGATTACCGAAAAGTCAGCAAGCCTGTTTCCCCCGTGTATTACTTTCCCAGTAAGGGAACCAAGTACAGATCCCCCGAGTGCGCCTCCGAGAGACACAAACACATCGAGCAATGGTACAGCTATTTCTCTCAGCTGGAGAGTGAAGATGGCCTTGAAGTCTCTATAACGGGCTCGCGACCAGTCCATGAGACCCTCACAGACTATAAGCTGAATGTGTGGGGCAGAGAATTAAACGTTCCCAAATGCACACCACAAAGAGTGGCACAGTTCAGCTTCAAAGAGCTTTGCGGCCAGCCACTTGCGGCCGGGGACTACCTGGCCCTTTCCACTTCTTTCAAAAGCTTTGTCATCACCGATATTCCATATTTATCTATCAACGTACGTGACGAAGTCCGTAGATTCATCACATTTCTAGACGCCGTTTACGACAATGGCGGGAAACTGGCCACTACCGCAGCGGGCCCCTTCCAAAAACTTTTTGTCGAACCAGAGGCTGTTCTTAATGACTATCAGTTGCGCTCTGAAAAGCCCGGTGCTGGGGTGTTAGGCAAGCCACTTGACTCCAACATTTTCACACTTGACGAGGAGCGATTCGCATTTGCCAGGGCTCTCAGTAGGCTTACACAGATGAGTTCTATGGAGTGGGTCGAGAAGTGAAATCAACAAGATTCTAGTCTAAGTTAAAGTTTTGATTTTTTAAGTTATCCTAACACAAAAGCAAACGAAGGTTGATCCGCGATACAATTTGAGGTCTCAAACTACCATAGTTGCTGGTTTCTGTAGAAGGTTTGTTAGAGCTGGTGTTATTTATAAGATGTCTTTACTATTTGAAATAAATGAGTAGCCGCCGATGCCTGGCGACTCTTCTCGAGAATTTTTTAGAGTACTCGGTTGTACTCATAAGATCCGATTTTTATTTAGAAAAGTGGAAGAATGAGGCCACCAACTGACAGAAGATAACAATCATCCCAAGCGTTCAGCAACTATCAGGTAAGCGGAGAACTTTGGTGTCCTGAAAATCTCGCTGGCTACCGCCACGACTCATCGCAATACGTGACAGTCAATTCTGGGAGGTTTTCGAAATAAAACTCGCCAGGTAGCAGAATCCATTCGGCTATCATCTCATGAGTTTGGGTGCGAGGTCGCTGTTTCTTATATGTCTATTTGCGTGGATTCTGGTATTTGTGGACGCGGCAAGTGGAGCAAGTAGTGCATATCGAGTAGAGACAGAAAGTCCGCAGGCGGAGGAGTCGATCTCGAGTAATGATTCGGTTCAACAAACTGATACAGATGGTTCAACCCAACCCAAGAGCAGCTCAGAGCACTCCGCCTCGACGTCTGCGAGCTCAGGTCAAAGTTCTGTAACAAATGGGAACTTGTTTAACTCAGAGACTTACGACTTGTCCTCGAGTACGGGGGTCGCATCTGAACTTTCGTCTTCATCTGCCGCGCTGTCGAGCTCACCGTCCCTGTCTTCCGCGGCCGCTACATCGTCTAGTATACCAGAGTCCACCGGGACCAGTCACAACTCTGTCACCGCGTTCAGCGTGGGCTCATCATCAACGCAAAGCTCTGAGCTCACTTCGCGCTCATCATCAACGCAAAGCCCTGGGCCCACTTCGCGCTCATCATCAACGCAAAGCCCTGAACCCACTTCGCGCTCATCATCAACGCAAAGCCCTGAACCCACTTCGCGCTCATCATCAACGCAAAGCCCTGAACCCACTTCGCGCTCATCATCAACGCAAAGCTCTGAGCGCACTTCGCGCTCATCACTATCGCTAAACCCCGAGGTGATATCTAGTTCTTCACTCTTACAGACTTCTGCATCCAGTTCGGGTCTGCCATCATCGTCAAACTTGGGGGGAATGTCAAGCTCTTCAGTACCAACAACTTCTAAATTTACTTCCAATCTGTTGTCATTCTCAAGCCTGAAGGAAACATCCAGTTCCAGTCCTTTGCTATCATCGAGTTTGGAAAAAAGTTCGGGCTTTTCATCAAAGAGTTATGGACTCATTTCCAATCCGTCGTCATCGACAAACTCAAAGGAAGCATTGAGCTCCGACCCTCCGAAATCGTCAAGCTGGGCGGGGTTGTCTAGCTCGTCATCAAAAAGTTACAAATTAACAGGAAGTCCGTCGCTCTCCTCTAGATCAGCCACAACGTACAGTTCACCGTCTTCCAAACGCTTGAAGAAAACCGCTAGCTCCAGTATGTCACTATCGTCACTACCGTCAAGTTTGACAACATCTTCCAGCTCCAGTCTTTCGTTCTCGTCTAGTTCGAAGAAATTTGGAAGCTCGTCATCAGCTAGCCTTGAGGGAGTTTCTGACACGTCGGTACGACCAAGCTCCATGGCTACCTATAAATTGACGTTGTCTTCAGATTACAAACTTTCAACGTCTTCCTCAAGTAAAAGCATCTCCACCAAATCTTCGCAGAGTGAGTCAAAACTGGGAGGCAGCCCTAATCCATCTTTTGATAGCTCTTTTGAAAGCACGTCAGATTCTTCTTCAAAGCAATCAGCTAGTTCCACAAGTGTAAAGTCACCAACCTCGCTTTCATCCACGTATTTCCTTTCTGTTGCCTCTAGTGGTACACCGAGTGCTTCTAGTGCTGTTGATGATGGTGCGAGAACTACCGAAGATGCAGACAAGTCATCTTCCATTGCTCAGTACCCCATAATTACAATTTCAGCAGCAGCAACATCAAAATCATCTAATGGTTACATCTCATCATCCTTTTCATCTCATTTTGGGAAACAGTCAAGTATGGCCGTCTCAGCAGAACTGTCCTCGAGGTATCCAACCAAAGAAAGCTACGAACCAGGAACTACACAGTCAGCTTCCACAATAGATACCAGTTTGGGATCCAATTCACCTTTGACGTATTCCTCCTTTTCAGTTGATAAAACCTCCTCGTTTCAATCTACCCTTTCGCAGGAGTCTAGGTCTCTTTTCTCAGCTTCCACCGAAAATCCCACCCAATCAAGCGTCACGTCATCCACTTCTTTACACAGTCTGTCAAGGACGATAACTACAGCAGATTTCTCAGCTCGAAATTCATTTTCTAGTCAGCTTTCTGATATCTCGCTAACTAAATCGATAGTATCTACCGACACAGGTTCCGAATCTCTAGAACCATTTTCCACAGGCTACTTCACGCAAGGTAATCAAATTTCAGGAATTTTTGTGGGATTAAACAGAGCCTCAATATCTTCCTCCACTGAAAGTTCGACATCAGGGCTTACAGACACAGTAAGTTCAAGACCAACAGACAGTTCGGCGTCAGGGCTTACAGACACAGTAAGTCCAAGACCAACAGACAGTTCGGCATTAGGGCTTACAGACACAGTAAGTCCAAGACCAACAGACAGTTCGGCATTAGGGCTTACAGACACAGTAAGTTCAAGACCAACAGACAGTAAAGCTACAACATCTTCCACTTCTTCTGCCCACGAACAGTCTTTGACTTCACAATCTTTTGCGTTTGCTGCTATTGACTCTTCCAGTTTCGCATCCTCTGGCACATCCGATCGCTCTCCTTCGGGCTCGCAACCAAGCGGGTCTGGACATTATCGAAGCACCGTAATGTCATCGGGCATGAAATCGTATGCGAGCTTATCCTCTGCTGACTATTCAACTCCCATGAGCTCCGAACTTTCTAAGAGTTCGACGTTCAGAAACTCATTTTCAGAGAGCACCACTAACATTATGAGCGATAAGGCGTCCTCATTGAGCGGTAGCGGATACATGACTGCCAGTGCTGTCGAGAGTAAGACATCAATATCAAATTCGATATCTTCTTTCAAGCTCGTCTCTAGCTCCCGTTCTATCCAGTCGGCTGAACGTAAAACGCAAAGTCCTACTACAACAGAGACGCCAGTCTATTCATCCACCGGAAAAGGGACGCGAAGCGCTTCAACAGCCCCTGCCCCGGATGAGCAGGCGATTTTGACTTCCAGTTCAGGTATAGTGTCATCTGTTGTTAAAGCTTCTTCAGAAACCGGCGCTACTGGCACCATAGCGAAACAGCCATCAACTTCTAGTAGCATGATATCAGATTTTCAAACTTCAATACCCACTACTCTCGATTCCAGTGCCCCTGGTTCAACGACATCTTCCAGCGACGCCGCTTTACAATCAATCAAAAGTAGTGAACCTGAGCCTAATAGGCGTACAAGCTCATACAGCATCAGTGGTCAAGAATCAAGAAGTGCGGAATCAGCTGTTATTTCAACTGCAAACTCTATGTCAGTCACCCCGGAATCATCTATGAAGCAGTCGTCAACTACCGCCAACCAGCAAACGTCTTTAACTTCTTTTCCTGACAAAATTTCCAGTAGCATCACAGAAGGTACCGCTATAACACAATCTAGAATTACCTCCAATAGCGAATCAACGTCTCAAGCGTCCTTCCAATTCAGACCAACGGAAGGTTCATCTCTTCCTAGTTCCGGGACTTCCACTAGGGCGACGACCAGTTTCACCACTGGCCATTCATCTTCACTGGCCACCAACGTGCCACAAGACTCCCAAACAAGTCGTTCTACTACTTCCATTCCAAGGAGTGTTTCGTTTTTGGGTCATACTGATTCAAGTTTTTCCACATCGAAGGTGAGCGAAATAATGTCAGATTACTCTCCTGTCTCCTCTCATAGTGTTATCACAACCTCCACCTCTAATACCATGGGTAATGCAGTTTCTGCATCAATTTCTCCTTCGAGCACGATTGCTTCATCTGTTTCAACCTCTACGACCGACACAAGAACCATGCATTCAGTTTCATTGCTCTCTGTGACTCAGGGCAGTACGGAGCGAACATCTTCCGACTACACCTCCAGTTTTACTAGCATGCGTGAATTTGCAACATCAACGGGATTGTCTTTTAGTCACGATTCAAGTTTGCGGCCATTAGTGTCTACTGAAATCTCGTTGACTAGTGAAGCCTCCAGAAGTTTGTTGGCGACCGGGACGCCTTCCAAATCTAGCAGTGACAGTACCATGCCATTCGCTTCTGCCGTGCCAAGTTCTGAGATTGGTGATAGAATATCGAAAAAATCCTCAGAATCAGCTACTATAATCACCATGGCCTCCGCCTTATTAACGTCGAACTCTGCTGAGACACATCACATTTCGATCTCATCAACAGGCTCAAGCGCTAAAGGATCTTTGCATTCTATAGCCGCTCCAACTTCTGATGCCACCTTACAATCTACTTCCAGGCCTATATCTGCATCAACTATATCGTCCACTCCTGCCATTGTCGACTTTTCAAGCGCTTCTGTGAAGAATACCCACTCTACAGGTTCGATCCCCCAGGAGGGTTTATCGAAGACCAATAGTTTCCCCTCGTCTCCCTTATCTGATGTTGTAAATACTTACATGAGTAGTCAGATGACAACGAGCCCAACTAAGGTACTAAGCACAACCGCTATAACCAACTCTCTGGAGTTATCAACAAATGCTGCTTCACATTCAACTGCCATCAATCCCTCGTTAAGTGGTTCTGATTCACCATCAAAAGCTACACTTTCTCCACTTTTGTCAACTAGTGGAACCTCTCTCATCAGCAATGGCCAGAACTCGCAGTACTCTTCAACTTCCTATTGGCTCCCATCTAATATTCTCACAGAGTCGCCGTCAGACCAAGGCTCAACTGCCTCCGAGGCCAGCTTCGATGCTAGTGCCACCGCTACTCTACCACAAGTAATCTTACCACCCACTGCGGTCCCTAAACCGGACAACTACTCAGTTATTACTATTGGGTTCAAAAGAGAACTGAACTACCCCTTTCTAATCAACAACCCTTTGGCTTCCGCACAGATATTCAGTTTTCTCCCCAACATTCTGAAATATCCTTTTGTTACTTTGCGCTCACACTTGAACATGACTTCTCATATCACTAAGAAACGAAGTCTCGATGGGGTGCTCGTCGACAGCCAAAACCTAGTTACCTCTGGAAATTATAGCCAACATACTGACAGATCACGATTATTTGATGCTCTTGAATCGAACTTCTCAGAAATTACAGTGAATTCTATTATGCCTCTGATAGTTTCTGGAGACTCATACATCAGCTCGGTAGCTGTGGTCTATTTCCCTTCGAGCGCGGTGGAACTTTTACAACACATGGTACTGAACAATGCTTCGGGAATATACAAGAACCCTGATGCTTCCTTGAAATCGCTGGCTCTTCTGATTGACCCAACTATTCCACTCACCGGCCTTATCAATTCTCAAGATTCTGGCAGCGGGGAATCTTCTGGGGATGGTGGGGCCTCAAGCTCAAGTTCCCCAGGATCGGGTGCGGCCGGCAACTCTAAAGGCAATAATCACGAGGGCGACAGTGGCTCAGGTGCTTTGAATGCCTACAACCTTTTTACCATTAATTTCAAATGTGCGAAGAGGATAATAATTTTACTACCCGTGTTTCTGATTTTCTTATCTTCATGGATATTGGTATCATTGTTTATGTTTGGCCGTCTTTCCAAGGTAAAACCTGTCTACGGAAATTTGAATGCCTTAAAGAAAAAGTGGAATGTCGATAAAGATGCCGTGGCAGCATATTTCATGGCCCCGCAGTGTATTGATTCACAATCGTATCGAGATCTCGAAAAGTATCCCTTTGCTCCCCAGGGACAGTTCGATGACAGTAGTTCAGAGAACTATGACGATGATTTGCTGCCTGTGGGTGACAATATGATATTCAGTCAGAGCACTGGCTTATGTTATCATCTAGACAGCGACGGAAATTTCTTTTATGCAGGCGCTCACAACAATACCTCCAAGGGCAACCTGGCTCAGACTCTTCAAAACTCGGATATCAATGACGTAACATCTGTTGACCATTCTGCAAATAATGCTGTCAACTCGGCACTAGTTATTGGACTGCACGAAAATTCAGATGTGGATGATGAGCTGAGTGTTGACGAGGATGGGAACGTTGAGCTTTCCGTGCTTGAATTTGAGCCACTGTCTGTTGACGCTCATAATACTGATACCTTCGAGAGTTATAATAACCAGCAGTACTACAAACTCAACCAGTACCTGCAAAATTTGTCTGGTGATGACATTGCGGTAACGCATTCGCTCCCGGAAGGTTTGAAGGAAGAACACGGCTCTTCTTCTAACGGAGACACAAGTCAAGCGCCTCATTCGAGTGAAAGTTCTAACTTGTTAGGTCAGCTCTCAGCAGAGGATGAAAACCTTGAAGACTATTTCTATAGCGACGATGCAAACACAGCTCACGTTGGCATCGAAGCCCCAATGTCTCTGAATATTCGCGGGAATGCTAATAATGAACGACACGATAAGAGGGATTTGGAATATGATTACGTCGACGATTCTAACGACGTGGAGGATCTTAACTTCGACTTCAACTATTCGGATGAGGATAATGATCAAGATGACGAAGTGAATGACGTCCATGTCGGCGACTTTGACGAATTAGATGAGATGATGTATCGTCGTCTGTCGAGTGTTAGCGGGGTAACGGGAATGATTGGAGGAACGTCTAGCTCGAATGAGTCTAGAATTGGATTACCCATGCATAATTCAGGAACCGTTTTGTCGTCTTTTGAGAAAAGCCGCACTATTTCCACAACGTCTGAAGACGCATGGCGGAAGTCTAGCTTCATTACGTCTCAAAGTACTCCGCCTACGAATACAACCGATAATTTCGACCAAGGACGACTATCAAAGGAGCACGTACCACCAGCTCGGCCACCTAGGCCCGCTTCTGTGATAAGTTTGGACAATGAGAAAACTTCTTTGGATTGGAGGCTTACCGAACAAGCCTCTAAAAATGAGAAAGCCAATGCGGTAAGAGAGGATCTAAGCAGAGAGAATATCCATTGGGAAGCAGACGAATCATCCCTCACACATATTGCCAGCGAAGGGGAGAATGCGTCTTTCGCTCGAAATCGCCAGAATGGTCCGCAGAGTAACCGATTGTCGCGGATAGAGAAATCCAAAAGAGCAAGCTTTCGACAATCAGTGGCATTCACGCTACAGAGCGCAAATATTTTCAGTGGCAGTGGTCGTAAGCGTTCACATACCACCCATGAAGTCGGTAGCCACGGCCACACCAAGGAAGAATTGCATAAACTTAAGATCTCAGGTCCCATATTCTCAGAGAATTCTCTCGGGTGGGGAGAAATTTAGCATTGCTACCGAAATTATTCTGGAAACCCAGAGTGACTGACCATGTTGTCAGCTGTCAACCCTGGGCCACACACATCCAACAGCAAGTGTAACAAGCATCCATTTTCGGCGACATACTCGTCCATGATATAGATACCACCGTCATAATATTTAGTTAATCAATTAATACCCTTTACGTTTTGTGCTCTTCTCATCCTCCCTGATTGAGGGGCCTCAACTATCCGTCCTTATTTGCTAGACTACTTTTTTTTGACCGGGACTTTAACTCCAAATTAGAGGTTTGTTTTAGGTGTCACGGATCATGGTCTTTCTATAGAGTCCTGGTTTGATGGAGCAGACGTAAATATGTATCCACGAAGCTTTTTTATTTACCTAGCCCGCATAATCATGGCTTCTTTCCTTCCAAGACTGTGGTTGATATCTTTACGATTTAAACTACCAGTTAGAACATGCGAGATTTGACAGACACACCGACAAATAAGCTCAAAAATAGTCTAAATTTTCTGGAGGAAAGGATCAAACGTTCAGCAAGCTCTCTAGAGCTTGGAACATTCTCTTTCAGCTTGAAGCTGACATTGTAAAGTGTCCGCGCCAGGGTCGCAAATCCAGTGGTCCCTTTTTTCCCAGGCCCTTCTGCGGCATTTTCGTTAATGCCCTGCCTAATGATCGAAAAAATCACGTAAGTGAAAAAGTCAAGATCCGACCCAGCAGAGTATAAATATTTGTTGGTTCTCGGTACGTAGCCAAGTGTCAATCGCACAATGCTTAAAGGGAGGTTGGTCTGTGAAGGATTTGATTAGGAGTTTCATTCTATTGTTTATTTGCTACAGACCTCCAAAGAATCAACAGTGATAAACTCGGATCAACTAACGCTATCGACGTGAACCCGGAAGCAAACTACTTATATCCAGGGAGAAGAGCCACATTGAAACTGGAGGGAGGCGCTTTAAAACGGTCGAATTGGCCACAATCCAAAGTAGCAACAAAGGAAGTGACTTGTGTCCAAGTCGTCTGTGAGAGCTGTCCACTATTCTCTTGACCTACGAGCTTGGCTCGAACGGATTGTAGAACCTGAAAGGATACAGAAGGAACCGACAACGACTCCATAAAGATCTTACTCTACTCAAACAGCCTCTGTTCCAGTTGATTTCGCCATAATCTGCCCTTGCCTGGATTTTCGAACTCTCTTGGCTACAACAACATATTTGGACCCAGCAGCGTACTTCTGACCGCCCAAATGCTTGAAAACTCTGTCAGAGTCGATGATTACTTTGGGAACGATGACAATGGACTTTGGGCGTGGTATCTTTGCAACTTGAGGCGAGGCAACTTTGAAGAGTTAAACGGCAACGAGTTAAAGGCGGCTCTGCTGAGAAGGTTTCTCAACGAGCAATTGATGCCAGAGACTGTTCCTTTCAACAAAAAATTGCTGCTGGTTTCTATTCCAGATGATATCCACGAAAACACGAATCTGCTAGAGAATTTCTTGAGGGACTACTTTCACTTAGACGACCTGCAGTATATCCAGATCCGCAAATTGACACAAGAACAGTGCTATAACCACGAGAATCACTATCTCATCTCCGATAATCTTAGCAATTTCAATGATAAATCTTTTTTGGAATTTGCGGCCAGAAGTAGGAGCATACGCAGCCCTGCGTTCTCTCGACCGGAGTCTACCGGAAATGAGTATAGCATTATCAGTGGTGAGACTGGGTTTGACTGTGTCAGGTCATCTATAGAGCCACAAGAGATTTCTGCAGAACCAGGCTCCTCTAAAATAACATCAAAAGATTCAGACTCTGTAATTACTCCAAGTACGCGTCCGGTAACCGTTGAGAATTCGGAGTCTCTCAGCTCCAGCGGCGATGAGCAAGAGGAGGATAGTGGTGAGCTAGTATTACAATTCAAGTGTCATCGAGTTCACGAGAAATCTAATCAAGGACCCGACCTTCGCAAACCGTTCGGACGCGACCAGGACCCCAGCGCTTGTTCCAGTGGAACATCTTTTGACAGCGAAGATGGATCCTCTTATAATAGTGAACTTTTGACGCAAACATTTACTATAGAAGACAATTCTGCATCTCCTACGGCTCCAGGCGATGTATCCGAATTATCGAGTGTTGATCACTCGCTGAGATCCTTGAGTTATGATTCTGATTACTCAAATGGATCGAGCTCAATGACATCCATTTTTCCATCTTTGTCGATATCGGAAAAATTTGGTCGATTCAGGCTGGTACTGCAATCTATATTGATACAACAACCGGATACGCGTCAGCTTTTCACGGCTGTAAGGCAATCTAATAACGATCCTAATGTTGCTCATGTCAAAGACGATTGGCTTTTGTACGATGATAAATTTTCTATGGACAACCTCCAGATGCTCGCCTTGCATGATGTTTTAGAAATGAACAAGTTTTTTCCAAAAGTCTTGTTTTACACTTTGGTGATGATAGATGAAGACGTGGCACCGGATGCACAGACCTACCGTCCAGCTCGTCCGGTAGTGTCACCAAAACCCACTGCATCGATATCCACACTTTCCGATCACTCGCTCAAACCAGAAACAACCTTGACACTCTTAACTCAAATGAACTCCCAAGTTAGTAGCGCGGCAGCTTACAACGCACATTTACCCGCCGTCCATGGGCCGAGGAGCCGCGATGGATATCATACAACCTTGAAGGACGCTAATGGTGGATATCGTAACGAAAATGCGAGCGAATATGAGGACAGGTCGGACGATGATGAACAAGAAAATTACATTAATGGCGACGGAGGAGATATTGTTCAACTTTTTGCTGCATCGCGTTCTAACTCTAATAAATCAGTTGCTCACAGATCGATCAGGACGATCAAAAGTATTGGAGATTGGGCGTTTCATCATGATTCGGCGGCAAGAACATTGGAGTTTTCATCGCCTTCCGTTTCGGACTTAGGCACTGAGCGTGCATTGATGAAAACGAAGTCAAAGTCGTCGGTGAAAAGCGGACTAACAAAATCGATGACGATAGGGTCTTTGAGCACAGTGGAGAGATCCAAAAGTGTCCCAGTACCCTCGATTTTGAAGACCTTGAGTAGTTTAGATGATGAGGCCCTCTACCTCAAAAGGAAAGTTGCCAAATTTAAAAGGAAACGGATGGCAAAGCATAAGAAAAGTGAGCCTAAGTGTGCGCTTATGTAGTCATGACACAGATATGATACAAATATATGAAATGAAGGTTCTAATATCTCTAATTATCCCTATCCTCTTTGCTCCCGTAGTAGCATGGAGTGTAAATGACCTGTGTTATAAATTTACCCTCGTATCTTGTTGTGCAACCGACACTGATAATCTCATCACGTATGCTGCTCGTCAACAGATGATTGAGATTGACATGGGGAACAATATGGTTCACTCTACTTGTAGAGTCGTTTTTCTTTTGAAATCGGCTAAAAACCGAGTTAAGGAACGATGAATCCAGATATACAGGTAGGTCGGGAGTTGGGTATTGTCGTAAAAAAGCTTCTTCTGCAGCTTGCGAATCTAGTTTTCCATCTTGCTGCAGGTCGGCAAATAAAACATCTTGATTACAATCCTGAACACGGTGCAGAAAACTTGGACGATCTTTGTGATCACCCGTTGATTGGTCCGCTTCGTAGGCTGGCAAGTCAGGATGCTCGTCAAAGTTGGCTTTGAAAAGCTCTGGAATTTCGCTACTATATTCATGCTTTTTGAGTGGCAGAGGAGCTAGGAGATCAATGCTACTGGTGCGATTCTGGTTTAGCAGGGGTCTAAAGGAACCGGATCTACTGTGTATTCCGATATAGTCAGAGAATGGCGTCCCAGTTCGTTCTATGTGTCTTGCAGAACCCTTGACATTAGACAATGAGGAATCATCCGATTTCATCCCGGGTCTTGGGGAAGGCGTATCAGGAGGATGGAAGTCGTCATGATCAAAATAGCTGTTACCTGTCGAAATGACATCTCTTGAGGGCTCAATAACATTGTGTCCTCGAATGACTTCAAACCAATTCACACAATTGCCGAACGAATCGGTTGCAGTAGGTAAGAAATCGGAATGCCGCAGCTCCCCGTTTATTAGAAACTGAAATTTGTAGACTCCAGGAGGCAGAAAAAGATTGGGGGCAGTCCAACATTTAGAATCGGCTTCGTAAATCATCGGAATTTTCTTGGATTTGTGCTGCGTCCCTAAGACGGCCAAAATGTCTTTACTAACTATCGACATCTTGCATGTCTTTGGGTCCACAATGTTGTCTTTCCACTTCACAATAACATGCGTATCAATGCTCTCCTCTTCTTGATGTGGTGTCACCTTTTCTTGCGGTTGCAGAATTGGTGAACTGCCAGCACTGTTCGAGCCCTCATAATGTTCCACGCTGCCATTTTCGGTGTTTTCTATTACATCGTTAGCGGTTGCAGTTGTTTCAAATTCCATTGCTCCACCATTGAGATCAAAGTCCATCGAGCCCTCCTTGGGACGTGCGTGCATCACTTTAAACTGTGGAAGTTTTGTTCGTTCCCCATCTGCGCTGACAGGCTTCAGTTTCTTTAAACCAGGGTGCTGAAGTGTTTCACGAGAGCTCCAGGATACTCCCAAAGCGTTCGCTTTTTTGGTGGTACTCCTTTTACGCTTCATTGCATTTTCCAGAACCGAATTGTTGATGAGCACATCATTAGATCCCTGCAGCAAAGATTCTTCATCGCCCTCGTCATCAGACATGTCAGCATCAGAATAGGCGCTAGACCTTCTTGGAATATAGATAGAGGACGGAGCACGATTGATCTGATCGCCAATCTTACCTTCCACCAGTAGTTTTTTGAGCGAAGTGATGCTGGATAGATGATCAGATGGAACATCTTCACGAATTAGTTTTGCCACATGTGGCGGTTGACCCTGGCCCGAGTTTCTCAAGTTTGCAGTGACGCCAACAGCACTTGAAGAGGTGGTCACGGTCGATGGTAGTATTTCAGAGTTCTGTAAAGAAAGCTCTGCCAAATGGTCTCGTAAGGATGAGGAAGATGATTCGTCAGCACTTGCGTTTGTCGTGATGCACATCGGAGGGGCCGGGTTGCCCAAAGCACTTTTCTTCAGCGTGAAATGGGAGGGAGCCGCTGGTTCGGAGACCATGTCCAGGGAGTAGTTTTTACGGAATGGGGACTGCGCCGAGGGGGGGCCCGGTGTAACATTTGGCGCATTCCGCGAGCTAGGAAGAACCCGCATTTTCCACTGCTTGTGTTTGTCCGTTTCCGGATGTCGTCCTGCGCTTCTGCTGCGGAACAACTGCGACGTAATCGAGTCCTGACGGCTCCGAGGCTCGTGGGCCAGCTGGCTCACTCTCTTATTTTGCGGCGAGTTAGCAGTAGATGGACTGTTACCCATACTTCACAAAGCGTTTTCGAAGAAGCCTAAAAGTTACGCCTTAGGCGGTAATTGACGCAATCAATTGTGTATGTGTATTCCTGACTCTCTGCTGAGCTCAGGGTATTTTCTCTGATCTGTGAGTTCTTCCTTAAAAAAGATCGCCTTTGCTCTCGGTGAAAGTGAAAAATACAAAAATCCAAAGTCCAATACAACTGCTAACCAAACGCAAGCTCGCTGGTAGTATTAAACTTCCTGACTTATACTTGACCCTTGTGCACTTGATGCTGGCAAAAGTCTTGGTCTCAAGTCAGGGTCTCAGGTTGGTACCTAATTGTTGAAAAAAGTGCGGGGTGTATCATTACCGACGAGTGTGACACCTGCCTTGCCGGGCTGACGAGATGTCGTTGGCTCTGATACTCAACGTACTACGGACATTGCTCCCCAAATCTGTGGGCTTTAACGGCCTGGAATCTATGCGTTGCGGCGGTTCAAGAGCTTTCATTATTGTACCAGAGACTTACTGAAGGTTAATTGCAAAAATAGTGGTGTTATGACAGAATGGACCACGATGATGTTAGTCAGAGCGCCGGAAACTAGCTCGCCAGGAAGGGGAGCGAGAAGAGCTGCGGGTGAGCTGCCTATGTGACCTGGGCATAGAAATTTGGCCTACGAAAACGTAATATGCAATCTTATAGCGCTCGATTGCATAACTAATGATGGAGGCCGTGCAGTATCATTTGAAGAGATATTAAATGAGCATAGAAGAGATATTAAATGAGCATAAAAGATCTAGGAATAGTGGTCCATGGGATCGCACGACGCTCCTAATATGATCACATGCATGGTATACTACTGCAGAAACTCTGGTGGGAAGATTTCCCCGGCTTAAATTTTTGTATTAACACGGACTACTGTATGTATCTAATGAACCAACCTTACAGTCGAAATGACCACGGAGAGACGTATCAAACCGCAGAATGAAGGCCCTCTACCAACATAAATGGGAAGAGCGTATTTTGACATGTCCCGAACGTATGCGCCTGTTCCGGTGCCTGGCTAAAATTATCTGCAGCTTCTTATCACGTTCCCTAGCGCATGAGTCAATATTATTTCCGTATGGCAGTCACGGAAGCCAACTCCACTTAGAGCTTTATAAGGGAAACTGCAAAACACATGTAGTCGCTAACTTTGGTAAAAGACTCGAGCGCGCAATTCTTCTGGCCTGGTACTTGGCTCTGGAGCATATAAAGCGACTTTTGGTGGTCTGTCCGTGATTACTTGGGCCAATATATTTGCAGAATCCTGGTGCGAATGGTCAGGGTGCAGTTAGGGCTGGACTAACTGGCAGTATGGTCAGGCTACCGGTTGGGGCATTTCTGTGTCATCGTTGCTTCTACTGGCATTGCACGTATCACTTCATACCATACTGACACTGAGTTGCCATTTCCCTTGTTCAACTCAACGCCAGTCAAAGAGCACTGTATGTCAACCAACTGGTAGTTGTAACATGTATTTTCTTCTGAGTCAATCAATTTGGTGCCTACCCATCGTACAGTTCGCTCCCGATGTATCTTTAAGCCCTCCGCCGCCGCGCGTGACCCAAAGCCAACAAAACGACGCGCAACGCAGCGTAGCTGGAGCCAGCGTATGTTACATCCAAACGATGGATGACGTTACACCGTTCGATCAATCCGTTCCGGCTGAAAAGTCCAGCTTTTGGAAGGTCACTTTATACCATACTGGCGCAAGACTAATTTCTGAAATTTGTGAGTTCATAAAGCAGCCACCGTCCATGGTTAAATTCCAATGTCAACTGATCGCAAGACAAGTGCTGGTCACTCTCTCCGAGTGTCCCATGCGAACAATTGTCGTGCTGCCTTTGAATTGAAAACAGTGGAAAGTATCATTTTAGTCAAAACTGTCATATTTCTTAAAATTTTTCTTGTTCACTCGTCGCACATGATGTGCGAAGGATGAAAAACTTGACAAAAATCTACCTACTGCTAAAGATGTGGACCAGACAGAAGACCATCGAAACATTCGCTGGGTGAGCCCAATACCAGATCCAAAGTCGAGAGCTGCTATCTACTGAATACCAAAATCAGCTTTAGTGCCCTTTTCCCAAATTTTTAGATCTGAATTAACGCAATTCCAGGACCGTTTCAAAAGGTGAAGTATACACGTATCTATGTCTGACCTAGCAATTCCTGCACCAGTGGTGGTGGAGAATCCAGATGGTACCAAGACCATCGTCTCGTACAAGATCGACAATGGCAAGAAGTTCAGAGTTACGCAGAAAGTGCGCGAAATCAAAGTCACTGAAAAGGTAAACCGTTCGGTGGCAGCACGTAAGAATTGGCATAAGTTTGGTGCTGAGCGTAACTCAGCTCCAGGCCCTGATTATTCGACCACACAGCTCGGCGAAGAGATTGTTTTGAGACTCGGTACACAGTGGCGGAAGATCGAAGAAGAGGAGGAGCAAAAAGCTAAAGAATCCAAGGGCGGTGAAAAACTCATCACCTGTCGTATTTGTGGTGGTAACCATTACACCATGCACTGTCCTTTCAAGGAAACCATGGGTGACGCTACTGCTGCCAACGGAGGTGCTGGAGGCGATCCTGCTGTCAGCGGCGATGCTGGCGGCGACTCCGGAAGCGGCGAAGGCGAAATTGTGGCAGGTAAGTATGTTCCTCCATCTCGCAGAGCCGGTGCTCGCGATCCTTCTTCCAGTAACAATTTCGACGCTTATCGCGACCAAAGAGAGCGTGACGATGCCAAGACTCTAAAGATCATGCAATTGAATGAAAACGCGGACGAAAACACTTTAAGATACGAATTGTTGTTTCCTTTCGGTAGAATACCTAAGGTTGTGGTTGTCAGGAATAGAGAAACTGGCCGCTCCAGAGGTATTGCTTACGTGACATTCGAAACTGAAGAGATTGCTGAGACAGCTTTGAACTTTTTGAACGGTAGAGGTTTCATGAACTTGATTTTGAATGTCGACTGGTCAAAGCCTAAGGTTGCGGCATGAGTTAACGGGAATAACAAGAATGTATAAGTAAATATTTTGTACCATATGAACCACTTGAACCAAATGAAGGGCCAGTAGGGTTTGAGAAGGCGGTGTCGAAAGAAGTAGCCCCCGGGATAGCGAACCAAAGAGTTTGTTTGCATCAATTGTTCCTAAATTAGTGCTTGCTTAGTTACGTTAAAGATCCAATTTAAAAAGAGATGCAACCAGTCGAAGTAATCGCCGACGTTGTAGAAGTGAGGCACAGAAGGTTGGAGACAAACTCAAACACTTTCATGGCGAAATTTGATCAAACAGCAACTTTCCACAAGTCTGTTGCACCTGGAAACCACAAGGCGATTGTTTTTATCCACGGAGGGGCCTGGATCGACCCATCGAACACACCTCAGGACTTTGAGAAGCTTGCTAAGCACTTGCTAGCCTTGACGCATTCACAACCAACATTCTCCTTATATGCAATTGAATATCGCTTGTCTCCTGAAGTCAAGCATCCAGTACACATCCAAGACGTGGCCGAAAATATTGCAGAACTGATCAAACTTGAAAAGATAGATGAATTGCACATCCTTGGACATTCAGTGGGTGCCACGCTGGCGTGGCAGCTGTTAAGCATGCCGCTAGACAATCAAGTTGTTAACTCTCTTCAATTGGGGCATATTAGGTCCATTTTAAAGCAATGCTTTTTAGTTGATGGCATCTTCTCTCTCACAGAATTACTATTGGAATATCCGACTTATGACTACTTCGTTTTTCAGGCATTCAATAGCACTACTGAGTATGATGATCCGAAGTCTTCCTCGTTAGATATTCCCTCCGATGTTGAGTTACACATTCTTCATTCTTACCGCGATGAATTGCTTTCACTGCGGCAAAGTAACTACCTATGCCACGTTCTACAGGCTCGTCACCAACCATTTCAAAGTTATTGGACAGATATGGGTAAGCATAATGACGTTTATGAAAGTTTGACCTTAGCAAAGTATATCCTATGTAGCATGACGCGCCAGGTCTCAAAAGATAAGTGATCAAACCCAGATACTTTTCCCACGAGACTCAATTTTCTCTCCCAGCTTGCTAACTTCTTCATTCCATTCCACAAGTCGCTCTTTCATTTTGTTGATTTGATCGGCATTGATAATACGTGGTTGTACCCATGTAATCGTAACTAGTTCATTCACCTGGTCAATGGAGCCTTTCAAAAGATCCAAACTGATACTTCTCATAACAAGATGTTCTACATTATCTTTAGGCAGTTGCGTAGCAGTGGCGATGTCATCAAAGGAGAGAGTCCTGATGTTTTTAACGAACACATTTTCAACTAAAGTCATCAAACAAATTTTCTGCCTCAAAAATGATTCATGTGTAGAGAGGACAGGCACCTGAGGAACCCGCTCTTTGGAAAGCTCATCAAACTTCTTGAAATCACCACTGGAAAGCGTGTTCAAAAATTGAAATAGCCATTCGTATTGAGGATCTGAGGATATGCTTTCCATGATCGGGTGATTCAGCAGCTCGCCAAAATTGTAGATTTTGTCACCCAGTAGAGCAGCAATGCACAGGTTATAGGCAAGTTCCTGGCGTTTAATGTCGGAAAATTCCTGGTCAGATTGAGAACTTTCAGCTGTGGATAAATACAACAAGCTGGTGTAATAAAAAGAATTGAAGTCCTTTTTGACACTGTAGTATTCTGCACTTGCTGAATAAAATGCGCTCGTAACCCGTAGGGGTAAAGAATCTTGAGCTTCAAGAACAGCCTCAATTTCATCGAGAGCGTCTCTGGCTTTCACCAAATTACCTTGTATCAATTGTATCCTCGCGAGTTCGATATCTATGAGTAAAATGCCATCGTAATGTGACTTCAAGCCGTCATTTCTCTGCTTTTTCTCATCTATATCCTTGAAGGTTTTGCGCAAGTCGCTAAGATACTCGAAAGACGCCTGGATGTCGTCATTGGCCTTAAGGGAAAGAAGTAAGAAATTCACCAGCTTCAATTGGTTTACCTTATCCTGGAATTTGGAAACAAAATTCTCATAAACCCTAAGACGAAGAGGGGATGACTTCTCATCCTGGAAGAACACTTCTAACTTTTCTGTTAACTGATGCCATAGTTTTTGATCATAAAGGCTCTCAAACTCGTAAAATAGACTAGACAGTTGAGGATCAGACTCGTGTCTTAACGTCCCTAAGATGGTGGGAATACTGTCCGACATCAAATGCCAAATGCTAATGCTTGTTAGTAAGTGAAAGCCTGTCGTTGATGTCCAATATATAGGTAGTATAGAATTAAGGTGGCAAAAGAGGAAATCTCCAGCTCAATAATGTGATCACGAATGACGGTTTAAAATGAACCACCAATTCAAGTCAGCTTCACGATGCATCATTGAGGCTTATTTGATATGGTCTGGTCTTATTGCTTCTAGAAAGAATTATGGATCTAAAATCTATAGATTCTGAACGTGGGGTCATGAAATATCAGTAAAAAAGTCGCGAGGTAACAAAGCTCCATAATCGCTAGGATCTTGAGTAGTCACTTAAACGATCAACAACGAAAAATAGAACTCTTGGATGGTAGCTGACTGTTGGCAAACTATTGAGCAGTTGTATGCAATATTGTCATTGAGACGAGACCTCTATACTATCGATGACAACTCTAGCATTTTGCCATGCAACCAAAGAATCCTTCAGCCACACCAAAAGAACGTGAGCAAACGATTTCAAAATCATGGAGCACCTTTCTTTCAAGTAGTACAGTAAATGCATTAAACTTGTGTGAACTGATTCATTGACTTGGTACACATCTTTTTTGATCAATTTGAAGCACTCGTTCAATTTTTGCAGTTCCTGTTTAATCTTTATCACTTCTTCCTTGCGTTCGTCGTCTGTCAACAGGTGTGGTTCTAGTTCTCGCGCATTTGAGGAAGAGCGCCGAGTTCGAGAACCGTTGCCAGCAGATCTCCTGGACTTGAAAAGATCAGTCCAACCAGCCCTGTTAGAACTACCGTCTGTTTTGGAGCTAGTTTGAGAACCTGAGGGCGACGGCGTCAGAGATCCTGGCGTTGTGTTTCTACTCCTCATGTTCTGGACAGCAAGGGCGACAGTTGGGGACTGCTGTGCATTTTTTCGCAGAGCCTCCTCCAACCTCTCCATCTGCTGTTGAGCTTCTTCAAGGTTTTTGATTCGCAGCTCACGCCGCTTGATTGTGGACTCCACGATTCGATATTGCCCCATTTTCAGTTCTCTGAATTGCAAAACATTTCTGGCTTCCGAAATTGACTGTATCATTTCGGCAACAGGTTCTTCTATAAGGATGGTCACTTGCTCGGCAACGATTTCAGAGCTTACGTAGTTAACATCGATGGCTTGTCCAGTCTTTTCGATTCCTTTGGACAAATCTTCAATTTGTTGCAAGTGATCACGAATTGTCAGTATATTTCCCTCTAAGCTGAAAGCATTATAGTAGGCGCCCAGTTCGGCCAGCGAAGACGCCAATGCTTGAAAATGCATCCTATTTTGCTTAGAGGTTTTCTCTAGGGGATTCAAAACTTTCTCGAATTTTCGCAAAACCGTTTCAACCTCTTTAAACTGAGATTCCTGGTTCCAAGTATCATCCTTGATATTTGCAGGCTCCAATTTGTTAGGATTGTGGTTTGCGTTCGGGAGTAACAAGTGGAGAGGGCTTGGTTTTGTTGGCTGTAAAGGTGGTGCTAGTAAATTGTTAGGAGGGATGATAGAGATGGGAGGGGAATTGATGACATTTTTCCAAATTTGTTCCGGATCCAGAAACTTGTTAAAAACAATGTGATCCCTGACCTCTGGTACCGCATAGCAATTGTTCAAAAACAAGGAAAGCAACCTCTTTCTCCGATCTATTATTCTTATATCCTTCTCAGCGCTCAAAGGATTCAAAAAATACCTTATCAGCGGATGCTTTGAAGGAATTGGTGGAACTATGATTGTGGGTAGTAGCCGATATAAGGCGTGCCTTAAAGTGTCGAACTCCGAATACCTCCTCACGACCTGCTTGTCCTCGAACTCAATAGTGTAGCCAATGGCGTATTTACCATATGCATCTCGGAAATGGCCAGCATCTATAATCTTTACTTTTTGGTTCTCAATGGGAAGGTGGAATGTGGGGACTCGGCCTAAACTTAGGGATTCATGCTGAATAGAAAGTGGAGGGCCCAGCGATTCAGGATCATCGGTGTCTACCTGCCAAGCCTCATCTATTGTTTCTGAGTTCTCAAGTTCTGACTGATTACTGGGCCGAATTTCACTTCCAAACAACTGCTGCATTAACTCATCCCTGGTCTCTTCTTTTTCTTGAATCTCCGTGAGAGATGTGGGAGGAACAAAATCGTCTTGACCATCAGGTACTGCAGCTATTCCAGATGCATATAAGTGGTTAGTACCTGAGAAGGGATTGTTGTCCTCCTCCTCGCTGTCGTCGTACCCGTTCATGGTCTCTGGGAGACTGCTGAACTTGATCGTAAGTAGACCTAAGCAATGGCTCTTAATTAAATCATCAAGTATCATGATACACGAGCACGAAGTTCAAATCCAAGTAGGATTGATGAATCTTGGTGTCAGCGGCCACAAAGTTACGGGGCTGCACTAGTGTATCGTGAATTTCAGAGGCCATGAAAAGCAGTGTCCTTTGAACGATTTCTTATAAGTTGTGAAGTGAAAAATCCTTCAAGTCATCCTAGCGTGATACAATGAGCACTAGTCTAGCAAGCGCGATGTACAACTAAGGTTTCCTCCCATAAAATAGAAGATGGGAGTCCAAGGAAAGAAATTTATTTTCAGCTCAGTTTCGCCTCTATTTTCAACCGTGGGCAACATGACTTCTGGCCCACGCTTACTGTCATTAGCAGGAAAGCTTGGCAAAATGCATGTTTCAGACCAAATACAAATACCTCTGTTGTTCCCACGGATATAGGTTCTTGGAGGACTTCGAGGGAGCCCAGGACACTATAGGTTCAAAACTTTAATCCTCCTGGTAGGCTTGTATGCGTTGAATCTTGTAAGCTATAAGAATGTTCAAACGTTGAATGACTCTAGTAATATGCACACTACGATCGGTGTGCCTTCATCTCCCCAGATACGCAGAATTCATTCACTCGTGTAGCCCTCCATCGTGGTGCCAGCATATAGTGATTTTGTCATGTTCGTTCCGTACGGTAAAAACAGTAAGATTCCGTCGACACATCCTGATTATAGGACAACCTTAAAAAAACGTACAGTTGTTTCACAGAGACCACGCCTAAGATGTCTCCTCAACGTATGCTAGATTCAGTTACCCAGCTAACTTTTATATGGGTTCCTTTTTACTAACATGACAAATTCCAGCCGTGTTGAAAGCTTCTGATATTGTAAGTACCTAACGAGCCCATTGAAGAGACCTTACGACTTAATCTCCCAATTTTACTAACTCATTGATCGTCCAAATAGTCGCCAGAGCTAAAAGATGCAATTTTTGAAATTAGCTCGAAGGCTGTTGACTCGTTTTCGCTAGAAAGAGAGATCGCTGGCGTTGTGAAAAAGGAATTGGACGTGAAGCATGGAAACACATGGCATGTTGTGGTGGGCAAGAGCTTTGGGAGTTATGTGACTCACGAGAAGGGTCACTTTATGTATTTTTACATTGGGCCCTTGGCATTTATCGTGTTCAAGACAGCCTAGCACTTATCAATTAGACATCTAGTAATCTCACGAAAAAACAGCATCAAACCCAATCTTTTGTCTCAAACAATATCAAACCTACGGTAGCCTTCAGTCGCTAACAGTATTCTAGGGGCGTATACTACTCCTGACTTCTCTTAATGCACTCCGTTGCTTCCGAATGATAAAGTTCAATTTTTTGACCGACCTCCCAGGAATGATCCTTCAGCTGTTTCAACAGTGTGCGTAATTGACTGTATTGGACATCTTGAGTGCTTCGCACAATTCCGCCCAGCAATTGCATGAGACCATCTCGCTGAGCTGACATTTCTACCCACTCGTGATAGTAATTGGCTGCTAACTTTTGCTCCTCGTCAATTCTGGCTTCGAGAAACTGATTCGTCAATTTGATTTTCTCCATTTGGTCCTCAACTTCCCTTTGATTCTCAACTCGAGACAGTGTTTTCTGCAGTTCTTCTAGTTGGGATCTCATAGCCTGTACTTGCTCCTTACCATTTGAAATTTCATGTGAATTTAGCATTGCAGAATTCCTAACGTTTCTGGCCAGTGTTGCATACCTTATCGTGGACATAGTTTCTTCATAGTCACACGGAGACACACACGCAATCATGCAAGTCTTGCTATTTCCTCCCAGACTTTCTTTTAAAACCCAAGTTAGCACAGAATCTCTGTAGGGGATTGAAATTGGCTTTTTGACTTTCGAGAGCATGGAAATTACTCTACCGAGTGCACTCAATGAGCGGTTGATATTAGCGCCTTCCTTCAAGTGCTCACCGGTAGTTTTAGACGCCTGAACTCGTTCGCTCCCGGCTAGATCGATAAGCTTGATACTTGATTTTCGCTTGGAGGTATGGCCTAGGGGGCTGGTCTCTTGCTGTTCAATATCAATACTGAAGATGGCATGGCTCCGACTAGACTGTTCATTAACTTGCGTAGCACCGATGACTCTTCGCATATTACCTAGATTAAAATAGTGCGAAAGCTCCTGCTCTGTGAAAACCTCAAAGTCCTGCAGACCCTCTACATATGTAGTCCTATCAGCTTTTTCTCGCACTCTGCATTTACCTTTGCCCAGCAAGTCTTGCACCGTTTCCTTATATATTTCAACGTATGAGCAACGTATCCTGAAGTGAGTGCTAGTCTGGCCATCTGACGCTTGATAAAGCTCCCTAACTGCAAAGAGTTCTTGACATAATCTCGGAATTATTCCAGGATACTCAGCTGATCCACTCATCGTATGTGACTTGCCTGAACCAGTCTGACCATAGGCAAAGATGCAAGTGTTGTAGCCATCTAATGCATGCAAAAGATACTCTCTTGCAAGCTGCTCGTAGATTTCTTTCTGGTCCCTTCCAACGTCTTCTGAGTAAGTAGAGCAATGATCAAATTGAAAGCTTTTGACCTCAACTTTCTTGCTATGCCTTATATCAATGGTATTGCCCTTTTCTTCCGTGCCAACACGGGCTATCACAGAATCAACTGACTCTAAACCCAAAGGTCTACGGAGTCGTAGAGCTACTTTGATGTTATCCGACATTGTGTCCTTGAAGCTGTCAGATGTGTTGCCGCCCTCAGCGCTTAAATTATTGTATTTACTTTGCAACATAAAGTAAACTGTTGAACATAAAAACTACAAAAATTAAGAGAGCATTGGTGAAAGGAAAGATCTGGTCCAAGCTTCCTCCTGCCACTCCCAGGCCAGAATGCAAAGAATTGAGGTTTTGAGGAGCATTTTTGTTGTGATTATACAGTACTAGTTCTTAGATATAACATTAACATTATATGAATTAAAGTTTAGATGGATTAGAAGTTTTCAACTGAATTGCAGGTTTACGTGGAGCCGGCATTTTTTGAATACTCTACGACAGACACCTTTTCAAAGTCATTTTCGTTGGTCACAGTACCGAGACGAGCGATATTATAGCCTGTGCTTTCAAGGTACTCGACGAAAAGTTCGTCTTCGAGAAGGTTAGCTTCTTGGTCAACGTCTGGTAAGAAGAAAAGAGCGAGGAAAGCACTGTTGCAGCAAAGAGCAGATGAAATCCAGAATGGTACTTGCAAATTGTCATAACCACCGTATTTCTTTATGATTGCGGGGAATGCATATGAGCCAGCAAAAGCACCGATTTTACCAATCGCAGCTGCAATACCATAGTATTGACCTCTGATAGGAGTAGCGCTAGTCTTAGAGGCCAGACAACCAATGTTGTCACCAATGCTGAACTCACCCAACGTACTAAAGATACCAAAAACAACAGTAAACGCAGCAATGTGCTTCTTCAGATGATCAAAACACCCAGCGATAATAAATCCAATGGCAGCTTGCAAAAGAACCCCGATGACTAGCGTGAAACGAGAGCCCCAGTAGTCAGCGAATATAGCCCCCAAGAAAGCACCAGGAATGTAGAACAAGTTGAACACAATATTCCAGCCAAAAGTCTTAGTCAAGGATGCGCTGTCGCCAAGAATAGCCCCTAGGATAAGACTGGAAAGACTCGAGAATGAGTAAGTGACAAAATCGTACTGGAACCAGATAAGGGACACGATAGTTAGTCTAAACCAATAAAATTTGAAAACTTTCCAGTATGGCATGGTTCTTTGGAACTTGGTGTTTTGGTACTGCTTACCCTCTTTGTAACGAAGACGGAAGAAAAACAGCGACAGAGGAGGAATCGCCCCAAGACCAAGCGTTATTCTCCAGACTGGAGTCAAATGGTCCTCCCCACAGATTTTGAGTAAAATCAAGGGCACCACGGAACTCGCAACGAAACCCGCGTCGATCATAAAATTAGTGAACCAGCAAAACCATCTGTTACGCTTTCCTGCAGGCAGAGAGTTGGAAGCCTCCGCAGCGGCCGTAGACCCGGCAGGGTACTCGGAGCCTATACCAACACCGAGGAAAAATCTGTAAGCGGTCAATGCGGCAAAAAGGCCACCAGCTTGAGTACCGGTGGTACCAACGCCCCATGCACCGGCACCCAGGATCGAAAACACGATAAGAATCACGGTACCGATGATCATGGCATTCTTACGCGAATACACGTCAGACATGTAGCCAAACGTCAACTGGCCCACCACGGTTCCGACGAACGCAATCGACGACACGTTTTGCAGGGCGTTCGAGTTCGAGTACTGGTCTCCGTAGATAATGGACAAACACGCGTTGACGGTACTGATCGAGTTGTTGATGTAGCCGTCGGAGAAAAGCCCCGCACCCGTGGTAACGATGGCCCAGTAATTGTTGCGATGGTCATCTTTTTGATAGTGGTGCTTCGAGTCCAGAACGTCGTTTCTGGCCGCTTTGTCCTCCTGCGACCCATCCTGCAACTTCAAAGACCCGCTAGAAACGCTGCTGCGCTCGTTCAGCGCTGGCGAGTGCGTCTGGTCTTGGTTGAGCTGACGACCCCAGGTCACCTCTTTTCTGGCTCTGGGGATCCACCCGGTTGCGAACTCCCCTACCGACCGTGGTAAGTCCCTGGTCAGGGGAGACTCTATGTGTCTGCGATTGTGGTGCATTGTTATTTCAAAAACTCTTACTTTGACTGAACGAAGTAGAAGTGCTTTCTTTTTTGGAAATATGTGAGCTTCGCGATGAGCTAACTATGCCGGAGTGTCGAAAACCAAGGATCTAACTATTATTTGCAACCAAAGTAAAAGGAAGCTCCGGGATCTGCACAGATTGTTCAATAATATGCTTTACCTGTTGACGATAATATCTCTCGGTACTAACAATGCAAAATCTCGAATCTACGTTATTTCGATATCATCTCTTGACACCAGCACATTTATACTTGCCGGCCAGAATAGATAACCAATTTCACATGTGGGTTGCCGTCTCGTACAGGCTGCTGTCATTTTATCGTTTTGAAAGTTTTTTTCTCTGAACTTTTATTTTTTTCACCAAATCCTCCACGGACACAGTGATTGGTAATCTATTGGATGGGCCACACACTCCGTGCCATAATATAAACAATATGTGCACGACTACCGTTATATTGGGTAGCTTGATTGCCACAGAGAGGCTTATGTAGCTAGCTAGCTCGTGCCGGTTGTCCTGGATAACTGGACGCTGGTGTGGCACGCATACATTTCTTGGCAAAAACTTGCGACGGGAAATAAGAGAATGATCTCCGATAAGGTGGTGTGCCGTGCGCATGGTAGGATCTTGAATGATACACGAGGGAACACGCGAGAAGGCCCGCAGCGACTTACCGCGCTCACGAACAGTTGAATGCCACGCGACATGCATACACAAACGCCGTCACGAAGCGGACAGCTGCTGTGGTGGAGCACGTGGCTGTCACATGACATGTGAACGTCGAGCAGGCTGGGGCAAGTAGAGTTGTCGGTGTGCAATAGGCAGTAAAAAGGTGATTCTCGCGATGTTCTTATCTTTCTCTTCTATTAGAATATATATATATTTGTTATATACAGCAGTCTATTCCTTTTCAGGCTTCTTGGCAACAAACAACATCATGGGGGTGAATAATTTGGCCTTACCACCAGCAACCAGTCCGACGGCCGCTTCTTCGAGCGCTAGTGTCACATCGCGCGAGCCCTTTGGTGCAATGCCCACTTTTTCCATCACGGTCACCATCGTTGTGGTGAATTTACGGCCTATGTATGACGTTCTGAAAAACGTGGCGAGGTCGGCCAAAGTTTGCACGTATTTCCACTCGCCGGTCAACGGATAGTACCATGGCACAGCGTCGTCGTTGTCTGCCAAATCCTGGTCGTAGGTGACTTCGAATCCCACGGAGGTCAACGCTTTGCGTGCCACCTCTGCTGGGAACATCTTGGGGATTCCGTCTCCCAGTTCTATCTCGTAGGCAATCTGGCGGTGTTCAGGGTTGGTCTCGTCGTATTTGTCGGTCATGACCCATTCATATACGGCAAATACACCGCCCGGCTTTAGAACTTTGTAAATTTCGCCGTAAACACCCTCCAACTTTGGAGCGTGGCAAGTAGCTTCGATGGCGTACACCTTGTCGAAGGTCTCGGGCTCAAAGTGCATGTTCATGAAGTCGCCCTTCACAAAATCCAGCTGGTCGGCCAAGCCCACTTTGTTGGCGTAGTACTTGGCCTTGGCAATCTGGTAGTCGTTATTGTTCAAACCAACGATGTTGGCACCCGTGAAACGCGCAATCTCACGGGCTGGCCCGCCTACACCGCACCCGACGTCCAGCACCAAGTCTCCGGCCTGAATGCCCGCTTTGTAGGCCAAAAAGTGCTCATGGCGGGCCACACTCGCGGTGAAACTCTCGCCCGGGTAGAATCTGCTGAAATGGAACGAGGAGCCCCATCCGTACTCGTAGAAGTCCGTCACCACATTGTAGTACGAGTGCGTACCCTCGTTATAGTCTTCCAGACGGCGCTGTTCCGCGTCTGTGTCGGTTTTTCCGTCCCAATGGCGCAAATATTTCGCTACCGCCTCTTCCTGCGCAGCTTTGTTCTTGGACAAAAGTGCCTTGAGTCCCGATTTCGACCCGATGTCGTCCCCGTGTAGTTCCGCCGTGAACTTGGCCTGTCTGTTTCTCAATTCCTGAGCTGATTCAGTCGTCATTTTTGAGGAATTGTGCGGTGATGGTAAGAAATAACCCGAAAAGTTGGCAAGTTGAATCTGACAAAGGCTATAATCTACCTGCAAAAGTGTTGAAACTTGGAAACTCGCTGACGTATGCCAAAAAAAGGAGATGACCTCGGAGAACTAGTTTTGAGCCGCCTTGCCAAATGTTATGGAACCCGGGAGCTGTTAGCTTGACTGCCAGAGCCTTGTGTCCTTTATATATATTCTCTGTTCAGCCTTCCGATATGCTCGTTTACGCGCATGAAAAAAAATACGCCTGAACCCGATCAACGCTTAAACGACGCCAAACGAGCGAGAGTGGAGCCAAAATGAAGGCGATACAGAAATTCCACCAGCTTGTCTTAGCAATTCGACAAGTGTCGGTGGGCATTGGAGGGCTTTCGATGGCTTGCCGCGTCTGTGATCTTTTTTCTGTGGGTGGAGTCGTGGCTTCGAAATTCGCGGAGGGCCGAGGGCTACATTTGCATTCCCGTAAATCCGCAGTAGGGGAGCACACTTCGCGCGACATTGGTCCCTGTCACTGGTGGTCCCCTCGCCTCGACAACACCGTCGCGCTGCGAGACCCGAGAGCTTCTGACCTGCGGCGAGGGAAACGGTGCGGTCATATCGTACGGGTGTGACGCGCGCAAAGAGAGCCCCAGCGGCGCCCAGAGCCGGTGATGGTTGGTCAGTCCCAGAAACCGCAGTGTGGGTTGCTGATCGACTGAAATTCTCTAGAAGCTGGAACTCCTCCGGGTTCCATACCCTGCATTGGCTATACACCTCAACGCGCACGCGAAGACGTCGGAAAGCTACAACGGTACCCGCTGTTCCGGGGCACTCCTACTTGGTTATTCCATTTTGCGCATAGCTAGCGAGCGGCAAACGCTGACATCTCGTACTTCCAAGCTCTCGTGAGCACGCAGCGCCCCTCCCTCCCTGCCTTCCAGCACTCCAACATGTGTGTCTTACGCTGTAAAAAATTAAGCCAAACAACACTGCAGCACGTGCCACCGTGTAGAGCCCTTGTGCATCAGCCTCTGCCACCGACAGGGACGTCAAGATACATTCCCCGGTGTTTCCCTCGTCTGCGGGCCGCGACATTATAATACATAGTGACACCAACTTCGGCGGTGTCACGTGATGAAATGCCAGATCACTTGTATAACAGGTAGAGGGCCCGCCGCAAGAGAGAGGCCTGCTCATCATGTATGAGCACTCAAAGCCGGGTTTTTGAGGTTGCTTCTTGGCCCCGCTCTGTATATATATATAGGTATGATAGCCGAATCACCGAATGTCTCGAAGGAAAGAGCACCGCGAAAAAATGCTTCCTCATCCCGAAGACATCTCAAGCAGCGTCTGGTAGTGTTTGGACTGCTGTGGCTCGACCGCAGGCTGTCACTTTGGTATATCCATTCCTCTTCCCTATCTCGGGCATCGGCTAAGCACCCAGCCACCCCGCGCTAACTTGATCGCTCACTACTCACGAACTTATTAATACGTTGGTAGTGATTAAGGAGCACTGGCCCCGCCAGGTGCCTTACTCATCACAAGAAGGTAACCTTTTCCGTCCCAGTTCGCCACCCAAGGACATATCAACGGACAACTGTGAACTGAAACGAATAGGTCTGAAGCTCGTCGTTTCAGGAATATCCAGGTACATATACTCTACCAACACCAACAAGCCTAAGCCGAGTTCTGAAGCTCCTGCAGGTCGGCACAGATAAACTCCCACGTATTTCGCAGACACACCGGTGTACGCGCTATAAAAGCCAACAAGAAGCGGAGCGTTACTCAAGGTTAGAAGTCTTCAAGACCTTCCAGCTTGCTCAGTGATATACCGAAGTGGCCTCTCAGAAGCCCATCTTTCGCAGCCAGAAAAAGGAATCTGGCTCTTTGCACTACGAACAGCTCAGTGATCCACCGAGTTCCCAGATTTGAGGCAAAAACACAACGAGATCGATTGACACAGTGCCAAGGCTCGGTTTCTTTTGTCAGTAAGAAGCGTTTTACCCCGATCTGCCCACATTACGATTTTAGTGGCCGTCCTGGGCTCCACTTCTGTCACAAGTCTATCCGTCCGCAAATATGACGACGATCAAACGAGAGCTGGATACTCCTCTAGTTATTGATGAGGCGAGCAAGCGCAGGGGATCCAAGCCTGGCCGTAAGCCGCTGGATTCGGAGGCGAAGAACAAAAGAACAGCTCAAAATCGTGCTGCGCAGCGTGCGTTCCGTGAGCGGAAGGAAAAGAAGATGCGGGAACTAGAAGACAAAGTCCAGCAGCTGGAAAAAGTACAAGAGCAAAACGAAATGGAGTCGGGCTTCTTGCGAACCCAACTGCAGCAACTTATCGCTGAGGTTCAAAAGTATCGCCCGGAACAAGCCTCGGATTCTCAAGTGCTTCAATACCTGGCTAAGAGTGAGCAATTGCAGCGTAGTTTGCAGCAACGCAGTCGTGGCCGACGTTCTGGCAGCGACAGCGCAAGTCGCAGCAGGAGTAGAAGTAGGTCAGGAAGTAGAAACCCTTCCACAGGAACTCCGTCCGACCCCAGTGAAGATGCTAGCCCAACGGATATCAAGGACGATGCCCTCAAAATACGTGAAAATATGCAACGCAAGATGAACTTTACATTCGAGTACCCTAAAAACACTCCTTCATCAGGTTCTTATAATGGCACCTATCGGTCTCCAGTGGGAAGTGTGTCCACAAACGGATCCAACACCTCGTTTGGAAACAAGAATTTAAATTTTTCGGGAAATACTCCAAGCACTTCGTCAGGGTCGCTTGATCTTTTCAGTTACAACTCCGACAGTCAAAGCTTGCCTAAGTTTACTCCTTCAAACTATTCCGGTTCACTGAGCAACGATTTTGATTTTAATTCCCATTTTGATGAGCAGGTCTCCGAATTTTGTACTCAAATGAACCAAGTTTGTGGAACGCGAGATTGCCCCATTCCCAAGAAAACTTCGGTCTCGTCAGCCTCTAATCCTTCCCAGGCTTCGCCTTTGGTGCAGCCTCGCTCAAATCACTCTCAAAGTAGCCATACGGCTCTCACTAACTCCCCTAGCGTCTCCTCACCTTCTGACCTCATGAACAATCTTGCCAAACCTGCCCCGGCCGGTCATGTTCCCCAAGAAGCCCCTCTCACTAATTCCTGGGACTCCCCACAATTTGGACATTCAGGTTTTGGCCCTGAATTGGAGGACCCCACTACCAAATGGTTATTTGCTGGCACTAACACACCTGGGAATGCGACGACGGTACGAGCTTCAACAAACGAGGCCGACGCTTTGCCTTTTATCGACGCTTCTTTAGCTTTCCCCAATGACCAAGAGGATCAGATGTTCAACAACAATTCGGATGATGTTTTGAACCAATTTTTCGAAGACGATCCTACGGTTTCTCAATTGACTAACGAGGAAAGCAATTATGATTTGTTCAGGCAAAACTCTGTGCCGACACCTGGAGCCGAAACCCAAGGCTCCTTGAGTTCTGCTGATTCTCGTACTTCTGCGTCAAGGTCCAGTACGTCCACGGCAATTACGGACTTTGGTGAAAATGCGATCGGCAAATCTCTCAAACCATCACCATCGTCTGTTGGCGAACAAAGCTATGAAAACTCTGCCTACGATGTTGTCCCTGCTCGCGATGGCAATTTACTCAAGTGCACCGAAATTTGGGACCGCATTACAGCGCATCCCAAGTATTCAGATTTAGACATTGACGGATTGTGTGTTGAGCTACGCACTAAGGCTAAATGTTCAGAGAAGGGCGTTGTGGTCAATTCCGATGACGTTCAAAGAGCACTAGGTAAGCACATGTCATGAAATGTTTACATTGGATGGGGCTGCTGTTTTAGCGATGTTGAATTATAAATTTTATGGATTGATCACAATAGGGTTTTGTGTGATGATGGGTATATGAAAGGCGTGTCCTTTCGAAATTTATTACAACTGTAATTTCCTTCGGGCGTTCTTTTTTGATCGTCGATTTTTAATTCCTTCTCTCACTCAAGTTTACATACCAATAACTGACTTGGGCAAAGCAGGATTATATTTACTTCTTAGTTTTTTAATAGACATATGTCGATATGGAAGAGACAGAACAATCTTCCTCTCGCCATACATAGTTCTGGTGACCTTAGAAGAAGTAATAAATCTGGTAATCACAAATAGACGGCGAAATGCTTGTGCTTTAACGGATATCGCTAGCCGTTGAATTGCTTTTGCTGGTTAAGTGGAACGCCAACTAAATCGCAACTAAGGCTGATATGAAGAGGATCAAGAGAAAATTCATTGAAAATCTAAAACCTTTGGAGTACCTAACACTTGTCGTCTCTTAACGTTGACATCTACTCGCACAAAATATGTTAGCCGAAACTCAAGAAGTCCTGGAAGAAGGTGAATATTAATCCGTAATTGGGCAACTTTATGGGCTTCCTATTCAAACTATTGCCCACAAGGGTCTAGAAGCCAGAAAAACATCCTACCCACATATCCCCTTTACTTCCAAAGAGAGGTAGCGATTGATGACCCATTAAAAACCTATTGATGCCGTATTTGGATCAGAACTCTCTTGGGAAATATCATTCTATTCCTCTACTTTCTTAATTATATTTACCGTCATACCTTCAATCACTTGCCTCACATGTAAATGAATTTATGGGAATGTACTGTTTAATCACACGACTAGATTCTCGTTTGAGAGAAGAAAGGGGGGCTTGCGGATTGGCTTGAGCATTTGACGCACGCTGCTTAAGGATTGTTAACGCAAACTAAAAACATTGTCAGACCTAAAAAATATGAAAAAAGGAGTAGATCACTGAAATAATCGAAAGCTTTCACCAGTATCCAGCCCCCCTACCCCCCTACACTATCAGCGACTTGGACCATTCAGGGTATAGGTCTTCCTAAAGAGCTGGAAAAGCCAAAGTTGGAACACAGTCACAGCACCTGGCAAAGCCATCATCAACATTTAGGTGGTCGACTAAAGGCAGCCCAATGATAATTTGAGAAGAGAACTAATCTACTAAATTACTATCCCTCCTCCAAACAGTGTTGAACTTGAGCTCCAACCTTCACTGTCACCGTCACTGGCATCGCCATTGGCGCTGTCACGTTATAAGTGACTGTACAATTTTCAATTGGAATCGAAGTCAATAAATACCAACCATCATATCGCTCAACACCTATCCATTATAACCAAACGGAAAAGCTTCCAGCTCTCTTCCTGATCGTTTCGGCATGGCCAAACAAAAATCCAAAAACTCTGTGATCAAGCTAATATCCACGGCAGCCACTGGATTTGCTCGTCAAATTACCATCTCTAGAGGTGCTCCTCTAGTGACACAGGTAAGATATGATCCCATAGCGAAGCGTCATGTCCTGTTCAAAGAGGGCAAGAAGAGGAAAGTTGCTGAGAAAAAGCCTCTAGACTTTTTGAGAACAAGCAAATGAAAATAAATCTTAGGTCTTAACCATCATATTAGCATCCTGTACATAATAACTACGTTTATCAATACATCACTTAAAGCCGTGCTTTATTTCAATACAGAGTAATTCAACGTCCACATTAGGCTTGAGTACCAATTAAAAGCGAAGAATGAACATTAATTTTATATTTACATACTGGTAACTTTAACCAAACAAAAAAACCAACATACACTGGATGGTGGCAACCTTCTCTGAAGGTTGCACGAGTGAAAGTCACCATGAAATTCTCGCATTCATATTCCAATGAGTGAACCTTTTCTCTTTTTTTGAATTTTCTTCTTAAGCTTCAACAATGCACTTGAATCTAACGACTTCCCCATGTACTGCCACCGCCATAAGACGATCGATTACCTTGGTCGCCCCAAGCGGACTTGTTTCCATTGGCCTCATTGCCCCAGGTTGAGTTACCACCATCCCGATTGGCTTCTCGGCTGGTGCCACCGCCCCACGTAGAAGTCCCACCGTCACGGTTACCCCATACGGAGCCACCGCCATAGCTAGATTTGTCTCCTCCCCAAGTAGACTGCGCGCCATTTTCACCTCCAGATGCCCAAGTCGAAGCACCGCCCCAACTAGACTTATTGCCCCAAGCAGAGGCTCCTCCCCACGTCGAGGTTGCTCCGTTACCACCCCAAGCAGAAGCGCCACCGCCTTGGCCGCCTTGACTGCCCTGGCCACCCCAGGTCGAAGAGCCGCCTTGTCCACCCCAGGTAGAAGCGCCGCCCCAGGCAGAAGCGCCACCAGATCCCCCAGAGTTCACGGCGGGTGTTTTCCCACCTTCAAAGGAGTTCCATCCTGGAGTCATACCGCCAGCAAGGGCAGCTGAACCTGGCCCTCCAGCACCAATGGGCATGCCGCCGGTGGTCATGTTCCTTGGAGCACTAACATAACTTGGTCCTATTCTAGCGTTAGGCGTCCTGCCGCGTCTATTAACAAGATCATCGTAGGTGATACCTTCACCACCCTCTTTGTTGTAATACATCAATTTCCGCTTGTCAACAGTGATGTGCTTACTCTTGGAATGAAGTTCGATCGTTGCTTTCTCACCATTGACATCCTTGACAATACCTAACTGTCCCTTGTAACCCGCGGAGCGTACTCTTACCGTTTTACCGAGTGCCACATCCCGGCCGACGCGTGTTTGTTGGAGAGATTGTTGAGGAGGGCGCATTTTGGAAGCAATATCTGGGTTCATTTTGCTGAGATCAATCGAGCCAACGCCTGCTATCACGTTGTCCTTAGAAGCGATAGCTTCGACATTCATAGGGTTAACCAAGAAAACACCAGCATTTTCGGTGATCTTTTTCGAAACAATGAAAATCTGCTGCGTTTGGATATAAAGCACTTGACCTTCTCTACGGGCACCCACCTTTTCCACCACAGTATCGCCAATCTTAATTTCACTTCCCTTGTTATCAACAGCAGTTAGTCTTGAACGTTGAGTATTTATCTTTTGTAAAATTGAGCCTTTGGTTATAGTAGCCACTTTCCCGCCATCGTCCAATATTTTGAAAATATCGTGCCCTGCTTGGATTACACATGCAACATTCTTTGCACTTAACTCAACAATATCGTGAAGAGCATATTCGCTAGACGTTGGTGTGGAGTCCATAGACTTGCTGAGGTTGTTTGCTGAAATCGTCAAGTTGGCTCTTGTCTGATCTGAAACAAAAGTCACTTGTCCGTTCTTGACGGCAAGAACTAAACCGGCATCTCCTTGGTGGTCACCGCCCACTACTGTAACATGGTCACCGGCTTCAAAAATTTTCCGAAGGGAGGAAATAGGAAATTCTAAAGCTTTTATGCGCAACTGAGGAAGATTCACTGCAATAATGTCTGCAGAGGTTCTCGTTACAAATCCCTTCGACCCCTTCTGCTCACCGCTCAATATTTCCACTCTGTCGCCAACCTGGAAGGTAACTCTAGCAGCTTGTGCTTTTCTGATAGTTTGGGATATGGTTGTCAGGTCGAGATCACCTTCTTTGCTACCAAATCTAGCGAGCTCTTCAACAGATGGTTGGATGTTTTTCGTTTCGAGATACTGTATCCTAAATGATTTGAATAGGTAACCGTCAACATAATCATCATTTCTGTAGGTGAAATGTCTGTCATCCCTCTTATAAAGATTCGCTTGGTCCATTCTCAAAGCCATAGTAGGGTTGAATAATTGTGGAGGTGGTCTCTGAGCAAATGTAGGCCTCTTCTGCTTTCTGGTGTTGGTGTCTGCATCAACTTCGTCGTTCTTACCGTAATCCAGACGAGGAACGATTTTCAACAGCACCTCGAGGTTATTCTCGCTGATTTGATCAATTACAGCCAAATCACCCTTGTAAATACCACGTTTTACTCTCACATAACTTCCTTCTTCAAGTCTGACATCATCAGACTTGTCCGGTTTCAAAAGCAAGGGCAGTTCCTGCACCGGAATCAAAAGCTTTTGAGAAGGATATATGTCGGACACACCTGTGGTGAATTTTTCGATGACAGATTGCTTTGGAGCTTCAATATAAATTCTTCCAGAATAATTGTCCCTTTGAAAAATAGACATGATTTTCAATTTCTTGTTGCCCATCGACTTGTCCAAGTTAAACTTCTTTTTGAGCAGCTTTCTGACGATATCTTTTTCTCTACCAGGTCTACATCTAACACCCCAAATTGTTGCTGTATCAACACTGGGTAGAAGAAACCTTTGGGGAACGTACCCATCTTGGGCAGCTGCCCTATATTGCTTGGAACTACTTCTTCCGTAACGCTCTCTGAGTTCCTTTGCAAGCTTTTGAGCGTCTTCTTCGGAATTTTTGCTGAGATTCTGATCAAGTTGACGGTGAAGACGATCACCTCTCTCAGGTCCTGCCGTATCGTCGTCTTCTTCTTCGTCACCACGGGTGATGAAACCTTCACGCACCAGCTCAGATTCCTCATCGTCTTCTTCCTCTTCATCGTCGTCGCTTACTTCAGCCTCAATATCCAAAAATCGATTCCGCTCTTGACGCTGTTTCTTTCTAGGACCGGCCTCATCATCATCTTCATCCTCTTCGTCATCATCGTCTTCATCTTCATCGTCGTCTCCTTCTCCTTCTTCTTTAGTGGCCTTTTCATCTTCGTCCACATTACTGATTTCATCCGCGTCCTTAATTCCGCCGTCGTCTTCACGGCTTTGTTCTTCATTGTCAGCCTTTTTTTCGCTTGCATCTGATTTCTCAATGTTGTTGATGGCACCACTTTTGTCACCATTTTGTTCTGCCTCCCTGGGCCTTTTGACGCCATTGGCAGCGCCAATTTCATCTGATTTATTCTCTACTTCAGAATTATTAGTTTCTGCAGCCCTCTCACCTTCGCCACTCGCATTAGCATCATTAGGAGTTTCCAGATTAGGTCCCTCGTTGGTAGCTATTTCAGCATCGTTTGAAACCGCTGTAGCGCGGTTTTCGACGCTACCGGTCGTGTCTGAAGTCGATTCCTTCGTTTCAGACATTCTTCGGTTACTTGAAGCCAGCTTTACGGCAATCTCAAGTTGTTAGAACGGTTCAAGGATTTGTGTTGGTCAAATAGTTGGCTAAACACATTGAAAATTTTGACCTATCCCTTAGTACAGAATGATGTACAAATAATCGTTCTTTAGTTAAAAGCATTCAATTGTTCAACCAGCTTTCTACGCTCATATTTGGCTCGAAGTCGAATCTCCAAGCCAATCTCTTTTCTGGATTGAATGAATACTGACCTTTTGGTAATGGCCACTGTAAAGTATGAGCAAAAAAAGAGGTCAAAAGTCGTATAGCGACGTGCTGAACTTTCTAAACCCGAAGATCCCAGCAGAAATCGAGGACGACATTTTAAGTGCTTTTGCCAACTACAGTCTCGAATCGGATATGACTTCTGCGAACTTACCAGCATTTTACAGCGATTTACAACTGCCTGAGGATGTTACCAAAATGATCAAAGCACAAGACGTTTGCATCGAGGGCACAGACATTATAAGTTTCGACAAGCTGCTGAAAACCGTGTTCCATTTGCTGGTTTTCATGAATAACGGCGAAAATATAGACGCACAGTGGTCTATGCTGGTGCACGCATGCGGACGTGACTCGCAATTTCCACAAGTGGCGTTGAGAAACCATGTTCTCAGTATCAAGGACCTTCAAAAAATTACCAATAGCATCAACATGGACAGCGGGAAGCTGGTGGAGATGATGAGCTACTCCACAAACGGGACCCGAGTGTATATCACTTGGCTAGATTTCGCGTTCCTACTAGGGAAGCTGGGGCATTTAATGTTTTAAATGGGACCTCGAGGTAGCCGAAGTTCTTTTGGGCTTTCTTCTATGTATACCTAGTACTAAGTCTTGCTTTTATACTAAATAATATGTTTAGCTTTGAAGTAGTTGTGGAGATAGTTGACCTGCCAAGCACCCAAACCGATCAAAACGCAAATCACGACAACGGAAAAGTTTCTGACTCTTCTGTTAGTGGACTCATTGGTGTCTCTTAGTCTTTCCTCTCTGGCTTTCAAATATGCAAGCTCGTCCACGATTTCATCGGTCAATTCCTCGATCCTGCGCAGCTCAACTTCAACGGGTTTCAGCTTCTCGGTAGATTGGATCTTGTTCCAGTCGCGCGCTTGCGAGCCAGACTCGATGTCCATCTCTACGCTTCTGCTGAGGGAGTGGCCACGGCTTTGCAATTGGTTTTCTAAACACACGTCGAATGCTGCTGAGGATGGTGCGGTGAAAGCCACTTTGATTGGACCAGCAAAATCCTTCTTCCTGCGGTACTCATTGCCAACGCTGTCTCTGATGACAAGATTCAGCACTTGGCCGTCTCCAACGGATCCATCGCTCCTAATATTAACCACGACCAGTTGGCCCTCATTGACAAAATCACGAACACAAATCGGTTCTGGCTTAGAGGACGCAGGGATTTCAAACCTCAACGCAAATGCAGTACTGATAAGCGCACACAGAAAGGTTAAGATGCTCAACTGCATGCTTTAAAAGGGCGCTTGAGAACTTTTGCTTGTTTATGTTTCAAAGGTTAACTTGTTAAACTTCAAATTTTTTAGGCTAGACGTGTACAATATTAACTATATTGAAGAGTGTCAAAGAATATTCGCGTATTTAGTATAAATGATAGCAGGATATGCCAAGACGCTCTCTTCACCACCCTCTCCATTCCAAAATCTTGAAGTTGGCTGTTTTTGGGTATTCTATAGTTTGAGCGGTACTTTTGAGTGGTTTTTCGTATTTACAAGGTGATTCTGGCCAAATATCATATTGGCTTACTGCAATTGTTTGATTTCCCATTGTTCGTTGCTCATCTCGGTTATTCGAGGTCCAACTACTGCTGAGACGGAATTTTTGCCCACGAGGTATCTCTCTGCAACGTCGCGAACGTCGGACAGTGTAACGTCGAGCAACTGTTCTCTTCTCTTTTGTCTCAAGGCATTGGTGATGCCATACGTAAAGTGCACTGTTCCCTCGCTGCTGGGACTGATGGGCGCGTCTACCTGCTGGAAAATGGTCAATTTGGCTTGGTCCAGGTCAGCAGCGCCCCAGTCAGCCTTTTCTAAGACGTACTCGCCGCTGTTGGCAAAAATCTCTATCGAATTGATTGGGTGGGGGTCCCTGTAGGAATAAAACGACATTAGACCCTCAAGTGCGCTATACACAGCGCCTCCCCCATAGGCACCTCCTTTTTCTCTAACTTCTCTGTGCAGGTGTTTAAATGTGAGCATGTTGGCAAGAACTTGCAAGCTGGCACCGTCAGGGTGAGAGTAGGAAGCCCCCAGACTGGATTGCGCGGCGTAATGCACTTGGAAGGGAAACTCTATCAATTTGTATTTGCCATTTTGTGGTATCAGGTCGTAATCACGCGCTGCGAAAGAATTGGCGGCGATCTTCTCAGGCAAACTCTGCACAAATTGGTGAATTTGTGACTCTACCCTGGAAACCTGTTTATCAGTATCGCATGTGATGAAGAAGGCCATGCCTTCTTTTGAGATGACATGAGTTTTTAATTCATTTAGTTTATCAACTACTTCGGATTGGAACAGCACAGGATCGTCTAGGATTGACGCTAAGCGGGTAATTAGCTGCAGCTGCTCAACACCGCCCAGTGTCTCGTTGATGGCGCGCGCGGTGGTCAAGTGAGAGCCAGCGTAATTTCTGGCAAACGAATGTCCCGATTCAGCGACCGTGGCAGTATTGGAGGATGCTAATGACCTTATCAAGACTTTGAGCTTTTCGCTGTTTTTTGTAATATCAGTTTCCACCAAAACTTTGCGCCATATATCCAGCACATACTCTGTTTTCTGATTAAGGGCAAACCCCTCAAATGAAAATTGCAACTCTGGTTCCGCATTCGCCGGATTTGTGTGGACAGAGACGTTTGTAGATATGCCCCCTGTATGCAGCTTCATGGTATCCTCAATTTGGCTATAGGTTTCATCAGTGGTTCCGAGGCTTGTCAAACAGTCAGCAAATAAGGACAAATACGGGTATAGATGCTTAGGGATTGCGTTGTTGAGAGACCTTTTGCCTCTCAAGTATGTAATGCCGTTCGTGTCTGTAAGACGATGCGAGACATGCGCCTTGGAGATGACATCGTACATCTCTCCCGCCCGAGGTATGTCGTCAATCTTTAGACTTGGCAGACATGAGACGTCCTCGATCTCATTTTGTTTTTCTTGTAATTGCAGCCCGCGGTTGAGTATAGTTTTCTTATCAGTGTCATCCAGTTGACTAAGCTTGGCTCTCAAGCGCTCCGCTTCCTCAAGTTCTGCTGCCTGAGAGAAGTCTTGGTCCGCCTCCATTGAAAAATGGAAGCATGGTTTGTCAAGAACGTATTGGCGAATGAGCTCTCGGAATAGCTCATTACCCTTTTCGGCCCAGTCATACCTGAACTGACTCAAAATATCATCAAAAACTAGGGTGTCAAAAGGATCAGTTTTGTTCGTCCACCCAGGAACCAACGAATATAGCAATTGCAATCCAAAATCTGCTCTCTGGTTTTTCTTTGACAACTCCAGTTGTTGAATTATTGCTTCGACCTTATCGGATTCAAATGGTTTTTCCAAAACGTCTTTGAAAATTGATCTGACCGTTTGTTCGAATCTCTTGACGTCGCCACATCCTTGCACGCCGACGCTCAAGAAATTGGCTGCAGTCGTGGAATCAACACCCGAATTCACAGAAAACTCGTACCCAATTCCAGTTTCGATTAGCTGTTGGTAAAAGGGGGAAGAATGGCCATCCATGAGTAAGTTCCCCAAAATTCTCAGGACAAATGTGTTGTATACATCAGAAGGATCGCCACATAACCACGTCATGGACGTCTTCAACTGCTTGTCCATTGGTAACATGGTGTCAATCTGGCCCTTCTCAACAATTCTGACATCAGAATCAAAATCCAAAGGTTTGCGGACTCCAGCGCTCGTTTTTCTTTTCCCATGCAGTTTGAACTCCTCGTTTAGGCGGTTCAGTGTGTCCTCGAGAGGAAAATTTCCGTAGGTAAAAGTCTTTGCATTAGAGGGGTGATAGTTTTTACTGTGAAAATCTACTAGATCTGAGTATTGTAGATCCGTGATCTTTTGCGGATCGCCGCCCGAGTTATTCAACGATGGGTAAATACGTTCTTGGAATTTGGTCCAAAACTGGTAATTGGAGCTTGACACCTGGCCCTTCATTTCATTATAAACAACACCCTTGAAAATTATTTCACTTTTGGGGTCCTCCAAATTCGACTGCTCCAGTCTCCATCCCTCTTGAAGGAAGTCCTGATGGTTCAATAAAGGTCTGAACGTCGCATCCAAGTAAACGTCACGCAAGTTGCTAAAATCAGCCTTGTTGGCAGTAGCAAAGGGATAGAATGTGTAATCGTGGCCGGTCATGGCGTTCATAAAATTCGCTAGCGATCTATTCAACATCTTGAAGAACGGATCTCTGACTGGGTATTTGTGTGAACCACACAACGTGGTGTGCTCTAAAATGTGCGGAACACCTGTCGCATCAGGCGGATTGGTCTTGAAAGCAATACTGAATACATTGTTTCTGTCGTCTCTATCAATGTGTAAGTGCTGCGATCCCGTCTGCAAGTGTTTGAGATCAACTGCAATGAACTTCATCTCAGGAACGGGCAAAACCCGCTGAACCTCGTACCCATGGAAGGTTCCACCTACGGGGTACTTCCTAAGTAGCCTTGCTTGGTTGTAATGCGACGCTAATCTCTTGAACCTGAGCATCTTTGCCCTTCAACAGTGAGCAGAAGTTACTCGGCGAAATTGGTCAAACGTATATTAATTAGATGAGCTGGGGCCAAGATAGAAAGCGCTCGCTGAAGAAAGACCTGAGTGCCTGGTACTTTTGCTTACTGTGACAAACTACACGCGCATAATCAATAAGCTTACCGAAAAGATCGATGGCATCACTCCCTCGCCAAGAGACTGTGCTAAAGGTTCAGTCACACACAGCGTCAGAATGGGAAAAGATGATCAGAAGGCGGCAAGCCATTTTATAACAAAGAGTAGAGTCCATGGGAGCCACTTGTGTTTACAGCAGCACTAATAGCGCTTTGACCAGCATGTGCACCAATGAAACCCGAAATAGAATTATTACCCATTAAGAAGAGTATTTCTTGAAAAGTCGGAGGGCATGCGCGTCAAAAACTCAGAGTTCGGAGCACCAAATACAAAAACTAAGCTAAATTTAAACAAACATCAGCCATACCAATCGAAAGCATATGGAACTGCTCAAAATCGCCAAAGGATACAGTGGATATTTAAGATCATTGTATACGCAAATGAGTTTTTTAGTATTATGAAGGTGCTGTTTACTCAGATCCAGTACACATCACACGAGGCCTCGTCCGATGCTCGTGAAGTTATTCATCGACTGTGCAATCTTACAACGCTGATTAGCTATTGTCATATCGATTAAATTCATACAAGTGACACAGTCGTGGTTAGCGATCTTGGTGCAGTGGCAAAAGTTTTCTGAGAATAAATTAAAAAAACTCTTGCTGGTGTCAACAACTCCTGTTCTCAACACACTCAGTCTACCATTGATATCGCTACTAAAGTCATGTCTGAAGATCATCAACAACCTCCAGTAGAAGAACAAGAACAAATAGAGGTTTCTGCCGTGCCTGAAGCCTCTGAGACCCCAGTTGAGTCGTCTGAAGCGCCAGAAGCACCACTGTCTCCAGAACGCTATGAGCAGCCAGCCCCAGTGAACGATTACCAAAATGAGCAAAGGCACTCGTACCAGCCCTCGAAGCGCGTGTCTATGGACGGCGAACTCTCTACTACTAGGCTATTTGTCAGGCCTTTCCCATTTGACGTGCAAGACTCGGAACTAAACGAGATCTTTGCTCCTTTTGGTCCAATGAAGGAAGTAAAGATTCTGAACGGTTTTGCGTTTGTGGAGTTTGAGGAAGCCGACTCTGCCGCCAGAGCCATCGAAGAGGTCAATGGTAAAACTTTTGCCAACCAGCCCTTGGAAGTGGTATACTCGAAGATCCAGCCTCCCCGCTACCGTATGGTTCTCAGAAACCTACCAGAAGGCGTTGCTTGGCAAGAACTTAAGGACCTGGCCCGCGAAAACAACCTGGAAACCACTTTTTCGAGCGTTAACACTAGAGAATTCGACGGTACTGGTGCTCTAGAGTTCCCATCTGAAGAAATCTTACAAGAGGCCTTGGAAAAACTAAACAACATCGAATTCAGAGGCTCGGTTATTTCAGCCGAGAAAGACGACAATCCCCCTCCCATTAGAAGGTTCAGAGGCGGTGACCGTGGTGGTTTCGGCGGTCGTGGCCGTGGTGGCTTTGGTGACCGTGGTGGGTTCCGTGGGGGCCGTGGTGGCTTCGGCGGTCGTGGCCGTGGTGGTTTTGGCGACCGTGGTGGGTTCCGTGGGGGCCGTGGTGGCTTTGGCGGTCGTGGCCGTGGTGGTTTTGGTGACCGTGGTGGGTTCCGTGGCGGTCGTGGCGGCTTCGGCGACCGTGGTGGGTTCCGTGGAGGTCGTGGTCGTGGCGACTCCTATGGTCCTCCAAGAGGCTCCTATGGCGCCCCAAGGGACGAATACAGAGGCAGAGACGGCGGCGACTTTTACGGGTCGGCTCGTGAAAGATCTCCAACTAGATAATAAGCTATCTCGCTTGATACTTGTCAATTTGGCTATCTTTTGAAGATCTTGTCAAAACTATATGATGCCCGAGTGGTCCCTTCAACTTGTGTCTTTTTTGTATTACTGTGGAAAATTGTCCCCATTTTGTTTGTTTGTAGTGGTACCGTTATGAAAGTCCAATGAAAGAAAATGGCTTTGGTTTAGCCTCATCTACCTGCGATGTATCCAGGAACGAAAAGAATCCTGTGGGACCGCTGTATTTTAATCGTGCTTGAACGAATTTATAACTTTTTAACTTGTGGGATCTGAGACGTACTGATCGAGTTCCTTGGTTAAATACAGGCGTCTCCTACGGTTTCTCCTTAATTTTGCATGTGAGCCTTGACGCTATTCATATTTAAGAAGCTGGGGTTCACACTTGTGTGAATTCTTATCTATCTTGTCAATGGAGAGTGGCCTGTGAGGTTTCTATATTAAAGCTGCCCATTCTGGTTGGTACTAACTTCGTGAAACAGATAGGTCATAATATGTGGCTAGCCCACGCAATCCAACGCTTTCCTCCACTGGGGGTTCAACGCTTTGGATCATTTACATTAGCATTACATTAATAAACTGCATTTTTCTAATTACTATCAACAGTTTCCTCATCGATGTCTTCGTTTAACATCTCGACCAGGAGATTGCCATTGGGGCAAATTTGAGGCACCTCCTTGATACAGATATCCTTAACGCAGTCAAGCTTGAATCTAGGAAAGGGGGAAATCAATTCGAAATCAATATCAAGCCAAGCATCATCGCTCGACTCAGTTCCATCGCTCAACTCTTTGTTTATCAAGTCCCTCAATGAGTCTGCAGTTTCGCCAGCGAATGAGTCGTGCGACCACTGCTTATCTTTCCACGCCAATACATCACCGTCTTGTGCAAGCTTCAAGAGCATTTCTTTAATGCTATCGGCAACTTCCGTACTTTCTAACGTTTTCAAGTTCAGGATTAGAAAACATTTAACAGTTTGGTAAATGTCTTGCAAAGATTCATCGCCATTGAATTTTGTTACAAGTCTTTTGCCACTGGCGGTTCTAATCTGTAAGGTTGTCAGATCCCCCCTGCGTTTGTTTTCTACCATTTTGAGACCGAACTTCAAAGTTGACAGAATACCCAAAGTTCTTCTCCGTTTGATTTCTTGGGCCTTGGATAACTCAGCTTCTTGCTGCAACTTGGTTCTCTTTTCCTCGTCTTGTCGTTTCTGTTCCTTAATTTGATCTTGTCTTAAAGACTCTAAGTAAGCATGGTCTTGTAATTCCTTTATTTCTCTGGCCATTCTCAGCTCCTCCTGTTCATTTCTGCTAACCACCAACTCAGCACTATGCCTTTCGAGCGTTACTTTGAAAGAGTTTTGGAAGCTTCTCAAGGAACTGACCTTCAACTTCCCAATTACAGACATACGAGTTACCCCATTCATGGAGCCCTTAGAGTTTAAAACATTCGCCACGAGTAGGCAGGTCGGCGTGTGACTCAGTTTGAGTTGTTTTGCTAGAGCCCACATCTCCGGTGAGGTCGCTGAATTCATATAGATCATAACATTGCCCGCTTGTTCGCGTAACAATTGCAAGGTAGAGGGATCGTTGAGGATGTTTTTCACAAACCTGCTGGAGTTTTGATCCCTTTTATCGAGCTCTTCGGATTCTAAATCTCCCAAACACACTACTAGCATAGGTTTGAATTGTCGTTCACATTCTTCATAAATGGTATTGAAACGGTCGGGGCTCAACAACGATTGCAAGTCGGATTGGGGACCTACCAGAGCCGCCAGCGTCTCACTGAAAGGCCTTGGGTTATCCTCTGGGTATCGGGGTACTCTTTGAACTGTGAACTCCGTTCTTGGTTGACTGTTGGTGAAGCCGAATGAAATGATTGACCACAGCAGTGTCAATAATCCGGTCCCTATTCTGAGAAGTAGCTTAGGTATCAGTAACAAGACAAACAGGCCAGGATGCGTAGCAAATTCATTAGTTCGCCGATCTAGGCCTGCATACTGAAATTTATCCTTGAAATCCAAAGGAAGCCTCTTCACAATGGGTAGTTTCGGTACAAAAGCGGTGTGATCGCCCATTTCAAACGGGTTAGCTGTGTGCGCAATTTGCTCACTTTCCATGGGAGTAGGAGGTCTTGGAGCTACTGCAGGTGGCTGTTCCAAGTTTTCTTGCCAATTGCCATCGAAGTATCGGCACAATGCAGGCTCCAGCTGCCAGCTGTTGTTCTCCAGCAGTCTAACCACCTGCGCCAGTTCTGCGTCCGGGAAATTAGAAATCACTTGGAACTCATTTAGCATGTGTTCCTGCTCGTGCGATAGGTTAAATTCTTGGTCCTCGTGATGAACAATAGGCATTTTCTGGTTCTTTCTAATATCTCTAAAGGAAGCGAAGAGTATTTGAATTACTGTCAAGTTAATTAATATCACTTTCTATCTGATGGGAAAATACGACCTTATGTTCGATGAGTGAGCTACAAAGAACGCTGGTTACAGCTCATTGCCTCTGTACAATTACATACCAATTATCCTTCTCATAGCCAGTCTCAAGAATCTTACCTCCAGCGCTGATACAATCCTGTTCGAGCTCGCCTTCTTTGTAGAGATGATAGTAGCGATATTTGGTGTTTTCAGCCTGTTCTTGATGGGCCATTTGGCTCTGCTCTGCTTCTAACCTGTTGCGTTCAGCCCTTAGAGCCTCCTGCTCGAGCTTCCACTGTGCCACTACCTGCGCACGTTCTTGCGGTGGTACCTTGCTCAAATCCGGACCCTTAGGTTTGATATTCTTGGCATCCTTCTTGATTTCAGCGTGTTGGGGCTTCGCGTGTTTCCCTTGCAAAACCCACGGTACCAATACGTCTTGTTCCATGCCCTCGTGGTAGCCTCGGCGCGACCCGGCCTGTTCCAAGGCCCAGCAGTAGATCAAAGCCGATCCGCCAGATCTAACTTTACTGAGAATGTGTGCAATGGCCTCCACGCGGCGTTCACGGGTCGACCAGTGGTGTACTACGGCTATAGAAATGGCAAAATCAAAACTGTTGTCCCTGTGAGGCAGACGCATGCCGTCTGCCACCACAACGTTGCAATGAGCATCACGCTCGTGGGCATGCTCCACAAGTCGCCACGACCGGTCTGACCCGATTATAAACACGTTTTTGTTAATGTCCAAATACTTACCGTTCCCACAACCCACATCTATCCCGACACTTCCCGTTCCCTGCTCCTGCAAAAACCTGGTTACTATTGGCCAAGGTTTGTATCTAGTTTGTGAAAAGTGAGGTGCGATTTCGTTGTACACGTTGTGAACAAACTCCAGCTCTTTTGCCTCAGCCATGTCTATAACTAATTACACAGAGTTAATGGTGTACACAGAGCTGGCGGGTCAGCTCTGTCACTGGTATGCGATGCCCAAATTCTTTCGTTTCGCTGCTAGTATAAATTGAAATTTTGAGTATCACCGACTGTTACCGAGAAATGAGACAAAAGACTCTCAATGACGGCAAAGTAAGGCTTAGTAGCACTGAAATGTATCCAAACGCTCCAGCGCACGAGGGTACTGTTTCACCCCTCGAGGAACCACCAAAGGGCCTTGCAACAGACTCGACTCGACGCTATAACACGGTATCACAGTATACGTTGTGGATAAATCTAGGTCATGTGACTATAGCGTGACCTCAAAACCGTCTATGGTGATCACTGGTCGCGTGACTTGAATTATGTAATATTTGTCAAAAAATCGTTTGCATTTCCAAATCGAACTTTCGTTCGGAATATGCGTGGAAGAATCGCCAAGCAATCACATCAAACAGGCCCCAACAAGAAGTGTTAACTAGCTTTTGATCTGTAGCTGTGCAGACCTGATGACGCTACTAAACTTGCGTCGGGCAGTAGCGCTCTGGTTCGCTGCTCTTTTCACACTTGTGGGGATTCCCATATGGTATAAACTGACCACGATATACAGGGCTCCTCTTCCCAGCACGTACATCGGCTCAATTCAAGAAAACATGCATTCAGATATACACGTTGTGGTGCCGGTCTACGTGCGATCAGACACGTACAAGTTTCCGGACGTACACGATGCTATTCAGGCTGAGGTGAACGCGCTGATAGAAGCTAGAGCCGGCCGTTTGAACTGGTCGTTGCAGGTACTACAACCCGAAAGTCACGAGGATCTGAATCCAGAAACTGACCATGTGTTGACGCTGGTGTTGGATGATTTCACGGGCTATTCGATCGCGTACGATTCCAAAGAAACGGCAGTCTTTTTCGACAACGAGGCAGTGGTTTCGAACGACGTGCCCTTTTTCGCGGCCCAGACTTTGGTGGAGCATACTTTTGCCACTGAATGGGAACATTTCTCGCACCCGAGCCGCGAACGTGACGATGCAACAACGGAAATGGCTATTTCCTACTCTCCAGAAGTCCACTTGTCAATATCACTGCTCACTGGCGATGGAAGGCCCGTGGCATGGGACATAGACTCTACTTTGGAACAGTACTTCACACCTTTGCGTCGCTTTTTAGCCCCGATTGTGAATTTCACTGTAGACACCAGTATTGTTCAGTTCAACGATTTGAACTTGGGCGCCTTACAGCAGGCGCATAACCCTTCGTGGCTAGATTTGGCGCACACGGTCGATCTCTCCGACCTTTCATCTATGAACCACTACCGCGAAAAGGCTGTCCTGAATTTGGCCGTTGTATTCCCCAGCGCTGCATCTGGCTCATTAGCATTCATCAACGCCACCAGTGAAAAACCATGGCAAAGTTTCATGGTTCCTCAATGGGGTGCTTTGGTCATCAACAAGGACCCACTTCCAGATAACTCTCGGTTGACGCAGAATTATTTGGCTCCTGTCATGTACAATTTTGTTCGCGAAATGTTTCAGTTCTTGGGCCTTTCTTCCAAAAGTGCGGACCTCTCCACTCCTTACACCACGATTGACTCTTTTAAACGCGTAGCTACCTTGAAGAATCTAGAAAAAGGCGCACATACTTTGTTGTCTTTGACAAAGCTAGCCGATCAATTTCCTCAAATGTCGGTGCCCAGGCAGGTCTTGGACAATGTAGAGCGTGCTCTTAACTTGCGGTTACAAATTGTGGAACTTTTAAATGACCCATCTCAGGGAAGTGAATCCACCTGGAACACCGCACTAAGACTCAGCAACAATTTTGTCCAGGTCTGTGAAAAAGCATTCTTTGACAAGGCAATGGTGCAACAAAACTTTTTCCCACAGGAGCATAAAATTGCGGTATACCTGCCACTATTAGGGCCGTTGACGGTAATCACCTTCACGGGCCTCATAAAGGTTTTGCGAGAAAAGGACGAGTCAGAGGCCAAACGAGACGAAACACAAAAAGAAAGCGAAGCTGAAGGTGACAATAATGATGAGAAGCAGATTTTAGCCGAAGACTAACGATGACCAGCTCGAACTTCACGTTAAATTCGATCTTGCATTAAACTATGGATATCCAAAGAAAAATAAATAAAACAAGCGCACTGACTTTCATGCGCTCTCGTAGCTCTATAACCCCTTGATGGAATCAAAAGTACTTAATCAGCATAATATTATATACCTAACACATATACCATTTAAAAGTCACTAAAGCATGAACTGTCTTATTCCCTGTATCAATTCGACATCTACGTTAATTTTTGAAGATCATGATATATATGACAAAGTGTACTTAACGAAACAAAAATATCCGAACACACATCGCTGTCTTGGACGAGCCAACAGCAGGGGAAATGACTGAGACACAAGGACCTTTGGACACTGTACCTGAGCAAAATTACCCCCCACTCATAACTCGCAACAACTATTGGGCTATCAAGGAATTGATAAATCAAGTCGTTAGCGAAGATCAGGAGTACGTCTCGTGGAAGTTAAAGGATGTGCGCACTGGTGGAACAATGAATGCATATCTCAACGATTTCTTGAATGGAGTCAATGAGAATATAGGTACCTCAGCACAGCAGCCAGAAGATTTACACAACCTTATGCGCCAAAATAAAAAAGCGAGGATGAGCAGAGTTCAAAAGAAGTCAACACTCATCAACTCTGTGCCTAGAAATATCCGTTTCCCGAGGGAAATTCACGATGAACAGATTGCCGGGCTGCCGCAGCCTAAAATTTTGGATCAGTCTGAGCAGCTAAATTTACTACTGACAAATCTGGATGAGGAACAAATGAACAGGTTTGAGGTATTTCGCAGGACTTCGTTGGCTAAAAACAACATCAAGAAAATCTCAAGTCTCATCACCAACCAGACTGTTGCTGCTAATATCAATCTTCTGCTCGCTGGTGTGGGAAAGATTTTTATTGGAGAGATAGTCGAAAAAGCCCAAGAGGTGAAAAAGCGGAAACTTGTGGCCTTGATGGCTTCGATATTTCGCGAAAAGAAGATGGCAGCTAACCGACTGAAAAAGAGTCTGAAAAAATTGACCTCAATGGTAGACGAGAACGACGAGACGCTGGAGGATAGTGTAGATGAGGATGAGTGGGATGTTATAGACGACGATGACGATGAAGTAAGCTCAAAGTACAGTGAAAGTTTTAATAAAATTGTAAGGTCTGGTGTAAACAGTGAAGAAAACCGTCTTGGCATTATCAGGCACTACAACAGGTTAGTAAAAACCTTCAATGCCCTGGATGTTAGTGTTGAGAAATATACCAATGGGCCCTTGCTGCCCGAACATATCAGAGAGGCATGGAGACTTTATCGAACCGAGAATGATACTGTACCTCAAGCAACTTGGAGAACACAGGGTGAGGGAAATGGCTGGATGTTTCGGTGATATGGACAATGTTTTCTGTATTTAACTACCAAAATGCTTTTAATAAGACATAATGAGACAAGATAATTTCTAACTCTTCAATTTCGTCTAAAAATTGCAAGGACTTGAGTCTCTGTTTCTCTTGCGGGATGGTTTCGGTTTGATAGTATTGCCACATTGTTCGTATGTCGGTGCTTGTAGCGTTGCTCTTGAACCGCTGAGCATATTTTGTCGCAGAGTTAAACACCATGAGCGTAGGAAGATCAAGTTGTCGCGATTCCCGAAGGTTTGACTGCATGATACTTCCAAATCTATCCGTAGAGGTTTCACCGCCAATAGGATCGTACGAAAGCCACATGCCAGTCTGGTATAACGACATAACCTCATCTATCAGCACTTGAGATGGCTTAAATTTCATGTAGCACAAGACACACTCCGTCAATACCAGTGTTGGAACATCGGGGTCGGTATGTTCCTGAATTATCTCTAGGACATCCTCAATCAAATTAAGGTTGCAGCTGTGGAGAACATATCGGCCCGAAACGTAATCCTCCTCGCTCAGATCTCCAGCTGGGAATCCCAGACGTTGTCGAAAGCGATCATCGCTGTTCAGTATTTTCGCTTTCAAATGAACAGACTCTCGGAAGTCCAAATCAATCCACCTCAGTTGAGGGTATCGCGACATAAAGTTGATCATCCTCAGATCAGATCCACACCCTAAGTTCAGAACCTGGACCTTGGAGCCCTTCGGAAGGCCGTTAATATATTGCTCGATAGCGATGTCCACTGCAACTGTCCTTACGTATGTGCCATAATTCATTAACGGCATGCTTGATTGGACAGCTTTCTGTACTTTTCCATAGGCTCTTCGGCTGAGGTTTTTCAATGATTGAGCATAGGCCATGTGCAGTTCGGGGTAGTCGCTGAATTCACGCAACTCTAGCTGTTTCTGGCAGGGCAGATATTTCTTAGCGATGGCGCTAATTTTGCATGAGAACGCATCGTAATCTGTTTGTTGAACGGCCCGATCCATGCGAAATTGCGTATATTGGAAAGATCTTTGCTCCTTGATATCAACACAGCGATGAACAGGGTGTTGCAACTGCCCTTCGTTTGTGGGGAATTGGTGGTGGCTTCCGCTCAGTGGCCCATGCGATTCACTGCTGGCTACTTAGTAGTTAACTTGGCGACAGCGATAAACTTCGTACCATATTATGAGTTAACCGTAATAGTCGGACGCCAACCTCATGCCAAAGGAACATGTATCTAGCGAATAGAGCTGTTCCGGGTCTTTGTCTCAACTCTTAGAATTCTAATTTGCCAGGCAGTTTAATTGATGTATCATAAGTGATGCCTAATTTTGTCCTGGCCGGGTGTCTGCTGTGACGGAAAGAAGGATGATAGAATACGACAACTTCTCTCGGGGACGAGAGTCTCAGATCACCTTGGCCACATCGAGCCGTCTACCATGGAAGCGTTGAAAAAATTGAGGGCAATCTGAAATGAGCTTACGTTCCGTTTGACTAGCTGGCTGATCATCAACCAACAGCAGCAGCATTTCTTCGGTGTGATTGAATTGTTGTACTTGCCTTTGTACCGTTACTTGCGAGATGCGGTAGAAAGTGCCTAGTTTCTTCATCTCTTACAACAGCTACAAGAACGAGGTTAGTAGGGCGGTTAAACCGATTGTCGTTTAGCAAAACCCCTTCACGCGGTGAAACAACCTCCTTGAACCTATACCAAAGGTTACTGGCGTATTAGATTAATATTAAACGTTCACTTATCGCATTTAACGCGAAGAATAACAAGAACTCACCAGAGACCTCTCCCCAAATCGCCATTTTTCTTCGCGAAAAAGCTCAGTAGCTCGACTATATTCAATTTTGATTGTCATGGGAAAGCCAAAGCAGTTTTGCACGCTTTTTAAATACTATTAGTAGTTAACTGCAGGGATTCATACTCTTATTCGCAAGTAAACCTCAGATATATCCTCAACCTTCAATATTGAGTGCTCGCTTCAATTACTCGGGCCCCGCCGCGATTAGTGTATATTTAAAATATGGGGTGGCTACATTTCTACAAAGCTCATTTCTAGCTCGATTTGGGGAGTTGATGAGGTTAGGTTTGTTTCTTGCGTGTTCTGATTTTACGTGTGATATTTCCAATCTAAATTAGCTAGGCTACCTTTGAAATTGGTAAAAGGGCATCGTGAAGACCAACGCTTAAGAGAGTCGCCATGGATTTTTACTCAAACATATCGGCAACGTCCTCCCCAGTAGCATCTTCTATATATCCAACCATTTTTGAGGTTCTTTCTTCCGAGGAAATCGATGAGCTTCTAACACCATCGGTTAGATACATTGTAGCTAATATAGTTGCAAGAAAGCCAAACAAGTATACCTTAGCAATCAACAATTGGTTCGATGAATGGTTTTTGCTGGCTGGAAGACTGATCCTTGAGTCACACAGCTTGAGTAAGTGGGATGGCACGTTTATCGAGAAGTTTTATGGACTGAAACGCTTTAATGGCGCGAACAGCGTTCTCTTAAGAACTTTACAGAGAAATCAGGGGGTGGACCTTCCCATGCGACTACGGAAACAACAGCGGCTTGCGGTTTTGTTTCAAAAAGTTTTCGTTCCTTACTTGGTCACAAAACTCGACCAAGCCCATTCAAAGTTGCTGGCACGCGCGTTCGTCTCTGCCAGAGACTCAGTTGAAGATTTCAATGTCAGGTTGCTCAGACGAATGCAGTCTGCGTTCATCAAGTTTTACCCGCTTTTAAAAAAGCTTATGTTTCTCGCCAATCTCGCTATAAAGCTATACTTCTTATCCGGCAAGACCGGTTCAACATCACTGATCGATTTCATACTTAACATTCAATACACTCGTCTGTCAAAATTTGACTATCAGCGGAATGAGCTCAGTGAAACGACAAATATGCATGCCTCCAATTTGTCTCGCCGCAAAAACATCAATAATCCTGCGCTCCTTTTTCTGCTAAAAATGTGGGGTTCCAAAGTAGGCTCGGTGCTAAAATCTTCTGCATCCCAAATTTTCCCAGCATTCATATTTCTGTTAAGAGTATTCCAATGGTGGACCTCCGAAGATATTTCTGGTGGGCTGCAACGCAGCTTGGATAACATCGACGAAGAAGTTCCTCCTCCTCCCATACCCTTTGAGAAAAACGAAGATGGAAAATGCCGAATTTGCGGTGGAGCGATTCAAAATCCAGCCGCCATCGGGACGGGTTATGTTTTCTGCTACCCTTGCATCATGCAGTATCTGCCCCAGCATGAAGGTAAGTGCCCTGTGACCGGTAGTAGGTTGCTGGGATGTGCATACGACAGTAATTCTGGAATTTGGTCCATCACGGGGATCAGAAAGCTTTTGATATAGAACATAATTTAAGAGCCAATATCACGCAACGTTTGTGACATTTCCCATTGATCACAAATAATGTCCAGAGTTTGAAGTTCGACCTCTTTCTCGACAACTTGCTGTTCGATATCTCTCGTGGGCGCTTTTTTTAACTGTAATACGAGACGGGACATCTTTCTCAAGATTTCGTCAGTGACATTCCCGGATTCCAGGTATCGTATCATCCTGTCTATCTTAACCATAATTTTCTTTTTAAATTCGTCCTGTTCGGCGAAACCTTCAGGTCTCGTAGTCCTTTCAAGATGAAAGTTGTCAAGTGCTGATAGGAAAACATTACTGCTTGGCAATTGGAAGGGTATCTGTAGCCACGGTTCTCCGGTACGGTAGCATTGAGCCTTGAAATCAGCGCCGGAGACAGCGTATGAGAAGAAGCAGCATAGTTGTGGTAAATCTTGTTCTAACTGCATCATAACTCCCCTAAGACGAGTGTAGTCTTTGCAAACGAACATGACGCCCTGCGGACTGAGCTCAGGAGTAACAGTTGTGACTAAATTAACTCGTTTAAGCAGATTTGGAGTTTGGTAGGTCAGCTGCCCTTCTTCTTCGAATAATGGTAGCACGACACTGTGTTCAAATTCACAATGATGTTGCGATTCTTGAGCGAACAACAGTAAAGTGAGGGGAGGGCTACCACGATTCTCAACCTCAATTTTAAGATCGAATAGCTGGTTTGCCTCCAGTAAAATTCCTGGTTGAAGGACTATATCCATTTATCCATGCCAGTCTCTGTGTTTGCCGAAGTTTGTAATTAACTTCAAGTGAACTGTGATTTACATATATTACGGGCCCCACGTCAAACATAACCAAATATGATTCTTAATATATACATGACTACAAGAAGGTTAATACCAGATCAACACCGATTGATGAATCACTAGAGTATGCTGTACCTCGAAAATCGATTGGCTTAGAATGCGACAGTTTGTTGTTTTAGACGATAACGGCACCGTGGTCAATCAAAGAAGCTTGGCCCTTGACTGGCTCGTAACAGTACCACTTCGTCAATGCATCGGTAGCAGCGCGAGCTTTGGCCTCTTTCAAAGAAGACCCAAACCCTTCGCCCAATTTTTCAGACCCGGAAAAAACACCAACAATGAATACTGGTGCCTTGGAATGTCTTCCTGATTCGGCCAGCAATTTAGAAATGGGAGGTGCGAGGCTTTCGCGGCGGCAGAGGACGGCTAGCTCTCTTGTGGGTTGCTCGAATTGGAAAATTTTGGAAACGTCTAATTTACGCGACATAATGTGGTCGTCGATGAATTTAAACGCTAATGCAGGATTGGTTTCGTGCGTGTAGGCCCAAAGGGCTCCGATAATACTTCTCACAGCCAAGGCGTAAGCAGCTTCCTCCGAAAAGTTTTGACCAGTGATTAATTCCACGCCATCCTCACGTTTCAAAGAATTGTTGAAAAACCGTAACTGGCCCAAAGAAACCTGAATTGGTTCCTCTTTGAGGTAGCGGTCCAGGACAGATGTATTTTCCACCTCGATACCCCAGGATTTCCCTACGCTGGCCAGCACTTGTTGGGAGATATAAGCGTCCACAGCAGCATTCAATACCACGGTAGGCAGGCGAGGATAAGTGGCCATCACCTGGCGTGTTACGTGGTAAGTCAACAGGTTCTTGCCAAAAATGTTCAATCCGTGATTGTCGTAGAAATTGCTAGTGGGCACAGTATTGGGGAATGCCGCGCCTGAAGCTGGTGCATTTATTTCCGATGGCAGTTGCGAAGACCTACACGTCAGGCACCTGGCGAGTGTTGACTTTGGAAAACCTTCTGGCAATTTAAGTCTTTTGTGAAGTGTGACCAAGGCAGCTGACTTGCTAGCAAGCTCCTCTGGTACTTCATTTATTGCATTTTGCAGTTGCTTATAGTATTCCCTGTAACTATCAAGCTCTGGAGTGGCCAACCGTACTTGCTGCTGCCACACCCTGCTGCTTGCATGGAGCGATCTATATGTGCTCGTCGCTGTCCCCAGGTACGTACGTCTGGCGCGAGCTGCGACTTGCAAGTTTCTCGCCAGCCACACCGACTGGAGAATTTGTTTCGACATAGGGGTAATGACTAACTCCAGAATGCAGTGGCCACCTTAAATCAAGTCAATTGTGTAATCTCTATGGTGGAGTTCCACCATCTCATCGGTTCTGTAGTGGTATATTTTCTGAAAAATTTTCTGAGATACCTACTTACGAAGGTGACATCCAGATATGATTCAAATTCATATAAACAACTAGAACTATAGTCAATAATGAATATATTGAGTATGGTAAGCTGTACAATGGACTTGATAACTTGTATGGGCGTACTTTCGATTATATAAATGCTCTTTTATTCTTTGACACCGTCTAGCCCTTTTCGCCAAGAAACCGCATGTCTACGCATCTGGAAAAGGGACTTTCTTTCTTTGCTGTTTGCAGGAAATTGTATGTAAAGAGAAAGAGGAAGTAATCCAAGAATTACGTTTGTTAGTGGAACGAACTACTTTTGACTTTTTGACGTTCATACAACTGGGAAAAAAAAATGAAAGTCGGGTTAGTCGATTCTGTCTTGTAAATTGCGAAGCTTTATCAGGTATTGAGACGCTGAAACCCTCGAATTGCACTAAAATGGTTACTCTTTGTACTTCTTACTCGTCCCAATATCACGCCCGACATATCTACGCGCATCAAAATACATTGGTGAAGATGAGGCTACCTAAACCCCCTGGATCAGGGTCATTTATTGGAACAAAAAAAGGATGCTTGATGAACTTTCTTCATTATATCTACTCGCTTTATCTGTTTACTCCAGTCTAACAGTGCCGACAGGTAATATGGATCACTTTATAACAAAAAGTCGTTTTTTCATGAAGCAGCTTAGATCGCACCAGCCCCACCTAAACAGCTCACCACCTGGCTTCATGTAAACCCAACCCTCGAAAAATCCTCCAATTTATAATTTCGACCTGCTCAAGTCAGTTTTTAAATAGTATAGAATACCTAAGTGAGTGTAGAATTACGCAGTAATGTGCTTGCGACCAGCACATTGCGTTCAAACAAAAAAACCTATATTGGGTTTAGAATAGAACTGTCCCACTCAGAACAACAATCACGGCCCCAAAAACTGACCAAGATGAAAAGCGACTGGACGTTGAGCCGACGGACTCGTCTCCCTTGGCGATAACGGTGGCATTCTGATTCGAATTATTGGCCTGCGTCACATTGACGGCAGTGACATTTTGCACTTGTCTTTGAGGGAGATTACCGGGCGTGGGTCCAATAATTTCGATAGCACGAGAGGGTGTATAGTTGAGAGGAGCAGCAGCGGCAGCGGCAGCAAAAACCGGAGCCGGTTTTTTTGTAATGTGAACCTCTTGCGGTTTCTGGCAAGTTGGGGGAGCCCTGGTCCAGTCATTCTTCAAATTAGCCATGACTTTCAAAGTGTCAGAGTCCTGAAGCAGCCTTCCCATTTCCTGAGCTAGGCCACGAACAGTTGGATTTGAGGATTGCAAGAGGATCCATTTTTGTTTAGCCTCAGCCCATGCTGTTTTCCAATGAGAATTTTGAGATGAAAACTCAACAACATGCGCAAACCATCTGTGACTGTGACGCAATACTGGAGCACTGTAATATATGGTTTTCATCTTCGAAAATTGGGTTGTCATAGAAATTTTTGATAGATCGAGTCCAGCAGGCGGGATCCAATGTAATTGTTCAGTGGCGATATCCATCAAGTCTAGTGCACAAAATTCATTCTTGCCCTTGAGCAAGGTGCGAAAGACAGAAAAGAACTCCAGTACATAGTGCTCTAACAAATCCATGTTGACTTTGAAAGAGAGGGCAGAATTAAACATCGATAGAGTCTCATCTTGGCATTCAGTGGTCGCATTCCAACTGGCTGTCTTTGGCGTATTTGTCACAAAATCAGCAACTCGATACAAAGATTGATCGGGCCATTTTGCTTGAGCGAACTCTGCATTCATTGCCAGCGATGCAATGCTTAGTCCAAAAAGTTTAGTGAGTTTCATTAGAACTTAATTACTTGATGAAACACAATCTTGATAAAGAGAAGCCTAGATAAGTGACACTTAGTATATAATCTAATACAGATCTTACTGGCTCCTTAAATAAGTGCCCGTTTGCGTACAACGAAGTATTGTAATTGACACCAGTGCTGTCGCTGTCGTTGACATATATGCACATGACCGGTTTTCTAGTTTTTGGAGGGCCATATGCTTAAATTTCATGATCTGGGCGTGTGGCGTAGTTGGTAGCGCGCTCCCTTAGCATGGGAGAGGTCATCGGTTCGACTCCGGTCTCGTCCAAATTTTTTTAATTTTTTTAGTATGATTCTCTATGTTTGCATCGATAGCTCATCGCTTCGTGCTGACGACTAAGAGCTTAAGATTTTGACTTATTGCCCATAGTCCAAGTCCTATGAACTATTTACATAACTAATGCTCTGTCGGCCATCGTTAGGCATAAGGCTCTACTCAAGCCTCCCTGCCACGTATTACCATCCTACCATATATGCGTTGTCAACTTCCTTGGGCCAAAAGTCAGCAATTGCGGTTCTTCGAATCACTGGTAGCCATACTAAGCATATCTTTCAGGAGTTGACAGCATCCACAAAAACACCAATCGAAAGAAGAGCTTCTTTGCGGAATTTATACGATAATAGCCAAGGGAAGAAGAACTTTTTAGACTCGTCGCTAGTTCTATATTTTGCGAACCCGAAATCTTATACAGGTGAAGATATGCTTGAATTACATCTTCACGGTGGTAGAGCGGTGGTCAAAAGTGTATTGAAAGCCATCGAAAGGATGGGGAATATGCAAAGTGGGCGCGTCATAAGGTATGCATTACCTGGCGAGTTCTCCCAACGGGCATTTCAAAATGGGCGCATGGACCTGACGCAGGTTGAAGGTGTCGGAGAGTTGATTGATGCCGAAACAGAAACTCAGCGTCGAAGTGCAGTATCCAGCATGACCGGCCAAAACAAGCAAATTTTTGAACGGTGGCGAGCAACCATTGTTTCTAACATCGCGCAGTTGACGGCGATAATCGACTTTGGTGATGATGCTGAAATCGAAGACATTGATCAAATTCTTCGGGCCGCAAGTCTCCAGATGCGGGCGCTCCGAAAAGAAGTCGAGAGATTCGTCCGCAAAGTTGATCGAAGTGCCATTCTTCAAAACGGTATAAAAGTTGCATTTTTAGGGTCACCGAATGCTGGAAAATCGTCTCTTTTAAACTGCATTACCAACGATGATACTTCGATTGTAAGCAACATTCCAGGTACCACAAGAGATAGTATAGATGTGCCCCTAGACATCAACGGCTTCAAGGTAGTCCTTTGTGATACGGCAGGGATTAGAGATACAACTGAAGACGAAATAGAACAAGAAGGCATCAAAAGAGCAAAAGCAAAGGCTTCACAAAGTGACTTGGCAATAGTAGTTGTGGATCCGCTGAGCGAGCAAATTTTGAATCCACAACTATGCGAATTTGTGCGCACTGCCATACCGCATAAGCAAATTATAATAGTAATTAACAAGGTGGACCTTGTAGACGATGGCACTGTGACCAAGATAAAAAAGTACCTGCAGACTTCTTTCGAAGAGCAGTTTGTGATCACTTCCACTTCCTGTAATACATTGGAAGGCATTGACTATTTAGTCGCTCAGTTGTCGCAACGCTTCGAAACATTGTCGGAAACGACCCAAGATAGCGACCCGATAACTGTCTCAAAGCGAGTCCAGGAAATACTTACCAACGACATATTGTTCGGCATAGACGAATTTTTGAGGACTTGTGAGTCTGGTGACGTGGTCATGGCTTCGGAAAACCTCAACTACGCTGCTGAAGGCATTGGGAAAATAACTGGAGAAACAGTCGGTATAGAAGAAGTCCTGGGCATTGTGTTTTCTCGGTTCTGTGTGGGTAAATAATCAAATTTAGTTGTAAGCGCTGTTCATCTTCACGTAGTCTGCCTAGATTGCCTCTTTATAGCTACCTTCTTCTTGACGTTACTTTCTGCCAAAAACTCCTCTATCTCGTCCGCAAGCTTCTCGTGGTATTCTAAAGACTTTTCGAAGTCTTCAATCTTGGTGCGGAACTGGGTCTTCACCAGCTTATAGTCCTCGATAGCTTGGTAATTAGTCTGGAATTTGTCCTTTAAATCGTCCAAACGTCGAAAATTGTCCTCTGATTTCATTTGAAAAGTCGTTATGGCCTGCGCGGACTGGAGATCAACATTTCCTTGAAGCTGATTTGTACAGCTCTCAACTTGACGCTTCAATTGCCCTTCCTTCATTGTTTGTCATTGGTTGGCCTAGGTATCATGACATCGTAATTTCAATATTTATCTACTTAAAGTCGGTCTTCAGGAATCTTGATGCCGATAGGCACAACGAACTAGGTTTGACTAACGGCTGACACCAGTTTGACAATGCTTCAATACACCAGGCCCTTGGATATGAGGTATGATGCGAAACAGCAGAGTTTTAAAATCTCTGAGCCTTCTCATAAAGTGCCCATCTGTTGCATGTTCCTGTGCCAGTTCGACGTGAAGAAAGGAAACGTGCTGGTATGGTCAAAAACCTCGCCAAATGTTCCGGAAATACCACTAGAGAATTTGGAGTTCAAAACCATTCCGTCTGGCGTCCACGAGGTTCAAAAGGACACCATCAGTTTTGTCATCCCCAAAGGGGGCAAGCTTGAAGAAGTATATTATGGAATGTCGTGCTTTGAGCAGAATGGACTGTCTCTGACGGAAAACTCCGAGCACTTAGACCGCAGCGAACTGCAAATGTACTCCCTTGGGGTGATTGTAGACGCAAATTTTAGGTACAAAGGTGTTTCTAAATCAAAATTCTATGATTGGAAACCGAACCAGTTTATCAGTGCCACAGAGTATATAGATGACATTCGAGACCTTTTGTCGCACTGGCTTCGCAGAAATGTATCGTCCTCCGTGTCAAATGGACAAGTGGGCTCTGCTGTAAGGGATTTCGAGCTTTTCGAAACCTACTTCGATTCGAACTGTATCAAGGCCGATACAGCAACTCTCTCTTCTCCAATGTTGAGACGTAGCTGGCAGCACTCGGGTACCTTTACCGGAACGCCGAGCACGTTAAGTGAAAAACAGCCGCACATGCTTGAGTCCCTGACTCAATGGTTCAGCTTTTTAGGACCACTTTTTCTACCCTTGTGGAAAGCTTCTCTGCTACGGCAGAGGATACTAATCATCGTTGATAATGGGGTGTCATTCGAGAAGTGTAACTCCTTGGCATACTGTTTGTCAATATTATCGTTAATTCCCCACTCGATATCCGATCGTCTCCATCAAGATCCTTTGCAGCCTATCTACACCATTGGAATGACGGACATTGACTTACTTACTCAACATGTTTCGGAAGCATTGTCAAAAGGAAAGGATGACTACCAGATTCCCGGCTTTGTGGCCTGCACTGCAGACGAAATTTTGGAAGACCGCGAGGAGCTTTACGACATATGCTTGAAGGTTAACAATCGAGACTCGTTGCCTGAAATTAAAATGTCTGACGGAAAATCTATCAAAGCTACCCCTCACGAACTGGAACTTTACGAAAAGTTAGTCGTTACGATCTTGGGATATGAACTATCACACGATGAGAAAGAAAAAATTGCCAAACTGGTCGAACCTACGACTTGGTCCCAGTATTTTATTGATGGTTTTTATTGGTGGGCGACTGCTGGATATATGAGACCTTCTTTCCACGAATCTGAGGAGGAATCGGCTCCCGACCTGGATCGGGACAACTTAGATGTCGTTCTGTCACTGGTTGGCTATTTCCATGAGAGAATAGCGTCTCTATACGATGCCTTGAAAGAAGAAGTAGAGACCAGCGAAGACCAAACCGTCACATTGTCACCGATATTTCTCTCTGCGAATTCTCTCGATTGTTTTAGCTTAAGGGACTACGAGTTTCTTGAAACTGTGTGCCGCTATTGGTTCGATAGACCATTGAAAGTTAAAAGCATAGACTGTCGAATTATATGTTGAGTATGTAGAATGATATATGGGTGTTCATTAGTAAAACAATACGATGGAAGGATACTTTTAAACAACCAACCATACAGTGCATGCAACGATTGAGAGTCCAATGACCGCTGTAATGATACCGGCAGCGGCACGAGAGCCGGCTGTAATAGTTAGCGGGCTCAAGTTTGAAGCCTGTGTCTCTGTACCTGCCGCACCATTTCCTATCGATGTGCCCCCGTCTTTTGCGGTGTAAGGGGCCGGCTTTTGCAAACATAAGACATTTTGCATGATTTCCAACGCAGCCATCTGTTCACCAAGTCCATAAAATCCATCCCATCCACCATAAAACCAGTTTTGTCCGCAAGTGTGACCATCGTAACCTCCAGAACAAGATTGTGCAGCTCCTTGAGCAGAAGTCCGAATCCAATCCATAATCTTTTCCCGCGCAGCAGGAACCAGCTGTGCGGTCAGTCCTAAGAATCTAGAATAGTAGGCTTTAAAAGAACGTTGGTCGGTATTACAAGTTTTACCAGCTTGGCAGGTTACTTCATACAAGACACTGTTGTTGAAGAAAATATTCGAAGAATTCAAAAACTCCCATGTTCTTGTATGCCACTTTTCATCCTCTGTCATGTTGTACAGATATGCTGATCCAGACATCAAAAGGCCCTGATTATAAGTCCAGACTAGACGTGTGATGTTGCTGCAATTTCCCTCGACTTTGGCACCATCATATACAAAGTTGTTGCCGCCTGTGTTTTCGGTTAAAAGATTAATACCCTTCATCCAGTCAAAGACTTTTTCGGCCCAATCTACATATGACTGATTGCCGGTGTAGCGCGCCAGTCTCGCCGCAATATGAAAAAGCGCGCCATTTGCGACTGTGTTTTTGTAGTCATAACCGGAGTTCCAAGTGAAGATCTGCCACCTCAGGCCACCACCACAAGTATCATCATCCCACCGCAACGCCATGGTGTTGAAAACGGCTTGGGCCAGATAGAGCCATTGTGGTTCGTCCGACGAAGGATTTTCGAAGTTTCTTTCAGCGGCAGCCATCACAACAAGCCCCCAAAACGCTTGATCGTCATTACCTTCAGTTACCGATTGGTTCAAAGGCACATAGTCGTTGTTTTCACCTGTTTGCGCCAACAACGCTTGCTTCAGTATGCCGTTGAAAGTGTCGTTTCCAGTGTACCACCAGTAATCCAAGATCGACCCCCACGCGCCACCAGCTTCCCACCAGTAGTATGGATTCGAGAACATACCGATCGGCTGACCGTATTGTAATCCCGTATAATAGTCCAGCAAACCTTCCGCGACAAGGGCCGTAGCATTATAGATCGACGCCGTGTTGTTAACGTCAAGGTATACACCCGCACAGTTGTGGAAGGATGCCAGAAGCGCCAAAATCCACGCGACTGATATCTTCATCCTTGATCCCACTCTTTGGTAAACAAGTCAAGTAAGTGGACTGGATGGATCTTTTATCTCTTTCAGTAGGCTGAGATGCGAAAATCTGGCACTATGATTGTCTCGCTATGTACGATGGTAGAAGTCGACAACAGCCATTCGACCACCAAAAACATTCTAACGTACCCAAGGAGCAGTGGTAGGATGTAGCTTGTCGACCTTTACGCCAAATGCCGTGGTGTTTTGGCTCTTTCTCTTGTTTCTTATGTAGCTCACTTCTCTTGGCCGCGTCTCGATGCTCTCCAACTTAACCAAAGCCATGTCACATAAGTCCCAAGGACTTCAAGATAGATATTCTGACCTGCCTCTCGAACTCGGCGCGGCGGTCCCGCCACAGAATGCACGCATCTATATTGGCACCGGATTCGACATTGGGCTCGCTGAGCATGCTCATCACACTCAAAAGGATCTTTTCCACGCTCTGGACAGGTGACCACCGCTCCTCAGCAAGCTCGTACATATTCGGGTCGTCTCCTGGCGCGTGCAGGATCGAAATGCATACCTCGCCGTTGGGATACACATTAGGGTGCAGGATACTAGGCGTGAAGACGAGCTTGGGTGGAGCCAGTGGGTAATCTCGCGGAAAAGACAGGCTTGCATTAAAGACGCCACCTTCATATGGCGAGTCTCGTGGACCTGCGATGAGACAATCCCAAATGAACATGTTGTCCTCAGACACTGGGCCCGCCACAATCCCAGCCGGGCTATCCTTTATCAATTGCGTCATTTCTTTATATAGACGTTTTTGAGCAGTCTTCGACATGATAGGTCAGGTAGGGCGTAAGAAGCGTACTGTTATAGGAACAGCTGGAGTGTTTTCATACTTCGATACCATTTTAACCAAGATACAATGCTCTAATAACAATAACCGTCTAACGGGATCTACCTAGCATGAACACGATGAGTGCTTTGACGACAGTGTCGCCAACCCGAAACTCAACAGGAGATAGAGCCGTAATGGAGCACGACAGCGTTAATAGCATTGTAGCTCTTTGTCAGTATTTTGATTAACACTTGAGTGAATTGCTGTGTCCAAAAATTAAAAGCATATGCTCAAGAATCTCTCACGAGAGATTGATTAAGAGCATCTTGAATCTAGCAGGAATTTGTGGCGTGGAATGCTCGAGGAGATTGAATGCAATACCTCACCAGAGACTGATCTGAATAAAATATATTTCAATATATTTTGGCCATTGTTATGGGTAATTGTGCTCACAGTCGCACTCCATGAATCTACCTGGATATCACGTAGAATCCCCAAGAATAACAGTGTATGGACTTGTGAAGACCGTTCGCATGTCAAGGTGGTAGTAAGATGAACATCGCACATCATCTCTGAAGAGTTCCGTGAGCGAGATATAGATACGTCCGAGTCAGCTTTCATGTTGACAATGAGTTCCTGCCAGCCAAGAAATAGATATTGGTGTTAGCAAGTTACATGTGCCGGACCCCCTGCTATATTGATTCATAATTATTTTTCTTGGTGCAACTCTGGTCAAGGTCGACTACGAGCTTGTAATAAACGGTTTTACGAAGAGGAAAGATTGCGAAACACTGTGAGCTTTAGTTCCAAGCTCCACTAAAGGTACGCCCATTTTTTCTGAGCTGTGTTTAATCTGCGGTTTGTGTCACTAAAAAAAAACTCTGTATCGAGGTAGAAATTGCCTCTGAAGTGGCATATCATCAGTCCATGATCAAGGCGGAAAGCATTGTAAGGGTAGTGTTCCTTGATCCAAATAAAGTTACGGAAAGATCTAGTTGAAAGCTCATCCGAACTACAAGGCAACTTCGAATTATACAATATCACTGTATCTTCAAACCCACTTCTCCACATCTTTTCGAAATGCTGGTCAACGTTGAATGCTATTCGCACTCCTCTGTCGTTTTGAGACAGGAGAGGTCAAGATGACGGGATAATGCCAATAATCGGTTTCATGTGTTTCAACGACAGTCGACGTTGAGCCCCAAAATGGAGTTCGCGTATCAGCGCAGCTATTAGTTGGTGGCTGGCCATAGTTAGAGAAAACTTTGCGTGATTTGGTCTATTTATCATATTTTATATTTTAAGCCTAAGGCCTTATGTATGATGACGGCACTCCTCTGTTATGGTGACACTATCATACAGAATGACAAGAATGAAATGCCGGGGTAAATTCAAAGAGTTGAGCTACTACGTCTTGTACTCACTAGAGCCATACGGCAGTATTTTTCTGATCCGGTCGTCTGCCTCTGCAAGAAGGACATTCTCACTGTGCCTTGTATAGTATTTACAGCCACGACGTCCCTCTCAAAGGGTCTGCCCATGTGTTTTGAACGTTTGCACCACAAACAACCAAGGCTACCATTGTCGGCTGCTATATTCTATTAGTATTGTATGCCATTCTAGCCGCTCCAGGTGGTGAAGTGTTACGTCTGTCGTTGAACTACTTTAATTCTGATTTTGATAAATTTCTAATGCTGCCTACCATACATGCCATACCACAGCAATGGTGGATTTCTCTGGCGAAAAGCGTATCCTGAATACCTAATGGAATAAAGGTTATGTCAACCCTCTCCTCACCAATTTACTTAACACATGGCTATGGAGCAGCCCACTATTCTGGTCGATTGAAGTGGGAGCTTCTGGGACGTGCCACTAGATTGAAGCTTCTCAAATTAATTATTTTTTTCAGTGGATCGCACGGAAGCGTTTCATCAAGACGTTTGATTCACCTACGAGCTACCACCTATCGCCATCGTGGAAGGCATAGTGGGCGCGTACGTTCCCACCCACAGGTTATGTTGCGATAAAATAAACTACGCTCATTACCGAAATCGAATTATAGATATTTAACTTGAGGCGTAGCCATCGTGGTTTTCAAATGACAACTGTTGAGCTGTCTGATTATTATGAGATAATATATCATGCGTATAATTTGTTCAAAATGTTACGTAAATTGGCCAATGTACCAAAACTCAAATCGTCAACAAAAGGTCTGCTCAAGCTCTTTGATCGATCCCTAAGCTTGGAAATTGTTCTTGAACCATTAATAGTCCATAAAACGCACACAAGCGGGTTTTTTTTCCCTCTGCCAAGACCAGGGAGAACGGTGCCAGCATCCACATTACACAATTAGTTTAACCCGCTGAGTAAAGAATGATTATATATGATGGCGAGAAATACTCTTGCGTGTCATGCATCCGTGGTCATAGGTCTACAACGTGCAGGCACAGTAGTCGAATGCTGGTTAAAGTACGAACCAAGGGCCGACCATCCGCTAAGACCGCGCGCCAAGTCATCTTTGTCGATGCAAGCTCCCAGGTGCTGCAAGCGGAGGAGGCACCTTCGAGTTGCTGTGCACCATTACGGGCACCTCGCTCATGCTCCAAAATGAACAAACAACCGATTTTATTCCTGCGCGCACGCAGCACACAACAAGCGTTTCTGGTAGACGGCGCCCTCAAGATTGTTATAGAAGATACGAGTGGCACATCTGATACTGCGACAAGGCTCGTCTCTGAAAAAGACTATCTGAAGCATCATCTTAAATTAGAAACTTCGCAAAGCATCGCGGAGGCCGTGAGTCCACCAAAACTCGAAAGTTTAATCCAAGGTTCTTACGGAAATCCCCTGGAATCAGGAGTTTCCACATTTTCTACAAATGATACAGATGTGGTAGATGCCGCAGAAATTCATGACGACTCACTTGTGGAACTTTTCACACACAAGGGAGTATACCTGAGCTCGCAGTGTAACTGTGAAGACGACAATTGCCCGTGTGTCAACTGTTTGATCCACAGAAAAGATGACGAACTTGAAAGTTACGTTAAGGGAAGTGGAGTGCCTTTGTCAAATGTGGGGAATGGTCGTCTCAGCTATCCGCACGATGAGAATTCATCCCACGACATTATTTTTAAGCAAGAGCCGCACAACTGCGATTCGGACCAGTGTTCTTTGCATCCACCAGACATCATTCCATTCAATAATATATTTCTTTATGGCTTGGTGAACCTGCCTTTGAATCAAAAAAGCGTCATTAAATATAAGCACAAGCTGATTCCGTCGAATTTTTGGTGGCAGTTATTGAAAGAAGAACTCCCGTTCATGGCCCATGATCAACGTGCGAAGTTTGATCTCGTACAATGGTTTGAAAATACTATTGCATCCTTTGACTTACAAATTCCTGAGGCGGGTTACGCTAACTTGGGGGACAATCAGTCCATGGGGCTTCTTTCAAACGCTTAAAAGCGCAAATCTAAATGTATTTCTCTAACTGTAAATATGGTGCTGGTAGAAGGGGTTTAATAAAAAGCAGTCAACGGTAGGAAGATTGTAGCATTTTTCTTAATTGATATTTGAGCGACTGACGCAGAATAAGAGGGCAAGGGGAGTTTTTTTCACTTTTTATGACTTTAGTTCTAAATAAAGACGAGTTCCCCATGGGCACAGACCTGTGCTTCATTCACGATCTAACTTTTCCCATTTTTTCGGCAATGAATGACGCTTCTCGTACCCCACTGTTCCAGGCACCGTAAACACAGCCAGCGCCATCCATTATCGTATGTTCTCCCGCAAACCGGACCTTTGACGTCTCGCTTCCAGCAAGGGCTAAAATTAAGTCCATTGGGTCATCTCCGGGAGAACACGCGGAATAGGCACCAAGGGCATATGGGTCCTGGGTCCATTTCGTGGTCAGAACGTTTTTTAATACCGGTCCTTCACTCGTCTCATCGAGCTTGTCCTCGAAATCGGTAACTACGGGCTCGAAACAATCAAAGGCTTTCAGAACCTCCTTTACAACAGGTTTGAAAAAGTCATATACCTTCTCCTTCTCTGGTAATGACTCGATGTATGTGGTAAGTGGATCTGCCATGAGTAATATTAAGGATGGATTGTCTGTGTGCTTGGCTAGGTTAACAAAGAATAGCGGAAAGTCCCACGATTCTCCATTTTTGAAGTTATATTTAGTGTCTGAGTTTAGTTTTTCAACAAGCTGATTTAGCTCTTGGGCATCTCTCACCTTTCTTGCAATTTCTGGGTTTGATTTCGCCATGGTTATTGCCCTTGAGCGGTCCTTAGACCAACAGCACTTGTCGAACTCAAAAATCACTTTCCCCAGTGCTCCGTAATGGGTCCTTTGGAATGCGTCTTGGATGTTACTTGCCAAAGGAGGTGTAAATTCTATTCTACCCTTTCGAGGTGTTGGGCTCAATGAGTGAGCCAAGACGCTCTGGGGGATAGTTATTACCACATAGTCACTTTCGTATACCTCACCGCTACTAGTCGAAACAACCACTTTTTTGCCTTCCGTGTTCACGCTGATAACTTCAGTACCCAGCTTAAGCCAGCCCTTAGGGAAAGAAGAGGCGATACGTTCGACAATAGTGTCGTAATTCAGTACAAATGCGTTCCTGCCCTGATGGGCGATTTCCAAACACTTTGAACTCAGTGACTTCCAATCGATCCCATGCCAAGACTCCATGTAGCGAGCCAATTGAGGTATGTATCGAATCTGGTCATCTGTCAGCAGATCTCTGCGTTCGTAAAGGTATTTGACAATAGTCTCAAAAAAATTCACGTCCTTGACGTCAAGGTCTTCGAAATATTGCAATTGATTATATTTCAAGAGTTCTTCCATGAGGACCTCGAGGGTCATGTCTGGATCTTGATCTATTCTTCCTTTCTCTTGGTCGATCACGACAAGAGCGTCGTCGTCAAATACAAACGAAGCACGCTGTTCCTTTGGCATACTCAATTCTTCCAAAAACAAGCCGTTAACCAGCGTATCATGGTGCCAGCTGGCACCAACATCATATTTGTTATTTTTGTAGCCAGGAACTGTATGAAGCCTTCCTCCAACCCTATCTCTCGCTTCAATCACTACGCATGAATCGAAGCCCTTTTTGTATAATTCAGAAGCAGTTTTCAAACCCGATATTCCGGCGCCTATAATAACCACCTGTTTTCCAGCCATATGAAGAATACTCGTCTAAGTAGATGCAATGCTAGACTTGAGCTTAAGAGTAAATGATTCGTCGTAAATCCACCTTTCCCGACATGCTTGGTACCAGCGCCGTTTATATATCACTATCAACTATCACGTGCAAGGTAATCTAAGCGCATTTGGACGATTAGGCAGATCAACAACTACCGATAGCGCTTGGGAGTGGAACAGTAAGCGGTTTGATCGTTCGAATTGGAATTTCGTAGGTGATTTTTTTGAGAAACAACTTTCAATGTTTGTTTATATTTCCGAGAACCAGGCGATAACTTGAGTCCTTATTTCTTGGAAGGATCTATAGCGTCTGAGCTTCTTAACTTCAGTCTTTTACATTAGACGGGCCATGGAGTTGTTTAAATTGAACATGGCTTTAAGAAGGAGTTTGAGCATATTCTTATTTGGCGTTCTTCCTGTTCTAGTGCTAGATTGGGTTGAAACATGCGAGCGTAGCAAGTAGTAGAACTCTCACCTGGACGACACGCAGCCGAGATTGAGTTGTAGTAGCACTAATTATTGCTAATACGGTAGGTGCAATTTTCGAGAAACACCAGCGCGGTGAACTCACGGTATAAAATAAAATTCGGAACAACAACATCATAGCAATTTGTTTAGAGGTCGATGGTTGGCAATCATCTAA